TTAGCGTTAACGCTAAGTATCGCTAAAGTAATACCCGCTTGAGAGCGGAACGCGACCTTTTGCGCACGTTGTCTATTCAGAAAGCATATATGCTTCGACGCCCAACAATCATCGACCCTCGAATCTCGCCTCGGACCTACTTTCAATATATTTGTCGATCACGCTGTGCATGTGCATATGCGCGTGCGCGCGCACGGACACGTACGTACACTTGTATACAATTGTATATTCTCTAATTTATTGGGATCTATTTATCAATGTATAAATAATACATCGAACGTTTCTATTTGTATAGTGACGCTCTGGAAAACCTTATTGCTAAGACTCGCTTTGTAATCTCACCACCAGGTGTAGTAGCAGCGTAACGACATTTTGCTCAACTTTTGTTCAACTTAAAGATATACATTATAAAAGTCTGCATTTCGAAAAGTCTTTCGGAGAGCTCTATGTACGAGATAGACGAATATATATTTTTATCCTTTTCTCGAGTTTTACTATTGTCTCGTTTCCCTGGTTGGAACTTGCGTCTCTGCGCTCCGTAGTCACATCAAGAAACAAACGACGAACAAATTTCGCGTCAATCAATCTAACAGCCATATGTCGAACAATTTTATACATACGCACGGTATAAATTGATAGAAAGAAATAAAGTCCAAGACTTTAGTAGCATAGTATTCACGAAAATAAACCAACGATTTCTAATCGACATGATCAGATGATTGGTAACTTTTCATTTTGGTAATAGAGGTGAAAAACAATCATTGCGCATGAATAGGTGATAACAGCAACGTAAAAGCTGGCACGACAAAACGCGTGGCGGCGATGAGTGAATACGCATAATAGTAGTAATAGTAGTAATAGTATTAGTAGTATTAGTATTAGTAGTAGTGGTGATGGCGATGGTAGTGGTGGTGGTGGTGGTGGTGGTGGTGGTGGTGGTGGTGGTGGTGGTGATGGCGATGGTAGCAGTAGTAAAAGGAGCATGAGTGTGACAGAGATGAGATGTATCTTCGATAGGAATGAAGGGCTGGGTAAGAGTGGTGAGAGAGGGAACGCGGGCAGAGCACATAAAACTAACAACACATTTCCCAGAAAAGAGATCATACGATACCCTGTCTTTGTACGTGTCTTCACATTCTTTCTGAAAACAAATTTAATTATTGAAAAATTCGTCGGAAGTTCGCCGGGAATCCTACAAAAACCTATTTAAAGACCTCTTGGCTTCTTACAGAACGAGAAGGTTTATTCTCGCGGAACGCGGGATATCCGTGGTATATTACAGGAGACTCTCTTCCTTTCGTAACATCCCGGATCGTACCAATCAATACATACTGCACTTACTGCACATCTTTTACCGAATCATCCCGCGTTAGCGGTTTTATCCTCCACTCACTCAACAATGCCTACGATATGAGCGAGTTTGAAATTCGGTCTCACGTTAGCGGAGGGATGTAATAATGATCTTTATTACACCGGCGCGAACAAACGGAACGCAGAATGGAGCCGGAAAGAGTAGAGGAAAGCGGATAAAGTACATACTTCGCGTATCGTGAGCGTGTGAGACATCATCTGAATGTTGACTTGGGACTGGCTAGTGGGCAAATTATCGGTGGAACGCGATCTGGCCAGAGACCGGGAACCCGTCAGAACGTTTCTGCTCTTGAGAGCCATTTCTGTGCGCAGAAACACTCTTGATATATACGCAGAGCTGAGTCCGCGAATCCCGAAGGCGGTACGCAGGAACTTTGCAGGTGTCACCTGGAAAAGGAGGTTTCACAGATTGATCGCCATTTCCTATTGGCTACTTGTAACTTGAAATCTGTACCGAGTCTTGAAGTTTTCAATAAAGAAGTTTGCATGTTTTAGTTTCTACCACTCACCGGTATCTGTCTGCAAAATCTGGACAAGGCGGAGTCTATGCCGTTTTTCGAAATCTCATTCATCCATTCTGAATTTTGTGGCGAAGAGTGTTTGTAAAATAATAAAACTAAAGCCATTGCAACCCGATAGAAGACCTGGAAACAATCGTCACTTGCATCAATTGTCAACTTTCTAAACAAAGTTGCCGATTCGAAACAATCTCCTTTGTAATGAAATTTGAAAAATCAATAACGACACATCTTTTCGCATTCGTTTAATTATATTATTAATTATGTTCTAATTATATTTTAATTATATTATTAATTATGTTCTGCCCATTTTGCTTATACGCAGCGCAAATTTCGTTCGTTACTTCGATGCGATGCGATGCGATAATGATAGTTTTTATTTGTTCGTTACATCTAGCCTAAATTAGTCCGTTCGCTAGAAATTCGTAGAATGGTAAAACTTGCAAGAGATTTAAATAAACGTAGCGTAATCTACTCGAACGAAGAAGCGACTCGAACGAGTGTTGGGTAGCGTGCAGAGGGATACGTCAGTAACGAGATGTCTCCGAAAAAATGTTTCGCAATGGGACATGGTTAGTGTGGAAAAACGCCACGAAATAACTCTACGAATTGGCAACGAGTCAATTGTCGAATACAACGTTCGTCCTATTCCTAGAACGTAAGTGCATTATACAGCACGCATCATTCTTACGGTTCGTGTTTGTTTCCATGTTTTGGGTAAATGCCAATTTTTACGTGTACAAGCTTACCTTAATGCCTTCGTGCAAAAAACAGTCCATAACCCTGACTAGATGTTGAAATGGAAGAAACTGCAATATCCACCATATCCAGTCCATATAAATTCTTTCGGCCCGCGAGCCGGAGCAGTGCCTTGTTAAATGTACGGCCGCTGATTTCTGAAATAGCGGATTCAAAATAGCCAAGCTTCAAATGGAAAAAAGAAAGGAAGAAAGAGAAAAAAAAAACTGCGTACATATTTGTATACAATGTTCTCAGCGGGTGTTGACAGTACATGCGGATTTATCAGACGCTCGACTCCATCGTATATGTATACGTATACACGAGGGGGAACGAATACAAGAGAGAAGAAAGATAAGGATAGAGAGAAGAGGGAAAAAGAACTTTTTCCCAGCCAGTTGATTTACGCGATTTTACGCGATGTAACAATCGAAAGATTTACTGACACACTGATTTACTGACGAATCGAATTCTTTTTCTTCTTTTCTTACCGACGAATCGAATTCTTCTCTCTTGCACTGGTGTTTCTCTCTCGGAACACACAGCACAAATATTTGTCGTCTCATAAAGTAATCGCTACTTACAACATATTTCTTGGTGATTTGCTCCACTGTTTTCCACGTGACTTCGTAAAGAAGTTTGGTCTGCGTGATAAACGTCTTCTCTTTGGCTGCTACCAGAGTAGCCATACAATGGTAGCATTCCTCCTCTGGAAGAGAAAAAAAGAAAGAAGAACGTGATATTCCAGATTTCAGTGTTCAAAATGATAAATATCGCGTAAAGTAATATTCACGGTTGCAACAGAGAGAGAGAGAGAGAGAGAGAGAGAGAGAGAGAGAGAGAGAGAGAGAGAGAGAGAGAGAGAGAGAGAGAGAGAAAGAGAGAAAGAGAGAGAGAGAGGGGGGGGGAGAGAATTCAAAGCTACATGTTTGCAAAGTGTGGAATAACACGAAAATACTAAATCATAGGAAAACAGGCATTTATGGGTTCACTTACCTGGCATAAAATGCAAAAGGAGCGCTGTTAACGGATAAAGAGAAGGGCTATACGTAATATCAGGACAGGCGTATCCGAGCACCGATACGACTCTGTCCGCCACATTTCTACCAGTTCTTGTCAAATTATACGACAAGCAATGCGTACTATCGACGAAGGGTGGTAGCATAATCGATTTGTGCTGTTCAAGTTCTGCAAAAGAAAGAACCAAGTTAAGCATCCTGTTGCGTTCCAACATCTACAAGAATGTAGGTAGGTAAGGACAGATATGTCCCCCCCCATCCCTCCTTTCTTTCTCTCTGTGTAGTAGCAAAGAGTAAGAAAAGTGTTTCGAGATAGAGATCCAAATGCTACCAACCTGTCGTGCCGAAGACTTGGTTGACCATGTCCCAATAGAATCCATCCAGCATGTTCTTGCCGTGTGAATGCTGGTTGCAGAGTGCCGGCCAGAGTTGCGCCCGGATGCGATTATTTAGCGGCCAGGCGTTCTCGCGCATCATCAACTTGACCTCTCGTTTCTTGCCTGCTTGCAGCAGAGCGTTCACCTCGGTGAAGGTCTTGAGGGTCTGTTTCTTGCTGGTAGGCGACTCTGGCTGCACGACGATGTTGCTGGTGTCGACATGTGGCGGGAACACTTCGGCGATGTTGGCGACGTTCGCCGCCTCCTCCTCGACCACCGACAGCGTGTTCATCGGCAACGAATTGTCCATCGGGGAGGCACTTTGCGTCATCTAAACATCGCTTCCACAACTATGGCGCGAAATTCCTCATGGTGCGACGACCGTCACACCACGGTCTCGGCGATTCTTCTCACGCAGCCTTCCCTCTCTCTCCCTCTCTCTCTCTCTCTCTCCCTCCCTCCCTCCCTCACTTTCTCTATCCTTCTCTCTCTCTCTCTCTCTCTCTCTCTCTCTCTCTCTCTCTCTCTCTCTCTCTCTCTACGCTGCCTATGTAATATCCTGGGATGTTTCGATTTTCATCTGTAAAGGAAGAATTTTTCGTTTCCATTCTCGGATCCGATACCGAGAGATTGCGACGTCTACTCGCTAATTTAATCTCGAAATCTCGTGGAACCGATCAGTGATCGGACGACCTCGGGGAGGGATCGATGAGATCGCGAGCGCGTGCGCACTTTATTACGCTCGCTCACGTGCTTACGTGCGCACATTTGCGATCATCGCTGCTATCACGTTGCAAACGCGCTCTCTGCAAAATCTCATCTCCCGAACTCGCGATCATCTCGTTGTAAGAATGCCAGCGTCAAAACAAGCGCGAGCGCGACGGTAGCGCTCCGTCGCGCAGTGCACGTGCTCTCGCTTTTTTTATCGCGAGTGCACGTGATGTAACAGAAACTGCGCGCGCTGCACTCGGCGATGCGATCTTGGAAATTTCGCGCGCGCGTGCACCGATAGTCAACACATGTCAACCCTTCGACGCGATTGGTTGTTCAACGTCTCCTGAAAAATCATTTGCTCGGACGGAAAGCAATCGCCGCGGCAAGACCGCAATTTTTTTTCTTTTTGTGAGAACAAACCGACCCATACAGCGCAAAAGTTGCGGCAACATTGCTGCAACGTCGCTGCAATATGCGACACCGGCTGCGTTCAGAAAACAAAGCGCTCACTGAGCGACTAGTAACCATTGGTCTTTACTGTTAGATCCTTACATTCAGACCAATGACGTTGATGAATCACTCGATTACTCGACCGTTGTGTTTTCTGAACGCAGCCATTGTCGCAACGTTGTAGCAATATTGCTGCAACTTTCCATGTCGTATGGGGAGGCTCGGCTTGTTCAACGAGCGCTATCAGATTCAGATGTCGCGATGTTCCGTCAGCCATTGACCCGTCATCAGACACGCGACGACAAGCGGAGACAATGAATATATGATACCGCCTAGAATTAGCACACGCGAGGAGAGCTCTGCCGCTCTAATAATAATGCGGCTCGACCAGATACACGAGTGGCGATAATCTCGGGGAGTATGTTTAACAGTTATTAATACAAAATGTAAGCGCGCGTTATCTTCTCTCTTTCTCTCGTGTCACCGGCTCTCGCAGCTACACTAAGCAAGTTGAAATTTCGGTGCATCCCCGCTTTGTATATACGCGGTACGCGGCCGGAGATTGCGGATAAAAGATATTATTGCGAATCCACCAAGCGCGAAGCGCTCGAACCACTTGAACCACTAGAAACATACAGGGTGTCTCTGAAGTCCGACCCCACCCGTGGATTTCGGAATATGGAAAAACAGCTCTAAATATGGAAAAATGTTTCAGACAAAAGTTGTTGAAGTTAATTGGTAGAAAAAGATGATACAATAAAAGACTGAGGTTCCCGTTTGAGAAAAGTAATGATCAGTGAATATCTCGAAAGTGGCGCCATCTGCAAACAAAATGATATATTATTGTTATATGTCCCCTTTGAGATCATACAACTTTTGTCTGAAACATTTTTCCATATTTAAAGCCGTTTCCGAGAGATCCAGAGGTGGGGTCGGACTTTAGAGATACCCCGTATATCGCATCTCGCGAAGGTGGAGGGGGCGGAGGCGGCAGCAGCAGCAGCAGCAGCAAAGAGGGAAAGCAAGTGCATCGTTCTCTCACGCTATGGTAGCTGCTGCGACCGCGCTAATATTCGACCGACAGCCCGTCAACATCCGAGATTCTTGGAAACTCTCGACGACTTTCAGCTTCGAACGCTCATTCCTAGCGAGAGAGCGAGCAACAAGAAACGCGCGGCAGCGCGTGTGCGTGCCATTACGTAAATACCGCCCGTAATTTCGGCGTGCGAAATCTAAGCAAACGGGAGATAAATGTCCGGGAAGTGCTATCCAAGAAATTTCACAAGTGGCAGAGCAACGCATGCGCGTCTCGTCGTTTCCGACCTTGGCTCCGACGATCCGCGAGAATTATCATCCTACTTCTCTCCCCCCCCCTCTCTCTCTCTCTCTTTCTCTCTCTCTCTCTCTCTCTCGCTCGCTCGCTCGCTCCCCCTCCGGCCCTCTATCTCGCGGATTTGTGCACGCTGAATAATTCATAAAAGCACGCGCTCGCGCTCGTCGCGTCAACGTTAGACCCGGTTCACGCGCGGCTAACGAAGTGCTATACGCTAAGCGCTGTAATTTCTCGCGCAGCACTTAATTCCCCGAGGGTCACATTCGCGCGCGACTCCGCGAGACGACCGTTTTTGCATGCACTTTTATCGACCCGATCGGAGAGAGGCCAACATTCCAAATTTGCTAGTCTATTTCGATCAACGCTCCATTTCTCCTCGCGGACACTTCGATTTACGCTTGCGCCTCGTTTTTCACTTCTTTCGACAAGAAGTTACGTATCCTCGTCGCGCGTTCGCATGCATTCGTAGCGTCAGTGAGCAACATCATCGTGAACAACTTGGCCTTAGGCGCGCCGCATATCACCGAGGTGAGGATACCGTCGCGCGCGCGCGCGCGAGAGAGAGAGAGAGAGAGAGAGATAGAGAGAGAGAAGGCCTTGACCTTGTCTCCATTGACACGAACGACTCTACGCACACGGCCGTTGAGATATATATTATTACGTAAACTTTGCCGATCTGGCCCGACCTGGCGTAACTCGAGCTCAATTAACCCTTTGGACATCAACGTTTCCAACTGGAAACGTCAGTTTTCATTGGTCCCTGCCGCAAAACGCGTCGCAAGTTTCTTTCGAAAGTTGACACAATTACGGGCGCGCGACAAACTTGGCGATCGCATCTTCTCGCAGAGAAAGAGAGAGAGAGAGAGAAAGAGAAAGAGAAAGAGAGAGAGAGAGAGAGAGTGAGAGTGCGCGCGCATGTGCATCGCAGCCGATATTATCGATAAAAAGTCGGGCGCGACGCCCGACATTGATAAGCCGTTAATTTGCTAATTAAATTGAGACGAGATAAACAGTCAGCAAACACATGTAATTTATCTGCTTGCTTCGGTACACCGCCGAGAGATCGAAAACTTAGAACGTTATCCGTTGCGCGATGCAAATTTTCGTACACGATTCTCCGCGCGACGACGTTTCCGGAAGTACCAATTTCGATCGATGAGAGTGTGCAATTAGCATATTATCCACTTTACATACAATCAAGTACTAACAATTGAGCGACACTTTCTCGCTGAGCAGTTTCAATTACATCGTTTTTCTTCCGTGCTTTTCACTGAACAATGTAATCTTTGTTCCGATAATTTTACTTATCGATATGTGTGTGTGTGTGTGTGTGTGTGTGTGTGCGTGGGATGTAATGAGACAGCAGCAGGAGAAGGAGGAGGAGGAGGAAAACGAGCTACTCAATTATTTGGATAGTGTTACCTTAGAGATGACTGATTATGTGACCTTTTATAAAAACATTTTTACGATCACAAACGATACTCCTCTAATGCGGATATCAACTGGAGAGACAGCCGCGATACGCGATCTATCGAATCGTCATGCGATGTTGCTAAAAATGATTCCAAAGGGGTGGGATGCAGCGAATATATCGCGTCATATATACGTGTCGCAGACGCGGAGGTACGCGTTATCACGCTCGCTCACGTTCTATTAGTACCGCAAGATAAGTATCACACTACGCTAACGCATTCACGCCTGAAAAATTACAAATTATTCTCATGCGTTGTATCATAACATTACGCTCGCTATCGAATACGCGTTTTGTCAGTGTGACATCAAGCCGATTGTTTCTAAGGTAAATGTCCCAGTAACCGGATCCGGTTCAAGCGTAGATCGTCACAAAAAATACAATATATAATATTAAGAATAGCTTTGATAATAAATATTTGCATTTGTTCGAAAACTTAAGATTCTCTTAAATAGGGAAAAATTATTTAAACCAATATATATTTATATATATATTATTAATGAAATATTTACATAAGTAATGAAGCGCATTAATGTACCATTGAAATAGGTTATGGTCCAATGTTCGGATATAATTTGTCCCAATATCTGACCGCAAATAGAAAATTAATATATGCTAACGGGAAATAATATAAATACAGATGCTATATTTCTTAATGAATTTATTAACGATTGACCATTATTTTGTCAAACCATAGACGCATATTTATTTAATTTTTATTTTAATACAAAAGTATCAAATTAGGTATATTTTTTTCCAATTAATCGTCAAATATGGCAATTTTTTACAATAATTATTACTTTCGTTCATTATTGTTAAAATAAATAATAAATATTTTTTTTCAAAATGGTCGGACACTGGGACGTTCACCTTACTCACTGTACAAAATATTTCGGATGATGCCGGTCGTTGATCCTCGAACCTATCGTTCGACGTTCAACTGGGCAGATACGTCGTATCTTAAAAACATATCGGAGTAAAACAACTTACAAAATATATCATCCTTTTCATTTCGAGTTTGACGACGCGACTTGTAGAGGAAGGAAAGATGAGAATAAAGAATTTTACACGATCGTACGCGCGAAAATGTGTTTGCATAGTGAAAGTGAAAATCTCTCTCGTTTTCCAGCAAGATTAATTCGTTTAATTAATCTCGAATAGAGATACATAGCGCGTGTACTTTATGTGTATTGTATTATATTTTTCTACTTTTATGTACAGTATTGCAACTGTATACGCGAGGGAAATCCGCTATCTGGTCTTCACCAGGTGGCAGCTGCACTCTCTCTCTCTCTCTCTCTCTCTCTCTCTCTCTCTCTCTCTCTCTCTCTCTCTCTCTCTCTCTCTCTCTCTCTCTCTCTCTCTCTCTCTCTTTCTCTCTCTCGCATATTCCGAGTCGAGAGAGTGAAAAAATTCGACGTGGAAAAGACTATTTTTATTCGAACAGTGACTCCCTGCGCGCGGTGGTGTGATGGTCGGTAAGCCAGTGTCGTTAAATCACGATGATTACGGCATTGGGCTTTATTGCTCGGAAGTAGGCAGTTCTCGTTTCAGGGACTTTCGTTTATAGGTTACAACAAGATAGAACGATACTAGTAGGGTTCTGTTGCTCCGGCTTTCGACGAGTGATTTTTCACATTTTTTCCTCCCTTTGTGTCCTCACGCGAGAGTCGCGGCGCTAAAATCGCCGCGTTGACGGACTCTGTCAGAGAAAGACTGATGATCCTTCACTGGCAAATTAGACTTTAACTTTAATATCCTAATTATCAGCTGCCTATAATCAATACACAATCTTGTAACACCTCTCTCTCTCTCTCTCTCTCTCTCTCTCTCTCTCTCTCTCTCTCTCTCTCTCTCTCTCTCTCTCTCTCTCTCTCTCTCTCTCTCTCTCTCTCAGCAAGCAGAAACGATCCCAGTGTGTTTCAAAGTGCAGCTTACCAACGACTCTCGACGTTTCGTATCAAATGAAAGTAATCTGTGATTCGTGATTCGATCTCTGTAGAAATATTTGTAAATAATTTTTTTGCAGCATTGTATCGCGCGTTATAACCTGCACGCTGTCGAGAAGGATTTCATGCGGCCCGAAACGTTTGAAACGTTATCGCGCATCAGTCGTAGATTTTACATCGTCAACGAATAATTTCTAAAATCGAATTTTTAACGAAACTTGACGAATCTATAGGGATCTATTCGGAAGGAATTGTAGTATAATCCGTTGGTTCGATCAGTGACATCTGTGATCACATACATGCACACACACACACACACACACACAAACACTGATGAGTAAAATCAATACTTTTCAGTAAAGAAAACTGATTCTTCGTACGTTAATTCTGACCAATATACTTCAGCACCCTTAACCTTGTAAATTACGGTAGTCAGATAGGCAGATGAAGAACACTCTTTCAATGACATGTGTATATAGTCGTTCGTTTTAGCTGCGTTTTATCCCTCTCCCTATCCCTCTCTTTTTCTCTCACAGATATAAATAAACAATATTTTGTAAATAGGAGCAAAGATAGGAGCAACAACGAGAGGAGAATTAAAGGATACGTGTTTTTTCCTACAATTGCATTTCCCACAGCTTCATTTTTTTTTATATGAGAGAATCGACAACAAAAATAAGCAATCCCAAGTACTGATCTGCTCTCGAAACGGGTCTATACTCCTTGTGAATGAATTCACAAGGAGCAAACGGTGCAGTGGAAGGATCGCGAGTGCAGAGAGTGTAGTTGACAAGTAGTGGGAAGGGCCGCAAGGTATGTTTCGTTTTGAATATAAGCTCGTGTACGTTTTCCCGAGTGTGAAAAATCACACACGGACCTATCCGGGATACCGATCGATCGACTCTCGCCAGTACACGGTACGTGTCCGTATCAGTCACACATCTACATCTCGTTTACTTCTCCTTTACCAAACCTATTCCAACCATGATGCGTACGAGTCTCTTTTGTTCCAAAGTTGAATCGTCAAAAATGTCAGCGCGCGGACGAGGCGGGCGCAGCAACTTCCTAGAGGAGTAACAACTCACCGTCAATTTAGAAATGTGTACAGTATCAGCGAAACGGCCCACCTCGGTAAGCAGCGCGAGCGAGGCGTCTCCAGCGGGTAGCTCCCCGATTCTTGCTGCGTCGTCGTCCTCGTCCTCGTCGTCGTCGTCGTCGTCGTCGTCGTCGTCGTCGTCGGAGCGTGGCATGCAAGCGCACGGGACAGACAGGTCAGCCCGGTGGCTGTGCGCCGTTCGCGGTTGACGAGTTGCACTATCAGTACCGTCGTCGTCGTCGACGCGCACTCTCGCTCGCTCGATCACACTTTGTTCTCGTTTCGCACACGAGCGCACCGTTTCATCACCTCTCGCGCGCGCTACCGAAACTTGCCACTTGAAACGTTCACGGCGACTCTCTCACGAGAGCACTCACGATCTCGCGCACACACGACACTGACACACCGCGCGAGAAGGTGCGTTATCTACTGCGCGCGTATGTATGTACCTCGCGTACACGTACCTTTTGACACGCGTGCGCGCGCGCGCGCACGCACGCACGCACGCACGCAAGCACGCTCGTTTGCTCGCTCGCGCGCGCGTACGGATGAGATTACCTCGGAGCACGGAGGGAGATCAGACGAACCCTCGCACCGCGGTCGTATCGCTGGCTACCGCCGCGGCGAAATATCCGACGAATACGTGCGCGTACACTCGTCGAACGGACGACAACGGCTGACAAGTTTCCGATCTCGTTTACAATCATACGACCACACGACACACCTACACATTGTGCGCGTCCAAGAGCTACTGTCATCGAGTGTCCAATGTATTGGCCGGGCCGGATTCTCTCGCGCATGCGTGCGGAATGTGCTGTCAGGGAAAGATCTAATATCAGGAAATAGAGGCGCGATTGGAGAGGGTGACAGAGCGCGTTTAGCGCGCACTGTCCGTTCGCGCGCTTTACAAATCATTTCTATAAACTTGTTACGATTGTAATTTTGTCTATACGTACAAATGAATGATTTCGCTTTCCTTTCGCTTTCACGAATTTCTCAAGAAAATATTTGGTCGATGGCCGATGTACGTCTCACCCTTTTCTCTCGTGTAACTACTTCTTTGGTGGGTGCATTCTGCGCGCATGCGTAGAGAAATTCAGGCCGGGTAACCCGGCTCGGCTAACAACACCAGTGGCGCCATCTACCGGCCCGCTGTCGCCTCTCGCCGACCGCGCCTCGCGGCGCGAATCCTCCTATCGATCCACGACCGCCGAATAAAATCGCTGAATCAAGCGCGGCGAATTTCCTACATCGAACATAATACATAACGCGTCATATATTCTATAGTACTCGACTGATAATTCGGTGAAACGTTGTTGTAACAACGAACGAGTTGCGAGACTCGAAAGAAAGAAAGAAAGAAAGAAAAAAAAGCTCCGCAATCTTTTTGTCGACTGTGCACTTGCAGCACAAGTACAGAAGGTACGAGCGAAACGGCGAAAACCTCGTGTCGCACCACGTGTCCTCGTGTCAACATGAAGCGTGCTTGTTGACTCATTCCCTTCGTTTGACGTCGCAAATTTTGATTCGATGTTCGTTACACGTGCTGCTAAATCATGCCTTCTACTCACGTCCACGCGATCCTTGCTATTGTACAGGTACACGGCGCATGTTGCACATCTATTGCTTCCCGTCATCATTAACTCGTCAAGTCGCGCACGCAGGGGCAAGGGAGTATTGGGCATATTGGCATCCATTGTATCCAGAATCGTCAGATTTTTGTCGTAACGATTTTTTACAATGCTTTCACACGCTACACACGACACGATACGGAAGACACGACATCGACGAGCGGTGTAACAAAAAACATTTGTTACACATATAACACGTACGCGATCACGATGAATATATTGTACGGGATAGTCGTGTGCACAGAGTGAAAAACAATCGCTCGGCTACATTTGTTAATATTTATCGTATGACAAACGAGATGTTAAGACCTTTATGCCTTTATGCGTATACGCGATGCGTATAACTCGTATGCCGTGTCAGTCGATGTTATCGCTTTGAGCGTATATCGATTACGATGGACAAACGATGGATTCGCGGTTTACTCTTGTAAACTGCGATTACTTTGCAGTTTTGCTTTTCAATGTCGGACAGGATACCGCGATAATATATCTATAGTGTTCGCGATAATTGCTCGCGGCTCGATGGGATCTAACCTGACATCTACCTCAACTTTATGCTAACCTCATTCTAACCTACATTCTTACTCCAACAAATATCGAGTGCTATCGAAAGAAAAAAAAGTATCGTTCGTTCCGATTGCTTCTCGATGATGCTTCCTTTCTCTTTGTTACAAGACGCGGTGATAGGATCTTTACAGTTATAATCATATTAAATCGTAATAATTGTCATGTTTATAAATAGCAGTTTTCTTATAGCGAATTATATATAAATACGGGTGTGTGAAAAAATACGTCGAGTATATTCATTCGAGAAAACTCGAGTCACTGTGTGTATATATTCCCGAGAAGTTCGTGAATAATTCATATTTAGTGCAAAAGGAAGAGCCAAAATTTCATTGTTTTTTCTTTTCTACGTCAAGTTGATATTTTATGATGACGTCGCTTCATCTAAATGACAGAATCTCTCTCGATGCGGAGAGTTGCGAATGCAAGTAAGAATTTTATTGCTTCACAGCCAACATTATTGAATAAGACTAAATTTTCGTAAAAGATCGTACGATACAATACGTTGTAATACACTCGACTATACAATACGACAGACAGCTGTTGGTCTAGACAGCATTACGATTGCAATTATATTCTTGATTAAAAAAAATATGATTTGTGTAAAGCTAATATAGTCGCTCTGTAATTTAACAGTGATTAATCGTGCAGAACGATATCTTTTTTAAAACAATATATAATTTATATACAATAATGCAAGCGCATATTGTAATGGTGATCCTTATTTTCTGAATAACATCTGCAACTGCTTGCTTTATTTTTGATAAATAAAGAAATATTAATTTAGTGATATTTAATTTATACAACTTTCTAGCGTAGTATTGGAAATAAATGTATATAATATAAATATAAATGTATTTGGAGTGCAGCATATATGTATTGGACATACACACATATATACTTTTGGAATAATTAACATTGGAAACATTGATTATGCTTTCAGATGTAGATTTTACATTTTTAGATATAGTCTTTAGATTTAGTCCATTCTTACTTTGAAATATCATCTTCTACGTTTAGGAACAAGACTCCAGAATCCAAGGCTTTGATGACAAATATGATGACTCATGATCATGTATTGGAACGATTTGATAACATAATAAAGTCAGAAAATGATAACAGATTTTATAGGGGATTAGTTTTAGCTAATAAGATGAAAGTACTTTTAATAAGTGATCCAGCAACCGACAAGAGTGCTGCTGCACTAGATGTTAATATTGGTAATTCTCATCATTATATACTTAATTTAATATTTTATATCTCCAGTTTTCCTTCCCTTCCCTTTCCTCTCTATTTTCAAAGATTTATATTTTGGGCAATTCCGAATCAGGTTATAGATTCCAGCCTCCTTTTTTTTCTTTTTCCCAAAAGGAACAGAAGGAAGGATATATGCAAAAAGATCATGCAAAAATAACAAATTGACATAAAGTTTGTTCCGATGTAATATATATTTAATCAAAAATCAATTTAATCAAAGAATTCTGAAATTTTCACATTTTGAATAGTTGGTTAAATGAGATTTCTTCAAGAATAATTTTGGGTTACTGGATGTGCATCTATATCGCAAATAAATGTCAATCTTAACATCTCGATCCCTTTTAACCCAAAATTTTTCAAAGGTTTGCAAACACATTTTCACCAATGTCATATTGCAGGTAGCATGTGCGATCCCGACGACTTACCCGGTTTGGCACATTTTTGTGAACACATGTTATTTCTGGGAACAGAAAAATATCCCAAGCAGAATGACTACTCCAAATATTTATCAGAGAACAGCGGCGTTAGCAATGCGACAACATTTTTAGACCACACTACGTATTACTTCGACGTGAGTCCAAAGAAATTAGAAGGTGCCTTGGATCGTTTTGCTCAATTCTTCTTGAAACCTCTCTTTACGGATACATTGACCGAACTGGAACTGAATGCTATTCATTCGGAGCATTTAAAAAATTTGGCGTGCGACATCTGGCGATTCGGTCAACTGGAGAAGTCGTCGGCAAATCCTCGCCATCCTTATTCCAAGTTTGGCACAGGCAATAGAGAGACATTGGACATATTGCCGAAACAGATGGGCATTAACGTTCGAGAGAGACTACTCGAATTTCACGAGAAATATTATTCCGCTAATATTATGTCACTGTGCGTTCTTGGAGAAGGTAAATCAACGATTAATGATTTATCTGAGAAACTTGTGTCTTTCTCGAAAAGATATACGTACGTTATACGTACATATAATATGTTACGTCTCGCACTTTGATGAAAAGTTTCTCAAGAGTGGATTCACAATCTCTTCTCGGATAAATCCAATATTCGTAACTGCATAATAATAAATATAGGTTTGCGCCTATTAATTAAATATTCAATTTTCTACTTAGAGAGCTTAGACGAACTCGAACAGATGGTGGTAAATCTCTTTAGTGAGGTGCGAAACAAGGAAATCGATATCCCAGTGTGGCGCGAGCATCCGTTTGACGATGAACATTTTCGTACTAAATGGAACATTGTTCCAATAAAGGATACGAGGAATCTCCATATTACATTTCCTATACCCGATCTGCAGAAACATTATCAAGCTGCGGTAACGCAATTCCTCTTTAGTTGTGATATCTTACATTATATTAGATTTCTTTGGCGGAATAACGATATGTTAAAGTTAATACTATTGTAATATTACAATATTTGACATAAAATTGTACATTACATATATATATATATAAAATATCGTTTTACCTTTATCTCACTATACTCGTCTCTTGTGTTGCAGCCGTCATATTACGTTAGCCACTTGCTGGGACACGAAGGAGAAGGATCCTTGTTATCAGCTTTGAAAACGAGGGGTTGGTGTAACTCCCTCATATGTGGGAAAGACGCGTACGCCAGAGGTTTCTGCTTTTTCATTCTTGTCGTTGATCTTACTGAGGAAGGTTTCAAACATGTCGATGAGATCATCACACTAATGTTTCAATATATCAATATGCTAAAGAAAGAAGGCCCAATTGAGTGGATTTACAAAGTAAGCGATAGAACAATAGAAATACAAATTTATATCTTGCACACGGGTTTAATTATAATAGCAATTTGTGGTACAACGATCGAGGACGTGATTTCTTGTGAATAAAGCGAGATAAATGTATAAAGCCTGCAAGCGACTTAGTAAATATGCAGCTGGGCTAAAGTAAAACTGATGCAAGTATGTTCTTTTTCCTTTTTTTTTCATTTTTCTTTCTTTTTTTTAATATGTTTCGGATATATATTTCCTGAACCAATTTCGATCTGATCCGAGTCCTTCCTTTTCGGGAAGGAAGTAAGATGAAAATCGATTGGTTTGTCGGGAAATAATCTTCTGATTTATTATCAGTTGTTACGAGGAATCGTCTTTTTCGTTCTCGGTTGTATTACATTTTACGCAATGAAATTTTCTAATGATACGAAATGTACGCATATATTAAATGAGAGGATTTTGCACTCGTTGCAGGAATATCGAGACTTGGCGGATGTGAATTTCCGCTTTATGGAGAAGCAGCAGCCTCGCTTGTACGTATCCTCCAGGGTCTCGGGGCTATGGGATTATCCAATGAACGAAGCTCTGTGCGCGGATCGCCTTTTTCCGCAATGGAAGCCAGATTTGATCGATACTATAGTGAAATGTTTAACGCCACAAAATATCAGGGTTCACGTGGTTGCAAAAGCGTATGAAAGTATAGCGAATGAGACTGAACGTTGGTACGGCACTAAATATAAAAAGGAGACGATACCGGCGGAAATAATTGACAGTTGGAAGAATGCCGATTATAATTCAGAATTGCACTTGCCAGCTAAAAATGAGTTTATTCCATCGAGATTGGATATAAAACCACGCGATGATAATGTAATTGATTGTTGTGATTCTATGTATCCTATTTCTTGATAACATGTACACACACACACACACACACACTTTTTTGTATGTGCGCCTATCGTCATGCATATCAATAATTATTAAATTTTTCAGATGAAAGAGTTTCCCACAATCATAGAAGACACACCGTTTGTAAGACTTTGGTTTAAACGGGATGACGAATTCTTAGTGCCAAAGGCCAAAATGTTCATTGAATTTGTCAGGTATGCAATCAACTTGGACATATATTCTATACGGTTAATCGATCGATTTGGCAATTATACATAATTGCCATGAAGATATATATATATACATCGACTGTTAAGGCAAACTCTTTATAATGTTAAAGCTTTACAATTTCCGAGGCGATTTCTTCTCACTTGAAATGTCGATCAGTTGCAAGAGAGAAAAGAAACTTATCGTTATCACGAATAAATGTTGCTTATTGCTGTGCAATCCTCGCTAAGATTAATCGCCAATGACGTGTAATCGCCAATTTATCGTATTGACCGTAAGAAATGCATAATAACGGATGCTAACAGATAGATATCGTCACAATTAGCATAATTATTCTGTTTGTATTTTCAATCTCTGTAGTCCATTCACCTATATGGATCCCGTTAGTTGCAATTTAGGTTATATGTTTGTCCAGCTATTGCAAGATTCGTTCACCGAGTATGTATATCCCGCCGATTTAGCCGGCTTACATTGGAAACTTAATTATACCCAGTATGGAATAATAGTGAGTAAAGAAGTGTTACTTATAACGAGCGTAATGAGAGTAATGATAGAACTAATTAGAGTTGGTCACATTGTACAAGGCACATCGAGACAATTACTCGTCACAATGAAAATACTTTACGATGGAAAATGAAAAATCGCGCCTGTATAATTCACGACGAATAATCGCCGCAGCGATACTCGAATAATTTTCTTCTCCTCTAGCGAAACAAATAAGAGCTTATTTTACTTTATTCGTCACGCATCATTCGTAAGCTCACTCAACTCTGCATTGTGTCTCGTGCAATAATGTCAATCTCTGATATCGATATAGTAAGCAGATTGAGAGTCGCGTGTAACTCGAGAAGAAAATTCATTGTTTCTTTAGCTCAGTATATTCGGCTACGACGACAAGCAGCACATATTGTTGGAAAAGATCGTGGACCGAATGCTAAATTTCAAGATCAACCCGGAGAGATTCGAGATCTTGAAGGAGGATGTATGTACAATAAGAGACGGAACGTTTTGTTGAGTTGTTAGGTGATCGCGAAAGTTTATGTGGTTTCCAATATCAAAACTGACGCAAACTGCTAGTAAAAACAAAACTCGGAATATTCGACTATGGCATGTACTAATCAGCATGTAAACTGTCAGTTGATATACTTTGATGCAATCTATTGCTCCGTTACACGCATAACTTAAAACAATTCTCATGTATGCATCTCATCGACTAAACCGCACGAATTTTCCCAATTATTCAGTAGTTGAATGGTTCGTACTTATCACTCATTTCGAGTATATGATATATACTTGCAGTATATCAGAGAGCTGAAAAATTTTGAAGCCGAACAACCGTATCATCATGCGATCTACTATCTTGCTCTTTTGTTAGCGGAACAAGCCTGGACGAAGAGTGAATTATTGCACGCGACTACTTGTAAGTATGCGAAAGCAAGTTGCAATCGATTGAAGAGGAGCTCGGTATCCTTTATCCGGTAAAGAGTTCCAGCATTCCTCTTCCTTCTCTTTCGATGTGTCTCTCCCTCCCCTTTCTCTCTCGATTTAATTGATCTACTGCTTATTCTTCTGTTAGTTTAGTTTCACTACTGAGGAAAACGATGTGAATTTAATTGTATAAGAATGTAAGAAAATGAAGGAACGCAGGTTTTCTCTCACGGCCGAGAGAGATGAAAATATGTAAACATTTGAACGAGCAAACGAATGTGATCTACTTCTACTGATAATGTCTCCTTTTACACAGATCTAACTGTCGGCAGACTTCAAGCGTTCATACCGCAGTTGTTCAGTAAGGTGCACGTGGAGTGTCTGATACATGGTAATATAATCGAGAAGGAAGCTCTGGATATAGTTAGACTGATCGAGTCTAGATTAAAAAGTGCGATGCCTCACATAACGCCATTGTGGCAGCAGCAACTAGTGGTGCATCGTGAGATCAAGCTCGATGATGGTAAGCGACAGCATGCATGGATAGAGAAGCGATCGATTCACCGGTGACTGGCGGATCTCGTGTAAAGATAAAGCGCAGATCCGCAGAAATCGGCATCGAGAATCGATCGTTCGATCATCTGCCGAAATACGTACACTGTAATGTATAACGTTTGAGTGTGCTTACTCGCACTTGCTCGTTTACTTTCGGTTGATCGGTGTGTCTCCCAGTCATCAGTTGCGATATATTTCGCCGTAGGTCGTCACTTTCTCTTCCAAACGGAAAACAAATTGCACAAGAGCTCGTGCACAGAAGTGTATTATCAAATCGGTATGCAGTCAACGGAATCGAATGTATTGCTGCAGCTCCTAGCTCAAATAATCAGCGAGCCCTGTTTCAATGTTTTACGGACTCAGGAACAATTAGGCTACATAGTGTTTAGCGGTGTGCATAAGGTGAACGTGATGCAAGGCCTGAAAGTCCTAGTTCAAAGTGACAAACACCCGCGATACGTTGAGAAACAGATCGATTTGTTCATCAACTCCATGCTCGTAAGCATTTATTTAGCCCCTTTATTTCCCTCGCTTCCTCTCGTGTCGTAAAATAGTCGTAGATCGTACTGTATAATTAATGTAATTTCGGTGCTTCAGGACTACATATCTACCATGTCCGAGGAGAAATTTGAGAAGCACAAGGATGCCCTGGCGACATTGCGTCTCGAGAAGCCTAAAAGTCTATTTTATCGGACCGGTATATTCTGGAGCGAGATTGTGGCACAGAAATACAATTTCGATCGAGTGAACATCGAAGTAGCTTACTTGAGGACCATAACGCGGGAGCAGTTGTTCAACTTCTTCAAGGTAGTACCATAGCCGTTTTCAGCTGTTGTACACTTTACATGTAATATGTATGGTCCTTGGTGACGGTTCAACCCGACGGTCCAACTGAACTTGCCAGCGCAAGCTATCCTTGGCAGCAATCAACGGCTTCATATGATCCTCGCGCATCAAACACTTTGAAGGATACAATATTTATAGATTTTGCATCTTACGTACGTTATTTTTTAGGAAAGCATATACGGCGCAGCTCGACGTAAGCTGTCGTTATACGTGATATCCACGGCAACGGACAACGATAAATCGACCGACGAAAAGGAAGAACCTTTTGACGACGTGCCAGAAATCGCGGGAGAAATTGAGAATATCAACGACATCTTATCGTTTAAACGCAGTCAATCTTTGTATCCAATATTGGAGTCGCATACGCATCAGTTTCCCAAAAAGGGCATACACTCCTCCAAGTTATAAAGCTTATCGCTTGATTGCAAGGAAAAATTGAGTTCGATTCTCTCTATGCTTTCCTTGCAGGATTCCTATACCCTCCTTTTCTCTCTCTCCTTCAACGAGACATTGATTTTCCTCGGGTTCATTTTGGCACGGACACGAATAAAAGGAGTGCAGCTGTCCCCCTTTCTGTACGGACAACCGCATACTCACGTATTGCGAATTCTAAAATAAAAATAATATCCGAGAGTAAAAATTGCCTTTCAGCACGAATTGATTTTTGGAGATTTAGGCTATTGATCTTACAAGTGTGCGACGAATAAAACAATACGCAAACTTTTACTCCATCATTGTCTGCTATCGTTCAATATAGACGCTAAACTTCAATTATTATGTACATGTAAATTGTATTGGTTTGAAATTGATATAAAATGCGTATGATTGGCAACTTTCTGACGATGTTTTTCTATGATCGACAATCCTGGAGAAATACTGAAGCCTGAAAGTGTGGCGATCTTGATTATTCTATGAATTGCAGCAAAACGAAATATTAAAAATAAATTATCTTCGTCTACAGATTCTTGCGTCTTTTCTCTCGTTTTTGCTTGTTACGTGATATTGTACTACGTTTGTACAATATCACATGCCGCAAGCGGAGAGACATGTCAATAATTTTGTCTTAACTTTGGAATACCTCAATTAGGGCATTTGGATTTTGCCACTGCCGACGATGAAAAATGTGGAATATGTGGCAGATGTTGCTATGGTTTACACCAAAATGCAAACTTGACAAACATATATATTTTCTTTATATGTACCTCGTTAGGAATTATATATACACTGGACAACAAAATAACCAAAAATTTTCCATCACATGACTTATTTTATGCTTAACAAAGTGATAGTCAATAATGTATTAAAATATGAAAATGCTTACAATGGAGAAAAAAACTATAGGTGACGGATAAATAATTTTGAGTTCTTTGTCCAAGAATATAAAAAGCACCTAAAATAATCCATGTAACAAAATGACCGTTTTATGATGATGTTATCAATTAGACACTTTGACATAGGAAACTTTGTTAGTGCACAGCGATTTATATATGTAAATTAAATGTAAAATTAGATTTAATTGAAATATAAATTTAAATTATTGGGTGTACAAGTATGACTTTACAGATTTTTTGATAAAATAACATATTGATTTGAAACATAATGTCATTCTTACTTTATTCAAAATATGCTCCATCGGAAGCTACAACCTTTGCCCATCTTTCAGGCAATAGACGGATTCCATGCTGATAGAAGTCTGGTAGTTTTGAAGCGATCCAGTTATGAAACCAATTTTTAATTTCTTCATAAAAACTGAACCGCTCTCCATAAAGGGTCGACACCATAGATCGGAACAAGTAGTAATCTGAGGGAGCAATGTCTGGTGAGTATGGCGGGTTAGGTAGAATCTCCCAGTTCACTCCTAGATAATTTGTGACGGATTTATGAACATGTGGTCTGGCATTGTCATGCTGTAAAATTATTTTGTCATGTCTATTGTCTCATTCCGGCTGTTTTTCCGTCAGAGCCTGGTTCAAACGTATTAATTGCAGTCGGTAGCATTCACTAGTAATAGTTTCAAATGGTTGCAATAACTCATAATACATCATACTCTTCATATCCCACCAGATACACAACATAACTTTGCTGCCGTGGATGTTTCGCTTTGGTGTTGACCGAGTTCACTGAGCTTAACCAATGGTGGTTTGCGTTTAGAAATGTCATAGTAAATCCACTTTTCATCGCCAGTAATAATTCGATGTAAAAAACCCTTTTTTTTTAAGTTGCAGCAATAATTCATATGTGGTTTTTCTTCTTTCAATGTCTCTTTCTTTCAATTCGTGTGGCACCCAATTTCCTTGCTTTTGGACCATTCCCATGGCATTCAGGCATAAGGAAATGCATTGTTGGATAACATTTAATGCTGTTGCCAATTCTTTTTCCGTTTGACACGCATCTTCGTCCAGTAATGCTTCCAATTGTGCGTCTTCAAATTTTTTCGGCGGCTTTCCATGCGGTTTATCATCCAAATCAAAGGCCCAGTTCCACAACTTGCTTTAAACGGATATGCACGGATATGCAAACGGATGGTTAAAAGCAATAGTATATGCGCATATACTATTGCTTTTAACCATCGGTTTAGCTTTAAACTCCGTTTAAAGCAAGTTGTGGAACTGGGCCTAAATCATGCTTTCCAAATCGTTGAAACCACTTTTCACACATGCTTACCGATGGAGCATATTCTTTGTAAGAGTCCAAACAAGCAAACGATGGCTTTCAACTGCACTTTTCTTTAAAACAAAATAATGCAGTAACACTTTCCGCAAATGACGTTTATTCGGTACAAAAGTAGACATTTTCAATACGATAAATATAACAACCGTTTACACTTCAGTCAAATAGCATCAACTACGTTTGACAGCTGCGTACAGACCTTTCTGATACAAGTATTACCAACCTCAACATAATGCCATCAGTACGCGATACGCCATCTATTGAAAATCCGTAAAGTCATACTTGTATACCCAATAATTATTATGAATATGTATGCATATCCAAATGTCCTACAAGTCGCTTCTCCCTCATGATCCTTCGATATTTTTTTTTTAAGTCTCTTCTTCCCGAGTTTAGCCACTTTAAAAAATTCACATCAATGAGAGATCTGAACTGGTCAACTAATAATGCAACAGCGCTCGTATATTTTATTGATTTTCTTTGGCAAATCTCACAGTATAAACGTAAAAATTATCATATATACCATAGTATAAACATAAAAATGATCATGTATCTATGTATTAAAAATTACTCATAAATCTATATAATAATAAAAAAAAAAAAAACAGATATTTTTCACAGTTAAAAGCGTTCGGATATAAGAAGAAATATCAATATTCTGGTATTATTCTAAATAAATAAACGTGTTCCAATCACGGTTTCGTTAAACCCTGTGTTTTAAATACTGGTTAAACACTGCGCAGACAAGCTGTCACTTAATTAAACAAAGTCTTTTCCTAATATAATAATACTGAAAACACATAGCATATTACAATAATGATAATTTTTCTAATACAAACCGCACGTTCAAACGTAGTGATAATAATATTCCCTGAGGTTTGGTATCTGCAGACTCTCCTCATTCTTTACATGTTGCTGCGAGTAAAGATGACCGCGCAGATTCAACTGGCTGTACACCTCCACCTCGCATAATTCGCAGTAAGCATTCACATTGCTCAACTTACGTCTGTCTCTGTGAAAGTAGAAAAATATCATGTCACAACAACAACAACAATAACAACAACAATAAAGAACCAGATGTTTCATATTTTCTAGTTTTCATTCTAACTATCAATATTATTGACTTTTTCACTATAGTTTCGACTTAATTCGATTGTTATGAACTTTTTCCTTATCCACACGTTTATTAAATTCGTGAAAAAAAAAATTACCCGATTTCTTCGACTTTCAAATATTTTCTTTGGCAAATCTCACAGTATAAACGTAAAAATTATCATATATACCATAGCATAAACATAAAAATGATCATGTATCTATGTATTAAAAATTACTCATAAATCTATATAATAAAAAAAAAAACATTTTTCACAGTTAAAAGCGTTCGGATATAAGAAGAAATATCGATATTCTGGTATTATTCTAAATAAATAAACGTGTTCCAATCATGGTTTCGTTAAACCCTGTGTTTTAAATACTGGTTAAACACTGCGCAAACAAGCTATCGCTTGATTAAACAAAGTCTCAATATCTCGACTTATTCACCAGTTAGCTAAAGAACATTTCAAATCTAATCGATTTACCACGTTCAGTGTACCACCGGTGATACACACGATATGATAACTACTTTACACAAGCTAGCTATTTATCGATCAATGAATATAATGAAATATTTTATAATATATCTGCCTTTACCCAAAATATCAAGTAGCCTGAATGAAAAATCGCACAACGACGCGGCTCAGCACGGGACATGTCTGTTAAAATAACTTGTGCTTCCTAGTCATGTTCTAGCAATTATCGAGTTTGAGATATATTTACATACCCGTTAGATATATGATACAACTTGGCGAGACGCCTCACCATATCTTCCAGTTCATCGTTTCTCTCTCGTAATTTCAACGCTTTATGCAGGGGATACATCTCGCCTTTTTGTACGTCGCGAACGGCGTGCAGAAAGAAGGACTCACAGTAACGATTCCATTGGTTAGAGTCGGCGATCTCAAGAAGGTCCTGCGACCGTCTGCGTCGATCTCGCAGCTCTAATAAAGCGCGCTTTATATAATTTTGACAATTCATCATTTGCTCGTCGTTGCCATCACCATCGTCATAATAATCGTTGTCGAAACGGTTATTACCGGCATTATTTGGTAGTTGCATGCCGACATTCATCCAATGGCGCAATTTATTGATCTGTGGAGGCAGGAGAAGAACTTGCGAAAAATTGACTATTGGTACAGGTAATGATTGAAATGAGAGTTAACTAAAATCGTCTGAAATTTGAAATAACGATAAAAATAACCACGAGACTGCGAGAAACACGAAATAATAGGCAGAAACCCCTGACTAAAAATAGCTCTTCTAGCGCCAACGTGTTAACCACCGTGATCCGACTTTATTCATTCGCCAGTATTGCGTTATTTCTAGGAAAGGTAGAAGACAAGAAGAAAGAAAAAAAAATTCAAAAATGTGTAACGTGCATAGAATTCGATCGCAAGGTCGATACCTCTCGAAGATCATCGTTCGAGATTTCCACGTCGAACAGAATCTCCATATCGTGATCCGGAAAAATGCCTCTGCCGGTGCAGCTGTCCATCGGGCCCAATCCGCAAAGGGCCCCGGTGTAATAGGTCCTCAAGGGACTGCATCTCAGTTCGACCCGCGGTGCGAAAGTCAACGCGAGCAACACGGCGAGCCCCGGCACGTTCGGCAGTAAAGTAGTGTTTCGCAGATGCAACTGATTGCTGTTGTTCAGCTGATTAATGTTCTGTGCTACCAGCAGACGCATCGATCGATCGGAATTTTCATCGAGAAAAATCGAATTGACGGACTCATTCTCGACGATCGTTTTCATGCATTTGCCGGCTGCTGTGAGCTGGTACATGTCGATCTCGAGAGGCGAATAAGGACCTTGGAGCTGTATCCACGAGTTACAATCTGCTTCTTCCGGTGGAAGGGGATACTGGAAATACAAATTGAGTCAATCGAGATACATCGTGCCCTCGAAGAGTCGTAAGTTGTTCCAACTGCACGACTTTTGCGACGGTGATCTTTCGTTTTCGTCGCGATGAAGGGACGAAACGAGCGATCGCGGTCGCCAATAAAAACCCTCTCTTATATTGCAGCATATTCTGTCGATCTAGTTTTAATTCTTCTGCATTCTTGAAATATTTTCTCGCGCTCATCGTGGTTATCGGTTGATACCAAACGAGATTTTCAACTCAACTCACCTCCGATAAATTGTCCTCGTCGTCGTATTGCTGATTCTCATAAAACGATTTCTCCTCCGGCGACATTGTGTTCACGATAGTGGGCTCCACTCGCAGCTCGTGATTATACTTAGACAAGAAACCTTCCTTCCTACTTACAGCGTGCCCCTTCTCAATCAGATACTCGTTCATATTTAATTGTCTGTCTTCGTTGTCGACGACGATCAATTCTAAGTTAATGATGCTGTTTACAATCGAATAAATATGTCCAAAGATTTTCTCGCTCTGGCGAATTTGAGCCTCGAAGCAACTTCGCGAGACTTTCGACCATCGTCCTTGGAAATTGCTGGCCTCGTTTGACGGACGAACGGAGGTCAGAGCGCATCGGAACGCCAGAGAAGGCAGCTTCGCAATCACAACATCATCGATCACTCGTAAATCACTGGATCGCACCCGAGAAGCGCGACCATGATCGATGAAGAAGATGTTCACAATCTCCATGGCATACTCCTCGACTATTGCGCGATGATATGTTACGGAGTCGTCCCTTTCCATGGGGGCGGCGACGACTGTTTTAATTTTCGGAGGGAAGCGGTACTCTCGCAAGGGATGTGCGTTAAGGGCGGACTCGATCCTGCACATTCTCTTGCGAGTGTCTTCATCATCCAGAGAAGCCCAAAAGTAGCCCGGACTAACAATCTGCAAATATTATTTCAAGTAGAATTGAAATGGATTATTCCGTTGTGCGTCTTCTCACATGAGTGATTTTGTAATTATGAAGGTAACGGGGTGAGAGAAGGGCGGGAATCTTACATTTTGTATGGACAAAGGTACGAAAGTTATGTCAAGCCCCGGCAGTTCCGGCCTGATTTTGAACGAGTCTCTCCTGGTCTTACTCCTGTTCTTTTCCTTGTTGAAGAACATAGTCTTCTCAAATCTGTCCAAATCCTGATCTATGCTTATCTTCTGCGCTTCCTTCGCACGTAACAAATCGATCTTAATCGGAATATTGCAATGCCGCATTTTAACAGACATGTAAACAAAATCCGATATTCTATAGAGATTCTCATCGCTGTTGGTCGTCTCTTTCTCGCGATACTGCATGTAGACTCGTGCTGAACCATCGAACGAGACCATTATCCGCTCCTTCGGGATACCGTGGTGTCGGGAAAAGATCTCCTGCAGTCTTCTCGCGTATAAATAGCCCGGTTGCTGTACCGGCCAGCCTCGCATACAAACGGTCTTCAACGGATCTAAAGCGTTTAGATTTTTAACGACGTCAATCTCGTGAGCTTCAACGTTGAGCGGCCGTTTGACAAAATAGTTGGGATAGAAAGCGCCGGCAAGAATCACTTGCAACACAAACTCGCGTTCCGGGCCCTCCCAGATCACCTTGAAGCAAAAAAGCGCAGAATAGTGCATCGTCTGTATCTGTGCTTGACGATAAATCCCCCCCCCCCACCTCATACAAACATACATATTAAAGATGTGCGAACTATTCGAATTCGAATCGAATCGAATCTGAATCGCTATGATTCAAATCCGAATAATTCGAGAATCTCGAATCACGAAGATTCGAATAGGAATCAAATATCAAATTATCGTTTGTGTGCATCAGCTACAAAATGGGCCATCTGGGCCTGTATGTTTGAACTCTTAACTTGTAATTAACTTAACTTATAATTAATAACTTAATTATAAATTACTTTAAATATTTAAATATATATTTTACTTTAAGATAATATTACAATATCAATATTCTCTTTCATATTAAAATCTTCCATCATTATTTGCATGTTTAATAGTCATGTTATATTTTTGAATGATTCGATTCGATTTCATTCGATTCGATTCGACATACAAATTCTTGATTCGCACATTTCTAATACATACATACATGTGTGTGTGTGTGTATGTGTGTGTACACACATCATATTATTGAACATTACATTATTGAAAATCCCAAATATGTGCACGGATCTCTTCCTCACCTTGCGCACGCCGACCGTTTCTTTCACGCCCAACCTCGTCAATCTGTGAGTAATCTCATTGACGAGAACGTCCAATTCGCGCAAGGTCCGCAGTTGGACGCCGTTTCTTTGAGCCCACTGCTTCTCGATTTGATACGTGGTGAATCGGCGATTCGCCTTTTCGTTCTGCCAAACCTTGTACACATTTAATGCAGCGATGCAATCGCTGTCGGTCCCGCGAGCCCACTTCTTCTTCGTCGAGTACGTTGAGATGCTGTTGCGACATTCACCTGAGACAAACATGTCCTTGAGCGCCATGCTGGCGCCCAGCACAATGGCGTCTCGTAAAATTCCAAAAACGTGACCCATCATAATTAATTTGGAGATTTGTATGTGGAGTGGGAGTTGAGCCATTATTCTTCCCATATCGGTCAGCTTGCCGTCGAAGGGTTGAAAAGCGTGGTGATCGTTCATCAGTGCGCCGTTCTCTTTCAGTTGTAGAATCGTGCTCGAGAGATTCTGGAGACTAGGCGGATCCAGGGAGAGAGCAAGGAGGGAGCGAGGATCGTCGAGATCAAAGATCTTGGCGCGCAGAACGACATTGGCTAGAGGGGCACGCAACATCTCTGGCATGCCTTCGTTGTCGAGTACCTTCTGCAAATTTTTCAAGAATGCAGCTGATTCGCGCAATGCTTATTGTGCCGTTCGGCTCGTTTCTCTCACTCGCTCGCGAGCTCTCGTAACTGCACGGCCAAATTTACTCACGTGATAAAACGCTTTCGGCACCAATCTGTACACCCTGCCGTCCATCACGCGGCCAGCACGACCTGCTCGTTGCACGCAACTCATTTTGCTTGCCCAACAAAGTTGCAAGGACTGATAATTGGAGACGGGATCGAGGGCGATTAATTTGACGAGGCAAAAGTCAATCACTGCAATTTTGAATAATCGAGATTGGATTATCGGGAGGGCGGAGCGCGGCGGAGCGAGAGGCGAGACATTTATTAGCCGCGGCGAGTCGCGTTCGTTAGCTAATCGACATCAAGTTCACGTTATTTGTACAGCTTAATATAAGCTTAAGATTAATCTTCCTCTCTCGCGAGGGTTCCGCGAGATCCTTCCCCTGATAATATAATTTAATGGGTTGTATCATTTAATTAATAATTTAATGACACAACCCTTACCGTACTTGACATCCGGCACCGTGACACTGCTCTCAGCGATATTCGTTGATAGTATGATCCGCCGATGGCGCGCCGGTGGTTTGTAAAAGACGCGTTGTTGCTCGTCGCTGGAAATCATCGAGTGTAATACCACCAAATCCAACAATTTGTCCTCATAACACTTGGACGATAGAAATGTGTATAGCTCCTCGATTTCGTAGATTCCTGGCAAGAAAACGAGAACCGTGTGCCTATGTGACGTACAAACGGCAACATTTGTTTGATCTCCTTTTGCCTCTTTGTTGCCGCCGCTGTCGTTTATATCAATCTCGTCCAAGGCAATGATAATTTTCGCGCAAAAATTGATCATGGATTGTGTGACCCGCGGCTCGGAAGGGGACACTTGTGGTATCTGCAGGAACAATGTAATACCGATAAAATACTCATCATGCGCCATGCAAAGTTAACAACGTGGTTTTATCAAGTCAATAGAAAAAGAAAGGAAAAAGTTAGAAAAAAAAGGAATGTAACATGATTGCAAAAGATGAAATATATTCGTGTTAACAAATTCTTACTCACTGCACCCAGATCTTTTATCTCGTCTAGAAAATATGTATGAATCTCGAAACATCTCTTCTCAGGCATTTCCACAACAGGCGCCGGCACTAACTTGTTTCTTAATCGTCTGGAAAAATATTCGGCAAACCTTTTCACGTCGACTGTCGCCGACATGAGAACCACCTTCACCATGCTGGAATTCGTTTGCAGCAACTTCTTCACGACTAGCAGAAGAAAATCCATTTCTTGATCGCGTTCATGAATTTCATCCAATATCACGTGTGTATAATCAAGCATGTGCTTCCGCAGTATCAATCGCTGAAGAAGGATTTCAGTGGTGCAGTAAGTTAGACGAGTATCAGGAGAAATCTCCTGCTTCATGCCAACTCGGTAACCCACGACGCTGCCGAGAGGCCAGCCTCCTTCATGGCTCACCCGTTTTGCTATGCTTATAGCAGCAATTCGTCGTGGTTGCGTCACTGAAAAAGAAAAGGAATCATTAATTATTTGGTATACAAAAGTTTTGCCTATGACAAATTTATCGCTAGATCATCAATTTGCTTTACTTTTATTTTATACGCTTTTCATTTCAAATTAAAATTTACATAGTATACACAAAATATAAATTAATATAGAGATAGAACCTATAATGTTGCAATGAAGTCTCTTCTTGGTATTGGCATCCAGAATAAGTTGAGGAATCTGAGTGGTTTTTCCACAGCCAGTTGGCCCTTGAATTACAACCACGGGATTAGATTCAATCATTGATAATATTGTATTTTTCATTGATAAAATGGACAAATTAGATTTTGGTTCGTAAGTAAAATCACACTCTCGGTAGGAATCAGCCAAACTTTTAATGTACATTTTCTGTTGCTCCTGGGTTACCTCTTTACATTCGTGCTTTGCTTTATTCATATTTACATTGTCCATAAACTGTAAATTAATAAAAAAGAAGTATAAATTTTTACTTATTCAAGGAATAAAAAATTTATTTTGCCTCATATTTTGCCAATATTGTCTTTCTTCTATTTATATATTATAAAGGATAAAGAGGAAAATGCAGTAGTTTAACTCCACTAGAAAGTTGATCAATATATTTACACATATGACTCTGATATTAACTTTTCAGGGGAAAGAAATATCACATTAATTTCTTACATATTTCATCATTGTGTGTATGTGATATAACTTCAGAAAATATTACTTCTCTCACCTTTAGATATTCCTCCGCTTCTTTCTCAGTATAGTCCTTTATATATTCGGGTTCCTCCATGTCTATAAATGCAATAGAGCAATTATGTTTGATATTTGTAGAAGCTATTGTTCGAATACATACACAACACGTGATATTTGTAGGATGCAAGCACACATGTGTAGTGTGGTGTACCCAGGTATTCTCGGGTCAATATATCCAAGAATGTTATATATTGCATATATTTTCACGTGACAAATTTAAAAAAATGTTTACTTTTATATGTGCCGCGGAAAGACAATGTTTTATACAGTACTTATAGATATTTACAGTAGCTATTATATCTTTATCAGCCGGCAATAGAGTAATTTTTAACCTCAATCAGGTTCAAATACAGCGGGATCAATATTACCTAAAAACTACAATACAGCGAGAAGGGTATATATACCTGAGATTGAAAAAATAAAAGTCGAACGAAAATAATTGATTCAATGATTTTTATGCCCACAAAATATTTCACCGACACATTTGAAAAATACGACGCTCCGTCCGAAATAAGCTTCGAAAGTTTTGATTTTAGTTATAAGATTGGTAGGCCTGAGACACCGGCATGTCTGCCACACGGTGGAAATTGGCTAGGGAATATTGCGGTAGCCAATCAATTAATCTGTTCGTTTTATTTGCACTGCTGAACTGGTGTGCAATAAGTTAGAGTGAGAAAAATATAGTTGTCTCGCTCTAACTTATTGCATTAGTTGACGGACAAACCAAATGTTCCAGATGCCACATGTTCGTAAATACTATTTCCGGGCAAGCAAGATGCTGAATAGCAATCAGCCTGAGGCCAGTGAAAACAGTAAACATTCCCATATGTTTTTACATTACAAAATTACATTAGAAAATTTTCACTTTTCACGAGTTCACGTTAAAGGAAAAGATTCATAATTGATATTCTGGTCCATTCCAGTTTACTTTAAGCCATAAGGCACAGGTAAAACCGCAGGTGAATATTCCAAAAAATAATCGACAGTGGTTGGTCAATTTGCTTACAATTTGTGACCAACGACTTTTTGCGGAAAGCCCTTTAAGATATGGTGGCGGCTCGTAGTGGTGACTGGGCAAATAAAAGTAACATGCTTGAGGATTGGATAAATATCCCATTACAGTTAGTATGACCCGTTATTTTTATCAGTCCCAAAATCTGCGCTACGAGTCATCCCCGCCAATATTTAATCTCGTTAAATACAAAAGATCTATCTCACAAGCACGTTTAAGAAGTAAAGGCTTCGGTTTGTAGAATGTACCGCGCGATATTAGAACTGTTTGAACCGCCATATGGTATAATTGCGTTGTATTCGCAGGGAGGTAAACATATACTTGATGTGCGAGAGAAAAGAAATGTTGGAGGCACAGCTACAGCGAGATGAGTTACGGAGCGCGATATTAGATGCACAACGAAATTTCAAGTTCAAGCTGGATTAGGTTAGGTTAGGTTGGGACGAAGACGAGAAGGGATTAGGTTAGGTTGGTACTACTACCACCGCTACGCCGGACCGGACCGACCAAACGCGAACTGTAGTGGCATATGACGCGTCTGGCAACACTGGTGTACATACGTACGTACGTACATGCATGCGTGCGCACGAGCCTCCAAAATCACCCGGCCGTCACCTGTGCCGACAAACGAGGTAAGCAACAGCCGTTATTACAAAGTGTCGTTAACAACGGGAGAAAGCGCGTAATCGCGACGCGATCGACGCGAAGCAGTCGCCGCCGGTACGGTAACGTGCGTGGTTTGTCACGCGTCGCGCTACATGCAAATATGTTCGTCACAGGAACGATACGTACGCGCGGCGTGTTGCGTCGCGTCGCGTAGCGTCGCGTTGCGTCGTGTCGCGTCGTGTCGTACGGCTCGCTCGTGTGACGTGAGTAACGCGCACTTTCCTCGCCGTCACATTCCCGAGCAGTTTGCGAGCTCGCCTTCTGTCAGTCGAATTTCCTACATTCTAAATCATCCACTCTCGCGTCAGTCTTGCGCCCGGTTTCCCGCCGCCGTTCACTGCAATAGAAGGCATACACGCTCACTGTGTTTCTACATGACGTCATTAAAAAACGCTGCATCTATGCATATGCATCTCTGTTGTTTTCATCATTGTCGTTGCCCGTTGTCGTTGCCGCTGCCGCAACCGCCGCCTTGTCGTCGCCACCATCACCTTCATCATCGGCGACATCGGCGTCATATCGTGTTGTTGTGGCACGTCACGCGAGCCTCGACTATCGTCTGTCATGGCGCGTGAAATGTCGCCACTGCCGCTGTTGCAGTCGCAACGGTTGCGTCTCTTCTTTTTAATATAGTATAGCGTGACATCTTTGATACATCTTCGGTACAGCGCGGTATATTTACGGAGGTTTGGGCGGAAAAAAAGCGACAAAGATGGCAACCGAGCACGGAAAATGTATTCCGGATGATTGTTTCTTTTTTTTTCTTTCTCGTTTCGCGTATTAACGCGTTTTAAGCCTAACCTAACCTAACCCTAACATACGCGATATACAATTCGCAAGAGTCGCAGCGAATGACACTCGCGGCTCGCGGCGTGACGTCGACCGTTGTCGACGACTCCTGTCGCAAAGAGGTAGGAAGCGGCCGTCATGGCGGCCGCTGCCGATCGCCACGCGCCATGTCGCGGTTGCGCTCGCGCACGTCCTCGTACTCGTACTCTCTTTCCCCCTTCCGTAGCGGGTGCACTAGTGCGAAGGGAAAGCGTGTGTCTCGTTAACCTTTTGCTCGGACTCTGTGTGACGCTCTCTTCGCGCATGTACATATTATTAATAATAATAATTCATCGTCCTCATGCAGACAAGAGATCGTCTCGATCGCCATGAACGTAACGAGAAATTGTACATCAACATTTCCAATCGAATCACTCGAAATTTTGCTCTACTTTTTAGACGGTCGTAACGATGACTTTCTCTTTTCTTTGCATAAAATCAGCCGTAGGAGAGATTTTGTCTCTACATTTACGTTTAAACGTATATATCAGGGCCACGCGAGCATTTGAAAGAAAGCACAATTTTTCGATAACAGATTTTTTAGCGCGCAATGCGTAGAAAGCAGCTTTACGTGTCGACAAAACACATGGCAGCTAAAAATAGCGCGGTGAAAAATATACACCAACGCGTAAATGCAACGCGCGGATTATTATTATGCGACGCACGTCTTCTCGAAATAACGTCGCTTTTTTCGCGCGGTCATATTTCAGATAAAATCATTTCGTCGGAGTCGGTCTCTACGAGAGACGAAAACTCTTACTATCCTTAATGTTGTCGGCTCAAATTGTCGATCTTTCGGTTAGATTCGGTTAGTCATCGATATAATTTCAATTACGCGAGATGCAAATAAATGGCTCTAATCAGACGCTACCCATTTTTTTTCTTTCGCGATTGTCTTATCTCGTGATGAGAGATACGTTGCAATCGTTAATTACACCGATAATACGTACGGCCTTCGAGATCAGTCAAGCTTGATCAGTTATCGACCGAAAAACATTGCGATCATTCGCGGTTTAATAAATACGGCACTTGGGAAATCACCACGTTTCTTCATATTCTACGACTGCAATATAATCCACGTTGATTCCATAAGCACGAAATTATTGTGCGTTTCCATGTCGACGATATAATTCGTCAATAATTTATTTTCTCACCTTCTCTCCCAGTGTTCTGTGCATTGTCATTATGGCATCCTAAAATTTACATGTTGCAATAGTAATCTGTTTAATAATATGTATAATGTCTGATCCTGTGACTCTACTGAATCGATAGTTTGGCGGTTCTGCTACTACTCTTTCTCTTGTTTTCTATTAAACTTCATATCGATTATCGGATATTGCTGATAATACCACATCGTTACAAAAGTCCCCAGTGACACGCAATCGGTTAATGTACGGTACTTGCAAGACGTATCGTTAAGGGTCGATTGTCCCGACTTCTTGCTAAGTCAATTGATTGTTGAATCATACGTTTGTCTTTGTTTTTCCCTTAATTTAGACAGAGACAGACATATGGTTCAACTATCAGTTAACTTACCAAGGAATTGGAACAACCTTGCCCTGAGACAAACGTTGCAGCTTCGTAAGCAGCTACGTTCTATATTATTGATTCCGTCGAGAACCATGAGTGTGAGTGTCAATTACGTTTGAGTGCAAAATTTGCAATAATAATAATAATAATGATACCGGGATTGGAGACATTTGTTCCTCGATGTCACGTCGACGATTGTTGTAGAGCGGTTCTCGGCTGGTCCGTCCCAGCCGCGGTGGCGGCGGTGGTGGCGACGGTAGTGGGGTCTTGTTTACCGAATTTCTCAAAAGCGGGTCAGCGACGACGTTACGATCCAAGTAGCGGCCCAATAAGAGACACGAGGAAGGGAAAAAGAGAATTCGCAGTCTCGATCGTCCGATTTATAGAAGAGCGAGAGAGAGCACGACAAACTCGTTCTCCTTCAACGAAGAGATACTCTTGTGCACTCGTTCTCGTTTCGCCAACACTTTCTTCTTTTGCGGATATACATCTTTTTTCAGGGCACACGGGCTACCGCTCCTCCCTTTTACTTCTTTTTCTGCTCAATTTAATTTTCTTGTTGGATCTGCAAAGATCCAACCACGAGGGGGAAGAGAGAGAACGACGAAGAAAAGAGTTCAAAGTCATCCAACTATCATTCGACTATTCAATTTCTTAAATATCTTTGTCTATATACCATTATGAATGATTATTATTATTATTAGTTAGAAAAGAAAGAAGTTTTTTCTCTCTCACGTCTAGCTTTATGAAATTTCCGTTAAGGGATGCGATATAACATAGAAATACGAAAGCAAGATTTGTCCCGCGCTGCGGCCGGCTTGCGCGTACCACGTGAAGTTTGCGGAATGCGGCGGCATGTGACTAGTGAACAGACGCGCATGCGCGCGCCGTCCAATAACGCCTCGAGCCATTCGTAACTGATGGTAGACGAGAGCCCTCTTCTTGCGCATGCACGCTACGCCACCAGGGACGTTGCGATATTGGTGGGACTTCGTGGAGAGTAAGGATTGATGTGTCGAAAGTAAACAGGTAAGATATTTTATACAATGTAGGATCGTATGACGTTAAGGTTGTTATTAACAGACCAGACGTTGCGATATTCCAAGATTCTCGTGCTCATACAAACATGGTTCTCTGTTGATGAGTGGCTCCCCATGCTAAATTTTAAAACAGTCTGAACACTTTTCTCTCGATCTGCAATTCAGAAGGCAACAGATGTCTAAGTGAAGGGAACTTAATCTTCGGAAATTTTTCAGCGATAGCTTCTTTCTTTGAATCAGTTGTGTTTCAAACTGCATCCAAACAGAAAGTGTTCAAACCGTTTTGAAGATTGGTCCTGATTCTGCGTTCTCATCACTAAAAGTGACTCTAATACCCATATTCATAGTCAGGCCTTATATTTGAGGCCTCCTTATATCCATCTTTAAATGTTGCACGGATTCTTTTATTGGCTACAGACCATCTGAAGATAAACTTAAGGAAGTCTTAAATATAAGGCCTGACTATGAATACGGATGTTTGAGTGCCTTACAACCAACCAGTGGTGCGATTCTGTAACTCGTTATTGGAGTTGACACTTTCGTTATCGTCGCGCAGCTTTTGTATACCGTGGAAAAGCTGCGCAACGATAACGAAAGTGTCGTTAACTCCAATAACGAATTACAGAATCGCAGTACTGGAGGCTTATAAGCCACTTTTAGTCACTTTTAACGATAAAAGAGAGTTCAGAATATGAATCTGTGCGTTATATATTAAACATAGATAAAACGCATTTAGTGAGACACTGACAGCGCGGTAAGAATATAACGTAAAGAATATAACGTTGACTTTTCTTGTTGCACGCAAGTGTGTGTTTATTAATTTTATAAAAAAATCCTTCAATAATGCATCCGTGTTTATTAATTTTATCAAAAATCCTTAATGCGTGTATGTTTATTAATTTTATCAAAAATCCTTAAATAATGTGTGCGTTTATTAATTTTATAAAAGATCCTTAAATAATTTTTTTAAAAACATTCAATAAGGGACCATACAGAACCAATTGAGCTGGGTTGCTGTTGCATTGAATACGCATGTGCAGAAAAGAGGAGGGGGCTCATCTCTAACGCACCACCGAATGGCTTGTAACGGCGCCGCGCGTCCTTCCGTATACGCGCGTTCGTTGGGACTGTGTTTCCTGTAAACAAGTGCCGCTCGTTATTTGTATGTCGCATGTGTACGCGATATATAAAACTATTTATTTTTTTTTTTTTCAAAGAAGCCGTCTGAATTGCAGCGAATATTTTGAAATGGTTGGATAGATAAGGTACTGGGAGCAAAAGTCTGCCGTATATCCTGCAAGAAGGAACAAGTGGCCAAGTCGAGTTGGCGTCGCTGCCATTTGACAACGTGATATCGTCTGTTTCGAAGAAGAGACTGTTGGAAGACACGAAAAGGCAGAGAGAGAGGGAGAGAGCGCGTATAATAAAGGGACATGTATCAATTTTGGGAGAAGGTGCAATATCGATTGTAGTTACAAACCGTGCACGTTTCTATTAGACTCGAGATCGACAGCACAGATTGAATTTCTCTCTTTCTTTCTGTCTCTCGCGTGATCTCACGACGAAACGAAATGAAGTTGGTTATGCACGTGCTCTGTGAACTCAGTGATTGTTATGGAGATAACGTGGACGCGCGTTTGATGGTATCCTTGTGGTCGTCGCTATCTCGAATGAGTTCTGCGCACACAACTTCATTGGCTACTGCGTTGTCTTTGTTCCATCATCGAACCTCAGGCACGTGTTCACACTATTCAATTTCGTGTTTTGTCCAAACTCATACTATCCAAGTACATGTACAATATGCCATTCAATGATTGCACTTATATATTCCTTTCCTTTTTGTTTTGGGGTAAAATTGCAGAAGCGATAGTGACTTAGAAACAAGAGGCAAGATGTTCAATTTTCACAAGCCAAAGGTCTATCGCTCTGCTACTGGCTGCTGTATCTGTAAGGCCAAATCTAGCAGGTAAACAAGTCATTTGGTTTTTCAAAGTTTCCATTTTCAGATTTGCATTATAGAAATTTTTATTTAGATAGGATTTTTATTTAGATATATAGATGATATATAGATATACATAATGAATTGTTCTCAGCAATAAGGCTAAGTGATCTGATAATGAATGCACAAAAATGATCTCTTTTATTCAATTTGTTCCAAATATGCTTGTTAAGCCCTAACAAATGAAGAGCAGCTTGTTTAAACGAATCTGATGCAAAGACATTTGCAAATAAATATATATATATATAATATTGTTTTCTGTATTCAGACAAATCATTGAGTCTTGTTTTATTTAATTTATTATTAGAAATATTTATCTTACATGTATTTCATCATAACAGATTTGTCCAAGCTGTTTTTTTCATATTTACAGCTCGAGGTTTACAGATAGCAAAAAGTATGAGGATGATTTTTTGGAATGTTTTCAACTGCAAGAGAGGCGTACTGGCGAGATATGTAATGCATGTGTGCTTTTGGTCAAAAGATGGAAAAAATTGCCAGCTGGAAGCAATCGCAACTGGAGACACGTTAGTATACTTTGCAATAAATGTGCAATAAATCTGTAAACCCTTCCAAGATGCTAAATCCAACCATCTATTACTGATTGTGATTGCAAGTTTCAGATGTAGAGTGCTATAACTATAGTTGTGTTTCAACATTTATTTATAACATGAAAAAATGTTGGTTTCTATATTTTTACTAGTGAAAAGTTGAAAAATTTGACATTAGCAAGAACTTGTCACTGAGAAATGATGCGTGTGGAAGTAAAAACATGCACATTGGCACATGGTATTAATGTACTATGATCTGCAACTAAATTTGTAGTCAATATAATCCATAGTTCATAAATAATACTAATTATATAATATTAAAATATTCTCAGTAATCTTGACAATTTATATAATTTTAAACTGATCTTTTTTTTTCTTTTTTGTTTATGAATATAATTGGCTGCAGGTAGTGGACGCACGTGCTGGTCCTGGCATCAAGTCGCTAACAAAGTATAAGTCAAGGAACAAGAAGAAGGTGAAGGACAAGCCTGAAAAGATCGAAAAGATTGTGAAAAAGAAATATGTTTACTCAAAGACAGAGGCCGACCGCGAACATAGTCCAGCTATGAGCGATGAGTTGACTGGTTAGTATGGTATATTTAATTACTTAAAAGCAACACACACGTGCTCGTGCGCATATATCTGTACATGTTGCAAACTATAAGATTGCCGAATAATGAATGAAAAATGTTATTAATTATGTCGTAGATTAAACTGCTGAATTATGTAATATGTCGCAACAAAATAACATTTGTTATCTACTCAACACTAATATTGTTGATTTTTTGATTTTGCAGAATATTACAGCATTGCGGAAGTGGGCAGCAAAAGTTCAAGCAGGTCAGAAAGTCCTGCAGATAGTGATGACATCGCGGAAAAGCAAATAGATGTACCACCTGTTGAGAATATGGAAGTTGAACAGAGTTATATTAACGATTTCATCGATTTGTCATACTTTAAAAGGTAATCTTGTTTAATTTGTGCAACTGCATAAATTTGTACGATTGATAAAGATGCTTGCTCGTTATAAGAAAAAGAAAAAACCAACAAGAGTAAAGAAAGTTCTTTATAATGAAGAATTTCTTTATTCAATTTTCGATTAAATTGTAAAACATTCAAAATTGTTTCGAAGTTTTCGAAAAAGATAGCGTTTGATTAACACTCCTCGATTTTAAAATAGAGTGGAGTGAGGTAGAATTTTATATATATATATATTAAATATTAATATTAAGCGTGTATAAATCTCATTTGTAAATGAGATCTAAATTAATATCGGTGACAACTTTTCTACTTCGCAGAGAGATCATCTGTTGCGGCACAATCTTCAAGGGCCCTTATGGTGAGGTGATTGTGGATCCTTCCTTACTGAAACCCTGCGTAGGCTGTCTGGCCACTAGGAGACAGCGGCAGCGTAGCGACGACATCTCGTCGGCATCGGAAGCCACCAGTCCTATCCACTCTGCGTCCGTCAGTCCAGCGCATAGTGTCGAATTGCCACCGGAGGCAAGTGTAATTTCCTCCAAACAAAATGCTAAAACGACCTTCAGCGACTCGTCGTCTGACTCTGGTTACGACGAATGCTCCAATCAGGGTGCGTACAGTGGTAATAAGATTGGCAAACACGGTCAGGATATCAAGTTGCTTCAACGAATGGACCAGATGTCCTATAAATCCTTGACAGTCGACGCCGACGTCGCCATTAATCCACCGTCTCAAATACAGCCGGTATCGTCAAATTAATGCCGACTGTTTGTAGAGTGTTAATTTATTCTTTTCTCATTAACACGCGCGCGCACATACGTGCGTACAGCTCTTTTTGACCATAAGGATGCATTTGAAGATTGCCAATCGATTCTCGCTAGGGTCCAAAGTCAAGAGACAAATTGATAAAATTGGAAAAAGGGAACACAGATATTTTAATTCGAAGAATTTTAAGAAAATGTTCTCGTTAAGCAGAAATTAAAATTTCTGAAGAAGATTGTGCTAAAATTAATACTCCTAATTGTAAAGTAACAAAAACAAGGAAATCTTGATTTTAGCAATTCTTCGCGAAAATGTTTAGAATCTCTGACAGTAAAATCTTAATGTCAAACCAAATTGTAAGAATTTATATCTTAGCAAATTTAGGAATTTTAACTTTTCTTTTTATAAGGACTTTAAGAGCAAATTTTAATATATATTCTAATTTTTGATAACTAAAATTTTTCAAATACTAAAAATCGATTAAACGATCGACCGATCGAGAATGTCATAGTGTAAAATTCTTAAAGTTAAATTATTTCGCAGTGGCAAGATCTCTTGAAATTTCTAATACTGAAATTTTCAAATTATTCATGAGACCTGTCACAGTTTGAGGAAAATGCCGATCGTTTAATCAAAAGCGATTAACAACGGTATAAACAGTGATAGGTCGATAGCAATAAATAAATACAAAAATGGATAGAGTCAGTTTTTAGCTCGTATTTAGATCAGTATTAGGAGAAATGGATGAATCTATCTAGATAGGAGAATTCATATACACATAATGCAAATCAGTGGCAATCAGATTGGCAAATTGGACCAGCGAACATTAAATAGATATATAATCATAGATTATAGAGGTAATTTGAAAGAGAGAAAAGAGTAATTAAGTAAGAACTGTTAGTTCCTAGTTGACAGACAAAGGATGAGCATGCATCGATTGCGCGTCTAGCACAGAGCTGATCCAGTTTTTATCTCATATGTGGGATTTCGCGTAACACGTGACGTGTACGACGCGTTTGCGTTGGGCCAATCGAACGAAATGATCGGACATGATCCTTTGGCGCTTGTCAATTGGAAATTGAAGACGGTTTCAATTTTCAATAAACGAGGTAGCAGATGAAATCGAGCATTTCCGATTGTTTCGTAATGCTTGCATATAGTGCTAAACGCGGGAGGAAATACGGGCTAAAAAAGGGGGGGGGCGTACAAGTGAGTACCTGCTGAGAACAAAAAAGAAACCGCAACTGTGATCTCGACGAAGTTGCTTTTTTGGAAAACTCTTTCTTCGGACTTTTCTTCCTTACGCACAAACGATTGCCGAAACGAATTCCCGTTTAGCGCGATACGTTTTAAAAAACTCTTTGTGTCAGAATTCATGAATCTGTCATGATATTGAGCGGATTTGCAGAATCGAGGTAACTTATCCTGAAAGAACACACAATCACTTTTCCGGCATATAAATTGAAAAGAGAAAATTAAAAATTTGAAGATTACCCTGGATATAATAAAGCACGGGGATGTCTTGAATCGCTTTATTTGTGAAAAAAGGGAAACATGCAAAAAATAATGACTCTCGGCTTAAATACTGGATCCGAGATCAAATGCGAAAGAGTAAAGAAAAATGTGCAATAAACACACATCGTCGATCCCGTCCAGCTAAGCTAAGCTACGAGTCATTAATCTTTTAAGTTATTCCTAAGCGAATATCAGAGAAAAATAATACATACTCGTGTTTATAAATCACACAAATTGCCCATCGAGACGACTCGAAAGCTCATCGACAATCTCTTATAATTAAGTAAATGAATGATGAGGAAAGGATAACAGTTTTTTTTTTTTTTTTCATCAATAATCAAACGAACATCGAAATCGTCGGACGATCCGTCATGAGACTGTAATGCCGATCAAACGATCCGTTGATTGCCTTCTCCCATGATGGATCGCGCGCGCGCGCGCGCGCACGCACACACACACACACACACACGCATCCACCCACCCACACATACACATATACATACATACCTGCATACATATATACATACATGTGTGTGTGTGTGTGTGTGTGTGTGTGTGTGTGTGTGTGTGTGTGTGTGTGTGTGTTAAGATCTCATTGAGATGAGATGATCTCTTCGTTGTGTGAACAAAACTGATAATTATATATAGTCTTGCTATATCATCATTACCATTGCTATTATTATTATGATTTATTATAATTAATGTATGCGACGATCGGGGTTGGACCGTGGCGCTTCGATTCAATAGATTTTTCTTTTTCTTCTCTTCTTTTGTGCATTTAATCAAAATTATTTTGAATTTGTATAATTTATTTCCGAAAGTTCACTAATTATAAATATGAAAATATTTATTCGAAAGTATAAATGTAGAGCGATCTGCATTAAAAGGAAAAATACTGACGCAAATTTATATGTATTTTGTATTTGTGCGTGTATGTGTGTTGCGCGCGCGTGTGTATATATATGCATATGTACGTAAATTGTATAAAGTTTCAAAAGCTAATGTAGTTATAGATAAACAATCGAACCTTGGAAGACTAAAGTAAAGATTTTAAAATAGAGTCTATAGAAAAGTTTTTAAATAAGCGTCTCTCTTTTTGAGAAATTTATAGACAAATCTTGTCTTTCAAGAAGGGAAATTTTCAATTATACGGCTAGAGACTGATGAAGAGTTTAAGATTGAAGAGAAGAAAGTTTTTTTGAATATCCATTGTTAATAAATGGAAATTGTTACGGAACTTAGATTTTTATCGCGTATTTTTACATGTATAACATATAAAGCAATGAGAAAAGGAAATTGAGAATATATCGAAAATAAGCGCTACGAATCCGCCTGGATTAACAAATGAGAGGAAAGTCATTTCTCTATCTTTATTTAATTTATTTGTTTTGTAAGTTGACTCGTTTTCGCAATATCTTTTCCATGTACACATATGCGTATATTAGGTGTTTGGTGGATTACCAGTCTGTCGTACTAACGTTCGCATGCAGATAAAGCATAACAAATCTAATAAGAAAATTTGGTGTTATTTTGTAAAAATTGTGCTTACGCAAAATGGTTGTTAAAATTTCAACTTTAAGGGAAGATGAGTGAGATGCGCCTTATAGTGAAACAAAGACTCCATAAAGACAACTCAGAGGAACATGTCTCAAGTTGTTTCCATGTTTACTTTCAGACACCGTATATATGTGTATGTGAATCAGTGATCTTTTCTTCTTTGTTTTTTAACACTGCCAGTAAGAAAGGTGAATATCATATTTGATAACAATGATAAAAAGTGATAGATACAACAACCTAGACTGGCAATAACTTTATCGAAGAAATTATTTATATATCTTTTCGTTCTTGCAATTAATTTAAACAAATATAGGCGATATTAAATTAGGGATACGTTAAGGAAAATAATCGTAGAAGATAGGCGATAAGGTGTGTGTCTGTGTGTGTGTATATGATAATAGAGATATTCAAATTTTAATGGGGAAACCATTAGATTTGTAAGTGTAAATTTTATCGATCGAGAAGATACGATGATGTAAATATATCCGCGAAGACAACTTTACAAGTTGCGATAGACGAGCAAAGCTTCCTTTTCTTATGTTTTTCCCAGAGGAGACAGTTTTTTAATCAACTATTTATACAATCAAATATAAATAAAAATAACGTAAGATCAATCCGTGTACGCGCGCATACACGTGCGTGCACTCATACAGAGAGAGAGAGAAAGAGAACGTGTAAAAAGATCTAAAGATAAATTATGGGTTAAAAATTGAAATATTAAATTTGTGTAGTTTTTTTCCCAAATTGAATTTACATTTACGTGGTAAGACGAGAATGACCGAATGTGGTCCGTCCTGAAAATGTCCACCAGCATCTCGTTAGCAATTGTCGATTCGCAGTGATTGCTGATATATCCTTTTTTCGCGAAGTTTTTTCTTTCTTTTCCTCCTTGTTTTTCTTGTGTTTTTTACGAGACGTTTCTTATCACCGTTTTAACAGCGTGATGAGAGCGTCTCAATGTGAAAAAGACACTATTTTTTTCCCATTTTATAGAATATTCCAACTCTCAGAAATATGCGTAGCACAGAATGGTAGTGTACAGAATGTTCAATTTTTACCATATGTTTCTCAAGAGTAAATTTAGTTGATGTCGCTTCGCATCCCCTCCCCAGTTTTTTGCGAAAATGTCGAACTATAAATTAGTCCCTGAGTTACAAACGATCGAGAAAGAGAGGTTGTCCTTTCTGGCAAGCTAATTCGAGTCGTACGCAGATTGATTTTTTAATGTGGGTATTTTTTTAAACTGCAGTGATGATATAACGTTAATATCGAAAGAATGCTCTTAAATATATATATTTTGTGACACATTTTAGACACATCCAGATAATAATGTAAATAGAGAAAATATATAAACTTGGAACGATCGTGTAGGCATTTAGCAACGTAACTTGTGAGTTTCCCGATAGAATTCATATAAAAATCTTGAGACTTTTATATATACTTTGTAAATTATATTGTAATAAATATTGGATTGTTTGTGATAAGTTGGTAGGGACTTTTATGAAAAATTAAAAAATCCTTACGAATTTATCATACGACTTTTTTTATTTTCAGGAAATGCTATAACACGCGATGAAAGAATTCCAAGTAAAATATATTATTTGCCACGACGCGGAAACCTGTTTGCATATCGAAAGTGAGATACGACCCTAATAGCACAGATGTCCAGAGGACGTCCAGAGTACGTCTTGAGGACGTCCTGGGGATGTTTCTTCATCTTCAGGACGTCCTTAGGACGTCCCCAGGAGAACAGGGGTATCAGGGGAATATCCTATTCGTTCGTTTGTTTTCCTTTAATTTCTTTTGGCACAAGTAGCATTATTGCCAGTTTCGAAAGCTTTTGTAAGAGACATATCGGCAAAGATTGAACTTTCCGCATAAATGTTAAAAATGAAACGATTGAGAGACTGATCGATACATATAGCATTTTACGACGCTTGTGTGTGTATATGTTGTGCACGCGTGTGTATTGGGTAAACTGTTTATCATATAAATCCAACATGTGCGCGTGCTCATACACAAGTATAGCAAGTAAATAATTATGCATATACATGCGAGATTATTTATATAAAATGGACACATACACACACGTATTGCTAACGATGACGACTGCCGTAATAAATAATATATTATTAATTGTGTCGATTATTACATCTCAGATATATACATATGTGCGTGTGTGTATGTGTGTGTGTGTGTGTGTATGTATATATGTATGTATGTATGCATGTATGCATATGTATATGTATAGAAAAGAAAAATATCTATTCCGAATCCTATATTGTGTATAATCGCTCTATTAGGATATTATATTCTATCGTATATAATTATTTACTATTTAAGGGATATTATTATGATCATTCTATTCGCGATTATCGATAATTTCATTGAAATATCGAATTGCGAAATAGACAAGGTTTTTACAATAAGATAAGAAAAGAATTATACCACTTATATCCATGTACAACTTTGTAATAAACCAATTTATTTGTAATTTGTCTCAAATTGGTCATATTTGGATCAGGAAATTAGGAAAGTTGATTATTAATTGTAACATTTGTGTAATTAATAGGCAGACAAAAGATGAGACATTTGTATAAAAACAATTAACATAAGTAATTATTCTTACTTGAGTATACGTGTCGACATGACAATTATTTCCCTGATATTGAATTGAAACTATAGGTATAGTAATTTAGACTGCGCGTTCGAGGAGTGAGGGTAGAATTCATGTAGGAAAGGACACACTCTAGGTCTGTTTTTTATCGCTGAACTAGTGTACACTTAGGGAACATAAAGAGAAATAGATATACATTTAGGAGTTAGTGAAAGGGAGAGAAGAAGAGAACAAGTGTAAGTTAGTACAGCCAGTTCAGCAATAGAAAACATCGGGGAGGGAATGCAGGCGTAGTTCCCCTGACTCCCCCCACCACGATCCGAACGGTAGGCACCCCGCAGGGGTTTTAGTCGGTAGAAGTCCGACATAACCCCCGCCCTCTTCAAGGGGCGGGGGTATCCATGAGGATTTCCCCTGTGTGACCAAAAAAAAAGCAATAGAAAACAAACCCTCTGTTTTGCTGCGTTCTCCCCACAGACTTCTATAATATAACTAGACTGCTAACTTCCTTTTATACTGTGGCACAAAATTGACCCCAAAAAGTATGTATTAGGTAAGGGAATCAAGCATCTGCGCATGCGTGAAATTGGTAATCCACAAGGAGAGGGATTACATAAGCAATATGGCCGATCCAATTAGAAGAAACGTGTTTTAATTCAACCAATCAGGCGTGAATGTCGGACCACCAGGACGGTACATATTTTTCGGGGTCATATATTGAGTCGGAGCAGTCTAGTTATATTATAGAAGTTTGTGGTTCTCTCTCGCACACTCTCGATGGAAAGGGAATAGGGGAGGCATTTGTTAACCTCGACGCAGCGGCGGCCCTACGCCATGCCAGCAGTGGCTCTGTGGTGCGATTCTTTAACTCGTTATTGGAGTTAACGACAGTTTCGTTAACGTTGCGCAGCTTTTCTACGGTATACAAAAGCTGCGCAACGATAACGAAAGTGTCGTTAACTCCAATAACGAGTTAAAGAATCGCGCCACTGGCCTACTTAAAAATACGTTGGCTTACCCTAAAATTTTAGAAAATTTTAGGATAATTATGTTGTACTATTATAAATATGACCCACCCGCATGAACAGTTCTGGCGCCGCCTATGCCTATACGACAGTACAACTGTTATTTTTTTATTTTTTTTTCCGATATAGTGATCAACCTAGATCACCGTGCCTTCAGTTCACCCCGAGATGTATACAGGAAGAAGTCAGGAGAGGTGTCATTTTCTTCGTCTCGTCAAACACAACTGACTGCTATTCTAAAAGTTCATAAAAAACGTCGGTAAATATGTAGAAAAAGGTACGCCGATTTTTTTAATTTTGAAATATGTTATAAAGGATAAAATTCTGAGTGACTTTTCCTAATACAATTATATGGGGGGTTGTTTATAGTTTTTGAGATATTTGACTTTAAAGTTTTATAATTGTACGTACTGAAGTATATTTGAAGTAGACAAGCAGTTTCCATTCACTTTAAATATAGGAAACACTATGTTTGGATTAACTGTTTGGATTGTACTGTAAATAACGTTAGCTTATGATATCTGGAATTTAATTCCAGGATAATAAAAATTCCAAAACTTTAAAATCAAATATCTCGGAAACTATAAACGATCCTCATATAGTTGTATCAGGAAGTCACTCAGAATTTCATCCTTTATAATATATTTCAAAATGAAAAAATCTGGTGAGGTGTACCCCTTTCTACATATTTACTTCTACTTCAAATATACTTCAACGTACAATTATAAAATTTTAAAGTCAAATAACTCAGAAACTATAAGCGATCTCCATATAATTATATTAGGAAAAGTCACTCAGAATTTCATCCTTTATAACATATGAAAGATATAAAAATGCTAAAACACGTGTTCCATGATTTCGAAGGGGAATGAGAATGGCATTATCAGTTTTTATTTGGAGGATTAATTAAATAATTTTGAAATTTCCAAAGGTCGATAAGTTAAAAAAAGTTAGGGCACTGTTATAGTAATATATTCTTGATAATAAATAAAGTAAAAAAGTCTAATACTATTTAAATGGGAACCCTTATTTTTTATTACACTGTTTTTTTCTACCAATTAATTTGAACTGTTGTCTAAAACAACTTTTTATTTGCTTAATATTTGTTGAGATATTTGAGGAAAACTTGATAATTTTTTCAATATTTAACTCACGATATTTGATGATTTTGAAATTTCCAAAAGTCAGTAAGTTAATAAAGTCAGGGCGCTATTATAATAATATATTCTTGAGACTAAATAAAGCAAGAAAGTCTAGTATCACTTTTTTCTGACAAATAGTTAGCGAAATATCGTAAGTTAAATATTGAAAAGGTTATCAAGTTTTCTTCAAATACCTCAACAAATATTAGGCAAGTAAAAAAATGTTTTAGACAACAGTTGTTCAAATTAATTAGAAAAAAACAATGTAATAAAAAATAGGGGTTCCCATCTAAATTTTTCAAGTTGATCTCCAAATGACCTTGAAGGTCATGGCCAAGGTGAAATTCAAGGTTACCATCAAGTCCGTTATTCGATTTTCTACAACTTTTGTATTTAAAGTTTTTCATGAAAACTTGATCCTGCAAAGTTAATCGGAGGATCCGGTATTTTTAAGACGGTCTGTATATCGATGGATTCGGCATTAAATGCTCTTTAATTTTCGTCCTTATAAAAACTGAAACATTTGCAAAGGTAATGAAAAGGAGGGAGAGGAAGGGTAAAATATTGCATTTTGAAACATTTGAATAGACCGATGGGAAGAGTATAAAATACTGTAAAACTTATGTCTGAAAGACTTTTTCATATTTACTTCATATTTTAAGAGATATTAAATAAGAACGAAAAAGTCCGTTTTTTCAAGGAGTTTCGATCTCTAAACATCGAGATAAGCACATAAAAGAATACGCATCTAATGTTTTTTGATGCTGTATAAAATATCCAATGCCCATCAAAATCAGTGAAGGACGACCCCGACCCTTTCCTTGTCAGCGCGCAACAAGGCAATCATAATTAGTGATAGCAAATTTCAGCCTAGCGGCTCCGCGGCCACGCGCAGTGGGCCAGAATATCTCTAAATGTGGCCAAAAGTCAATATTCGCATTGATCTAAAATAAAGTTATTATTGTATTTAGAATGTTTGAAAATAGTTATAAGAGAAATGTTATGTTGATTGGATTATTTTTGTATCAGTCTTAATATGATAAAATTACAAAATACATTAACACTTTTTTTCATTTTCTCTACTTTATCGTTCTTTTTTGGATCTTTAGTTAACGAATATGATGAGCAAAGATTAAGAATGAAAAATATGTAAAATTGAAGGAAATAAAAATAAATTAAAATATATTACATTCTCTTTTATTGCATTATTACAAGTATATTAATCATAACTACTTACTTCCGATTTATCATTCCCCGAAATTCCACTTTCGAGAAAGAGCATTCTAAGTTATATATGCTGCTTATGATATACAGGGTGTACAGGATTTAATCTGTCCAGGCCGATATTTCGTGAACTAGCAAAGCTAGAAGAAAAATCAAAAAAGGTTCTTCAATGGCTTTACTTCGAGATGATTTTCCGCGCGGTGGAACCGTACCTTTCCGTACTGGACTTCGAGGGGGGAGGGGCGCTCAAATTTTTTAAATGGAAACCCTGTACGAAAATAACAGCTGTTGATAGGGCTCGAGAAGACGAATCCAACGACCTATATTTTTATATGCTTGTTGCGAAAATGATGGCCGCTATGATTTTTTGAAAATACGTAACTTACAAAAGGTGCTGTTCGAACAATCTGTCCAGGCCGATATTTCGTGAACTAGCAAAGCTAGAAGAAAAATCAAATAAGGTTCTTCAATGGCCTTACTTCAAGATGATTTTCTGCACGGTGAAACCGTACCTTTCCGTATCGGACCTCGAGGGGGGAGGGGCGCTGAAATTTTTAAAATGGAAACCTACGAAAATAACATTAATTAATAGGACTCGAGACGACGAATCCTAATACCTCTTCGTGACTCTTCCGAGCGTCATTACACTTTAAATAATTTTAATAATCTTCTACCATTATTACGCTATGTGGCCGTTTTATTTATTGTGAGCCATGGGTATTAACCCATAGCTCACAAAATTCTTTTCGAGCCCTATCAACTGGTGTTATTTTCGTAGAGGGTTTCTATTTTAAAAAATTTGAGCGCCCTTTCCCCCTCGAAGTCCGGTACGTAAAGGTACGGTTTCACCGCGCAGAAAATCATCTCGAAGTAAGGCCATTGAAGAACCTTTTTTGATTTCTCTTCTAGCTTTGCTAGTTCACGAAATATCGGCCTGGACAGATTAAATCGAACATCCTGTATATTTTAAGAAAAAGTTGCTACTTTTTGCTACTTTTGTTACATAACGTAAGCAAACATATGTAAACAAGCCATCGCCTATATCTAGAAGCCCCGTACTGTTACACCGCGATGTTAATCAGCAAGTCAGTACGAGTCTTTAGATATAGGCGATGACTTGTTTACATATATTTGCTTACGTTATGTAACAAAAGTAGCAAAAAGTAGCAACTTTTTCTTAAAACTTTTTCTTAAATATCATGAGCAGCATGTATAACTTAGAATGCTCTTTCTCGAAAGTGGAACTTCGGGGAATGGTAAATCAGAAGTGAGTAGTTATAATTAATAACTACTCACTTGTAATAATGCAATGAAAGAGAATGTAATATATTTTAATTTATTTTTATTTCCTCCAATTTTATATATTTTTCATTCTTAATCTTTGCTCATCATATTCGTTAACCAAAGGTCCAAAAAAGAACGATAAAGTAAAGAAAATGAAAAAAAGTATTAAATGTATTTTGTAATTTCATCATATTAAGACTGATACAAAAACAAACCAATCAACATAATATTTCTCTTATAACTATTTTCAAACATTCTAAATACAATACTTTACTTTACAACTTTATTTTAGATCAATGCGGATATTGACTTTTGGCCACATTTAGAGATATTCTGGCCCACTGTGCCACAGTCGAAAGGGAAACGCATACAAAACATACATGTGCCACATGTATACGGCTTTCGTTTGCGCGTTTCCCCTTTCACCGTGAGTTGTGGAGCCGCTAGGTTGAAATCTGCTACTGCACTGATCATGAGTAAGCTGTTTCGCTCAGAGTGCGACAAGGCGAGCATACGGGCTATTTCAATCTCGCTCAGTGCACCAAGCGCGTGAGAAGACAGAGAAGACCGAGTGGTAGGGGTAAGCCTCGACCGTGTGCGTAAGAATTTCCAGCATTACTTGTGCCTGTGTCGTGTGTCTGCTCACTGGTGGTGAGACAAAGTCAAAGCGATTCAATTGTTATCCTTCTCTTACTCATATATATATATATATATATATATATATATATGAGTGTCCAACAAGTAACGAAACACCCTAATAACTCTTCAGTAGTGAAGATTGAAGTTTCAAGGAAAATGATCTGAATAAAAGTTGTGGGGATTTAAGTGAACTCCCTCATGATGACCTTGACTTTGACCTCGCCCTCTATTTTCAAGGTCATTTGAAGATCAACTTGCGTGTTTTAAATGGGAACCCTTATTTTTTATTACACTGTTTTTTTTCTACTAGTTAATTTGAACAACTTTTGTCTAAAACATTTTTTTATTTGTCTAATATTTTTTTAGATATTTGAGGAAAACTTGATAACTTTTTCAATATTTAACTTACGATATCTCGCTAACTATTTGTCGGAAGAAAAAGTGGTCCTAGACTTTCTTGCTTTATTTAGTCTCAAGAATAAATTGTTACAATAGCACCCTGACTTTTGTTAATTTGATGATTTTGAAATTTCCAAAAGTCAGTAAGTTAATAAAGTCAGGGCGCTATTGTAATAATATATTCCTGAAACTAAATAAAGCAAGAAAGTCTAGTACTACTTTTTCTTTCGACAAATAGTTAGCGAGATATCATCAGTTAAATATTGAAAAAGTTATCAAGTTTTCCTGTAATATCTCAAAAAATATTCGACAAATAAAAAAATGTTTTAGACAAAAGTTGTTTAAATTAACTAGTAGAAAAAAAAACAGTGTATAAAAAATAAGGGTTCCCATTTAAAAAACGCAAGTTGACCTTCAAATGACTTTGAAAATAGAGATCAAGGTCAAAGTCAAGGTCATCATAAGGTAGCTCACTTAAATCTCTACAACTTTTATTCAGATTATTTTCCTTGAAACTTCAATACTGAAGAGTTATTAGGGTGGTCCGTTACTTTTGGGACACCCTGTTTATCATTTTCACTAATGCCCGTTTCTACCAACTGTGATTAATTTAACCGGTTGATTACTCTATTGGATTGACCAATACCATTTGCCAATATTGGTTAACGACAGATGCAATTGGTTAATTCCGTTGGAATGAACAGCTGGTTAAGTCAACCACGGTCGATAGAAACGGGCATAAGTCTGTTTTGGTAGCTCGGACATTAACCAGACTCAAATCACAGATACAAACCTCGTATCGTTACCGAGACATCGAGTTAGTTGACGTTTATTTTCTCAGGGGGCGTATCAGGACAGACATATGCTTTCGCTTTCGTCCGATGGCCGCTCTCAGGTTTCTTTCTGGCTCTACCGAAGTGTCACAATGTGTATATCTGATACGGGCATCAAGCAGAGGCTCGTCGAGCAGATTGAAGAATAATTTGTAGAAAGATTTGCAGTTTTCGAAATCAAATACTTCGTACAGACGAGTTATGTAAGTAACAATGTTATACAATGTTATACTTGGCAAAATGTTACGTAATTCGCAACATTACTGTACAAAAACATCGTACTGCGAATTGCCTGAATTGAGGTTTAGTCCAGTTACTTCGCGTTAAGCCCGTATCAGGGTACCTATTATGGAACTCGTAATCGATTCCGATCGAATTTATTCCATTATTTCTCAGATTTATATTATCTTTTCTAGGGGAAATGGAATTATTCCGATCAGAATCGATTCCGACGACGAGTTCTATGATAGGTACCCAGACTATGGATTGGGATTGAGATTGGATTGAAATTTGACCAATTGGAAAAAAGAAAATAATCTCAAATATAGTAAACTTAGCCCTGATTGGTTAAATTTCAATCCAATACTCAATCCCAATCCGTAGTCTGATACGGGCTTTACGCGACATACGTCTAGCAAGTTAGTCGAATATTCTCTTATTTGGGCCTTTTCCTCTATTTTTATTACGTTTTTTCTTACTTAGATTGGCGCGTCGATAAAGTACAAGTTGATGCTTGCGATTGCCGTCAAGTTGTGACGTATCACTTGTGTCGTTGTGGAAGACATATTTAACATGTCACTTGCTGTAAAAAAATTGTTACAGAGAAGCGTGACTTACTGGTTCTTTGTACCGATGTTCATAGGACTACACATAGGTTGGTACTCGCTACAACAAACTTACGTGCCGGAAAATGAAAGACACGTTCATCCGTTTATGAAATATTATAAGAAGTTTACCACGTAAGAGTGTGTATGGTATTGGTAATACAGTCAATGGAACAATTTGTTATTTTGTAGAAAACTCTTTATTGTAAGATATGTACGTACGAATTGCACGCGTTTGCTTCTATGCGCAAGTATAAACATATACCTAAATCTGAAGTTGGAATTGAAATAAAAAAGTAAACAAAAGAGAAAAAGAGAAAAATCTGAGAAATTCTCGAGGAAAAAGAAATGTGCGAATAAACTGTTAAAGGATAACAATGCAACGCCGTTTTCCTTATTTTTTTCTAATATTCTACATATCGACGCGTATGTCTTCTCAAAAGACTTAAGAAAATATATGTACAATCACAGAGGAGATCAGTGTTAACCTCTTATAGTCGGTAAATGATCGAAATTTTGTTGATGTACGGAGGAGCTCTTGGGCCGATTTTCGCTTTGACTATGAACAGAAGGGCCAGCCTTGGGTAATTGCGGCAATACCATTTGACTGTAATTGGTATTCTGAAAATGCAATGTAAACACATGTCGTAATCAAGTTCTCTTTTCGCACACGCGGTTACGCTCGACACATCGATCGCTCGACTTACCCGAGATCGCTCTCGATACTTTTTCAATTTTTCAAATTCTTCTATCTCGACGTCTGGCATTTTGAAATGAAAATTGTCGAAATAAGAATGTCGAAGCAGCTGTTCGCACGTCCACCTTTCGTTCGGATCTTTATCCAAGCATTTCCTCAGGAAATCCAGCTGTTTGCAAGAGAGTTGGACGATAAAACTCACATAGCGACTCAATAACGAAAAGAAAAAAAAAATGTCCCAATAACCGGACGTTTGAGCGTAGGTGCCACAAAAAGTACAATATATAATATTAAAAATAGTTTTGACATAAATCTTTGCATTTATTCGAAAATTTAAGATTCCCTTAAGTAGAGGAAAATTACTTAAACCAATATATATATATCTATTATCTATTAATATATCTATTAATAGTATATATCTATTATTTATGAAATATTTACACACGTAATGAGGCGCATTAATATACCAGTGACTGAACAGTTGAAATAAGTTATGGCCCAATATTCAGATATATTTGTCTCATCGCCTGATCGCAAATAGAAAATTAGTATGTGCTAACGGGAAATAATATGAATATAGATGCTATCTCTTAATGAATTTATTAACAATTGACCATTACTTTGTCAAACTATAGATGCATACTTGTTTAATTAATTTTTGTTTTAACACAAAAGTATCAAATTGGGTATATTTTTTTCCAACTAATCGGAGTTCGCATATTAGAGTTTTTCTCGCAGTAATTATTATTTTCATTCATTATAAAAATAAGTAATAAATATGTTTTTTCAAAGTGGTCGGATGTTGGGACGTTTACCTTACGTAGATTATTATCGTTGCTGCGAGACTAGGAGGTGCGTTACCTGCAAAGGATTGCTATTGCCATGGGGTAGCGCGTCTTGAAGAGGCATGAGTGTTTGCGGCGTTGGAAGGGTGATACCAGCGAAGAATTCGTTTTGTTGAAAGATAGCCATGTGCCTCGGTAAGAGATCGCCCAGAGTCCTTCTTATCAGATATAACTGGTCAACGTCGGATTTCCCCGGCCATAAGGCTTCGCCTCGTATCAATTCGGCAAACACGCAACCGATAGCCCACACGTCGACCGGAGTGCCATACTGCGTGTCGCCGACCTGCTCGGAAAAACATATGCATGGCTCTGTGCTCGCAGACCTAGTCGCGTCCGTAATGCAATTGTACTCGCGCGCGCCGCCGCCTTTTGTTCTTCTTCGTTATATTTTTCTTTTTTTTCATTCGGTCTTTTAATCGGTTTTTAATTGTACAGGGTGGCCAATGGGAATGTGTTGAAACTAAATGGTTATATATATCTCCTCCTCGATTTCGGCAGCTCTTCTACCGACTAGGGTCCGCTACCTGAGATTCGTCAATTTCATTTGAACGTTATGAAAGTTATGGGATGGATGCGCTAAGCATCGAAGAAAAAGTGTTTCTCATCGAGTGCTTTTACTACTGAGGCGTATCGTGGATTTCGTAGTATGTATGGATCTGAAAAAGTTTCAAGCAAAACTATACTCAGAAGGTATGTTTTTGATACTTTTTATCCACGCTCCCGCTCCCAGAAATCGCGCCATAATCCCAATGCTGGTTATGTGAGATTTTATCTTTATTTTTCGATATTTTTTCGCGGGATTATTAATAATTTTAGTATACAGGGTGTCCCATTTTAATGTCCTACCCCAAATAACTCTTCAGTATTGAAGTTTCAAGGAAAATGATCTGAATGAAAGTTGCAGGGATTTAAGTGAGCTACCTTATGATGACCTTGATTTTGACCTTGACCTCTATTTTCAAGGTCATTTGGAGATCAACTTGAAAAATGTAAATGGGAATCCTTATTTTTTATTTCACTGTTTTCTTCTACTAATTAATTTGAACAACTTTTGTCTAAAACATTTTTTTATTTGTCTAATATTTTTTGAGATATTTGAGGAAAACTTGATAACTGATTGATAATTGATTTTTCAATATTTAACTGACGATATCTCGCTAACTATTTGTCGGAAGAAAAAGTGATACTAGACTTTCTTGCTTTATTTAGTTTCAAGAATATATTATTACAATAGCGCCCTGACTTTATTAACTTACTGACTTTTGGAAATTTCAAAATCATCAAATTAACAAAAGTCAGGATGCTATTGTAACAATATATTCTCGAGACTAAATAAAGCAAGAAAGTTTAGTACCACTTTTTCTTCCGACAAATAGTTTGCGAGATATCGTAAGTTAAATATTGAAAAAGTTATCAAGTTTTCCTCAAATATCTAAAAAAATATTAGACAAATAGAAAAATGTTTTAGACAAAAGTTGTTCAGTGTAATAAAAAATAAGGGTTCCCATTTAAAGAACGCAAGTTGACCTTCAAATGACCTTGAAAATAGAGGTCAAAAGAGGAAAAAAGAGGTCAAGGTCAAAAGCAAGGTCATCATAAGGTAGCTCACTTAAATCCCTACAACCTTTTATTCAGGTCATTTTTCTTGAAACTTCAATACTAAAAAGTTATTTGGGGTGGGACATTAAAATGGGACACCCTGTATATGGCATTTTGTGTGAACGATCGTAGACATAATTTATCCGGCCCATCTCGTACCGTTACAACGGACGAAACAACGTGGTGACGTTAGAAGATATTTCGACAAAAATCCAACCACCTCGATTCGGAGAGCTGCTCAGGCTTTGGATTTAAAGCGAGAAACTCTCCGAAAGACTGTGAGAGATGTCATTAAACTGCATCCGTGAAATTCCATTTTATGCAGGATGGCGCGACCCCATACCGTACTCGCGAAGTCTTTGAATCGATACATAAAATGTATGGCAACAGGGTAGTTGGGTTAGGATACTTGAAATTTACTCATTGAGGTTTGGAATGGCCTCCCTCCTTACTCACTCGATTTGAACCCGTATGATTTTTTTCTTTGGAGTTCCCTCAGAAACAAACGTTACGCCGTACAACCTCAAAACACTGCAGAGCTGATAAATAATATTGAAAAATGCACTCGCAGCATTCCTACATCGATGTTAGATAATGTATTTCAAAGTTTTCGCAAACGATTGCAGTTCTGTGCTGATTCCGATGTGCAACACTTTGAAAACATACACCATTAATTCATACGCGCGAGCAAAATTTTTGTCTTTTTTTTATAATGTGTATTTCAATTATTAAATTATTATATTTCTTTTTCATATACATGGTAACAAAATTGACAAGTTTCCTCTACAAAATGGCGTTTAATTCATTTCGTTCGGCCTATTTGTTGCGAAGTAATAACCATTTACTTTCGACATATTCCCATTGGTCACCCTACCCCCATTATTACCATTATTATTACCCCCCCTCCCTCCTCATATTTACCAGCAATTCGGGTGCCCTGTACCACCTGGTCGCGACGTATTCCGTGTAGTTTTCACCGGGACTGAGCATACGCGCGAATCCAAAGTCGCAGAGCTTTACCACGCCTTCGGCGGTGATGAGAATGTTCTCCGGTTTCACGTCTCTGTGAACGCATCCTAGGCGATGGCAATAGGCTACACCCTGCAAAATTTGCCAGATGAGCTGCCGGGTCGTGAGGTCCGGACAGCCGGTAGGATACTTCTCCATCTCGTTCAGCAGAGTATTCTCGCAGTATTCAAACACCAGGTGTAGCTTCCTCTTTCGTCTGAAGACCTCCAGAAGATTCACCAGATTCGGATGCTTGAGATTCTACGGAAAATTCATCTCTTGTAAGGATCAGTCGTCGATCGTTTCACTTCCTTGTCGCGCATCTAGTTCCTGTCGCGGTGCGCTGTTTATATGCAGGTATATAGAGAGAATTTACTACGTCTTTCGAGGTGAAATGTCAAGACCCGACGGCGGAGAGGGGCTCATTCAAATGCGCATACGTTTGGTTTGCTGGTGCGGCCGCTTGTTACAACGATAACGATAACGATAAGGGTTAGGGCGATTAGAACCGAGAACACGCCAAGATATTGACCGCCGCGCGGTATTGACCGTTGGCTACTTCTCGCGCCAACGACGACCACGAGCCAACCCACCACACAGCCCTCACGGTGCACTTACGCTCTTATCAAGTAACAGACGTAAGTCCACGCTCGGCCGCTCGCGATCATGACGGATCGGCCAAATTCGGTCGGCTCGCATTTGCGAGCGGTAATTCTGTCGCGCTGCGGCCGGCGAGAAACACGCTGGCGTGAGTCAGCGGATGATCGCTATGATGTCGATTTGCTCTTCCGCGGGTCATTGACCTCCGAGAACGCGTGTGTATGTCTCTCTCTCTTTCTCTCTTTCTCTCTCTCTCTCTCTCTCTCTCTCTCTCTCTCTCTCTCTCTCTCTCTCTCTCTTTCGGTCAGCTTGCTCACCAAGAAAGATCGATCGTGCGCAAAGGAAAAGCTCGACACGACTCGTATGTCGACGCTTCCTTGTGATCGCGTATGTGAGACAGGCTGTCTTTAGGCGTTAGGTGGATTAAATAAAACGCGTCGGAGCGTTTAGGAAAGTTGGAACTGACCTTCAAGAGACGTATCTCTCGTAGTGCGATCTTACGTATGAGGGGGTCATCTTCAGTCTGTTGAAACTTTTTTACCGCCACCAGTTTCCCAGTTTGCCGGTCCCTACATTGGAAGACAACGCCGTAGCTACCCTCGCCGAGCCGTGCCAAACGCTCGTAACGCTCCATGGCTTTGCTTGGCGCCCGAGACCTATACGCAACATTATTTTCTCTTATGCGTTCATATAAACAATGTCTATAAACAATGCGAGATTATACTGATATACTCTTGATAAAAATCTAAATTATTTTTATTAAACTCTCTAAATTTATTAAACTCTCGTTTTTCCCTCCCTCCCTCCCTCCCTCTCTCTCTCTCTCTCTCTCTTTCTCTCTCTCTCTATCGCGCGCGCAATAATTTTTCTCTGTTTGCTTGTTACCCCACAAGTCGCCTGGAGCGTATTAAATCGACCGAACGCGTGCACAAATATGTAAAAATCTTGCACAAGTCACGTTTCTAGAAACACAGGGTTTGAAACCGGCGAATTTTCACGAATGTTCAACTCTTTAGTTCAACTCACTTTTTATACTTGGCAAGGCATGGCAAGGATGTTAACTGTTGCGTAAAAAGCATAGTATCACGACTGACAGAACCGGCTAGACTGTCTCTCTGTTCCAATGGATGACCAAGGGTCAAGCTACCCTACGAAAGAGCGAGAGCGAGGGGGAGAGAGAGAGAGAGAGAGATCGAGAGAGGGAACAAGAGAAAGTTTTGCTCTGTTCAAACCCGGCCGATTCAGCGCAGGCGCCAGTCTGCGTCAACCAAACCCCGCTCACGAAAGCGATAAAAATTTTAGATGGTCATATAACGGCAGTACAGTAGCATTATATTGATAATATGATGGCATAACAGGAATCGAGATTGACTGAAATCCCATCAAGACTGAAAGAATGAACCGTCCGATCTCGAATTGATTGAAACGAGCACTCTTCAATATTTAACTTAACTCGGACGCGAACAAGATATCGATTTAGTACGTATATTTACATGATCCGCTACGGAGCACGTGCAGAAATGTTACTTCACAGTTATTGCTCAATTAATGGAAAAGACAAGAGAAAATTAATGGAGACAAGAGATCGTTTCAGAGGTTATTGTTGCATGTATCAGGTAGTTTGATGTTGACCGCGATATGACCGGGATGACCAATCCGCGATTTCGCTCGATAAGCACAAATCGAGATTATGGCGAATGTAAACATTTCTTACGTTTTAAGCGCAAGAATGCAATGCGCAGATCGGCTTATTTGTATTTAGACTTGTGTAATATATCGCGAAAGAATGACATTTTCTACATATATATGCATGAACCACCGAGCATCAATAATAATATCGTTGATGTAATATCGAAGAGAGAGAATAAGGTGAGATGCATCATTCTTTTAATCTTATATGAAAGAGAGGATTTTATTTGAGATAGATTAGGAAGAGAAGAAAAATTATAAAAAAAAGCTCTTACCACTGTGGTATATATTGCTGATAATTTGCAAACTTTATGTCGTTTACCATATTGTTGTATTTGCACGTGTATCATTATCACCGAATAGTAATTTCGAGTGTTGATCATTGATATATGCTTAGACTTTAATAACTTAACATACAGGACATGGCTACTTCGACTAGGTTAGGTTTACAGAGACGGACGTGAAACATTTTTAAAACGCGAATTTTGTCAAGTGACTAAATTCACAAGTTTACTTTGTCACTCATCAGAGATTGTATTTATCATCTTGCTCATGGGATTTTGGTTAAACGGCAAAATTGCTTCCGAAAAATCGTTTGCGTTGCGTATTTTGGTATAACGTGAACATGTAATAATACCGAAAATTAAGTGCAAAAATACTCGACTTGGAATATCGTGACTTTATTTATCCTCGAACGATCCTTGGAAAAAAATACTAATTCTTGCAGAGATAGAAGACACAGTTGAGAAAATAATTCCTTTCCTTTGCAATTTGAGAAACGAGACAGATTATCTCTCTGTAACCGGAGAAAATAACAATATTCGCAAGTGTTTGAAGATACTATAAAAGTTTTTTTTCATTCGCGCAAATCTAAACGTACTGCGTACTTCAACGACAAATGGTCGATGTTGACAGGCTTAAGGTTGAGTCGGCGCACAATGTTCCACACGGCGTATGCATTTCGTACGCCTAATGTTTCGGCGTACAAGCAAGAAAACAAGAAGGAATAGGTATCATGTTAGTACGTACAAAAATCCGAGAATAGAATTCATGGAGCTCGCTGATCGGGACACCCTTATCGGCGAACATACCGGACGATACTAACACGTCGAAGAAATGCTGCTTTACGTTATCGTTGAACTCTTGATTATTGACAATCGATATTACGCTGCTTGTAGTACACGTCTATATTTAAGTATCGTGACCGTGAAAGAGGGTCGAGACTGTCCTTTTAACATTCAAGACTTTGCAAAGGCGGAATCGTCTCTCCCTCTCTCTCTCTCTCTCTCTCTCTCTCTCTCTCTCTCTCTCTCTCTTCCTCTCTCTCTCTCTTTCTCTCTCTTTCTCTCGACACGGGACATGGAATATTCATTTGGAGATAGCAACATTTTCGCATCAGATTTAACTGACAATTACCGACGATTAGTGTTTATTCATGTTTACCTCCTCGGTAGCAATGGTAGCGTACTACCGAACAGCCAAAGCTTCCTATCTTGAAACCATTTGTCCATTCGAAGGCTTCTTATAGAAATCTGCTACGAATGAAATATTCATGTCGCACCTTCGCCAATACCGTCGTGACAATCGCAGCGGATCTCATGTTGATGCGTCGACATTGTTGATGCGATCTATTATCAAACTTTGTAACGTTCACTGATGCCGATGGCAGCACTACGTTCGCTTTCGTTCGTACGACCCATCCACCGATCGTGTATTCGTCCTTTTGCCTAAAACCACGTCAAACGGCCGATCGATAATCCTTCGAGCCAATGCATCGGGTCTAAGAGGTCTTTCTATTTTCGCCAATTCTCGACACTGATACCGCCGCAAATTTACCTAACCTTTCACACCACGGTCTCGCAACGAAACGCATCGGTAAAATGTTGTAGACGGATTTGCACAAATTGATATCCTCCATAAATTTATGGAATTGTGGAACGCACGAGCCGTTATTGTACAGAGAGGGTTAGTGTCCAGCTTTCGAGGATGCGAGAATGAAGATGCATTATTTATGAAACACACTTGTTAAATTACGGTCGACATTGAAGTTCATTTATTTTTCTATGTAAAATATCATTGTGCGTATACCTGATTACACGGATAACACATGTATGAATCGGGTATGTATATTCCATCAAGCTCAAGTTTACATATTCCGCCAAGAAATCTGTCCTATAATGTTACATATCCGCGGCATTCGGAACAAAGACTCACCTCAGTCAAACATTGCTCCGTCTTTTGTAACCGATTCGTCTACGAGGGCTGTTTATAACAATGACTGTTATTGCGTTACAAACTCTTATAACACATGTGCATACGATCAAGATGCCAAATTATTTTCTCGTGGACATTTTACCTCTCAAACCGCTCGATATATGATGTTTTGTTTCCCTTCGGAAGTCTTGACATGTCTCTCGGAACAATTTTGTGCGCAAATTGGCATCTATCTTTCTTGCGCGCACGTACAATAGATACAATATTTATACAATATGGTACGAAACATTACGAAAAGGTACAATTGGAATCTCTTCTTTCTATATTATGGACACGCTGAAGGAAAAATGCTGTGCTACTCTTGGGATTGTATTCCTTTCAAATGATTAACATGTAGCTGCTTCTTGGGGAAGAAGGAAGGGAGAGAGAGAGAGAGAGAGAGAGAGAGAGAGAGAGAGAGAGAGAGAGAGGGGAAGCAAAGTGAGAAAAAATTCAATAGACACACAAAATACTGTTACATTTGGTTCAGGATGATATAGATAGATGTTTTCTCGTCGTATATCAGCGAGTGCTCGTGCAACCTTTGATTGAACAATCGAATCTACCTGACTGCCATCAGGCTAAGGCCATATACTAAGGCACATCTCTACGTCACGCAACTGATTACACGCTCTTTGCGTTTCTTCGCTGCGTACAGACTGACCCAAGCTTTTCGATATCTCGAGTTTCGCCTTTCACGGTGAATGTGACGAAGTATCTTTTGGTGCGATCCAATCTCTCAGTTGGAAGCGCAATCACTTGTTTTTCCTCTCCATGCGTTACTTCTACCTAGTAACACGATTAACAGGTAAAAAGCAGTGTATAATTAGAAGGTCGCACATAAATAAATAACGCATCATCATCATCATCATCATCGATTACCGTCATGTGTCCTCTGCCGCGGCTCTCTATTTTCGGGAGATGATCCGTCCGATCTGGGACGCCTCCAGCCACTGCAATTATAATCTACATTCACACTACGGATACTGACTCTTTTCGGGATCTACATATAGACGGCACGCAAGCACGCACGCATGCACGAACCAACCAACCAGCCAACCCACCCACCCACACTTACACACATACACGCGTGCGTGCAAGTACAAGCTTAGATACGCAAAAAATTTAACATATAAACAACAATTGAAGATTCTCTAGATTAGAGCGATCTATCCCCGTTAAGCTCGTACGTGTCTTAAATTGAGGGAGATGCGCACGATACGCTAACGTACGATATGTGTACACTGGAACGGAAGTGTATGCGCTGGTCGCGTGATGGCAACGATGAGTTTTCTGCGTGCATTGTCTAGCTTCGGTACAAAAATCTGGAGTGGTCGGCTTTCCTTGAAGTCTTCTCAATTGCTCGTACAGGAACCCCTCGAATTGTCTAATAACGACCATTATGTACACGTTACGCTCATGATGATGAAATAGTCGTAGGTATGCAGGGAGCTCGGTAATAGAGAAATGTTAATTATACTCGATACGCGTTCGGTAGAAAGGACTGCGTTATTCCATTCACCGTCGAGAGTGTATGTATATTATTATCGAGCATCCTGTCGAATAACCTAACTTGCTTAATCTAAAAAGAGCTTAATCTTGAGAAGAAGTTAACCTGAACGTTAACGGTCGATCGTACTTGACGACGCCAAGGGTGGGTCCGGTCATACCCGATTTATGAAAGGCATCCACCTGAAAAAAAAAAAATATATATATATATATATACCTTGCTCGTGTCATATCGTATCACGCAAGCTCATATCGCAATTGACAGGATAGGTGTCTCGCGCGGGAGAAACACTCGCGCTATTAATATCGATACTACCTGCCCTCACCTGCCTCTTTACCAAGACGTGTTCGTTCGCTCGACCATGACGAATCTGCAACCTCTTGAGTTCCATCAGCTGGAAGAAGATCTTCCTCTCGAGATGGTAACGCCGCAAGCTAATTTGCACATCCCTGGTGATCGTCTCCATATGGAGGGCTTGCTGTTTCGCCGTGTTTGGGCAACATCGTGCGTTCCTCCTTCGTGGAATTCTCGATACTCTGGGACTCGGTTCTATCCCGCTGTCTCTGCCTCCGCTGTCGCGACGTTGCTTCCTCCACGGTCGCTCTCGGTCGCCCTCATCCGAATTCTCGATTCTAACTAAGCGATTGCTAGTTGCCGATGGCACCTAATATCACCGGTCGGTGCGAATGACTTGTTGTGCATTAATTTCGTCGGAAGGGAGTGAGTTGTAATTATTGTCGATTCACAAGGAATTATTGTTAGCCTGGGTACTGGAGAGTTGACACGCTTACCCTTTCTATCAAATTCTTGTTTTAGAAAAGTCAAATCTCTCAATTCGGTCAATTCGAGATAAAGAGTTAGTTGAATTGGTTGCGATTGTTTGAGATTATTGCGAGTAGCTGTCGCGAGCCAGGGAATCACTTCGACACGGATCAATAGCTAAAAGTGACAAATATGAATGTGCTTAATTTACCCGAGGCAAAGAATCGAGCCCAGAAGGCCTAGATACAGTCAAGCCTGTGCTGGGTGCTAGTGCTCGTGCTGGCTCTTTCTCGCTCGTGCCTGGCAAGATTTGCGCGACACCGCTTTCATTGTCTTCTTGTTCCAAATCCTTGCCGGGAATCTCCCTGTTTTCTTCCTTCTCGGCCGCTTCGTCTTCATCCCATGCTGGGCTGTCTATCACGGCGATAATCGCGCTTCGATCTGGGGAATGTTCCTCCGAGCTCTCGAATGAGTGTTTCTTCGTCTTTGTCGGCGACTTCGAGGAACAGCTTTCCCTCGTCCTCGCGCTTCTTCCTGTGGATGGCCTCGAACGTCGAGACTTGGTCGGCTTTGAAGGCCTCGGAGAGTAATTGTCATCGATGTCGTGATGGGAATCTTTGCCTCCTAAAGACAAATCTGCATTGTTCTACTTCGCCCCATCATTGCCTTTCTCTTCCTTTTCTCTATTTGGTTAAAAACTAAATTTGCGGGCGACTATCTCTCTGTCATTATCGACATAGGTGTTTCGCCGATATACGCTGATACGCGTCGCGATCGAGTCCACTGTCTTAACGCAAGCTGAGCCCGTAGCTTAGTCAAACTATTTACAGGTTGCGTGAAAAGTTTGCGGAGTGGCATCTATAAGTAAACGGTATAATTATAAATTGTAGTCTGTTATATAGAATCACTCTTCACATGAACCTAGGTTAGGTTTCATTTCCATCTGTCAATTCTTTCTGTGTTTACAAGCCAATTGAAGTTGACGTGTCAGTATATTTGTTTGCAATGGAAAATTTGAAACAGCGTGCAGTGATTGAATTCTTTGTTAAAAAAGGTTTAAAGGCAATGGAAATTCATTCCGAGATGGTAAATATGTTAGGGGAATCTGCTCCTTCAAAAACAATGATTTGTAAATGGGCACTTGAGTTTCAACGTGGTCGTACAAGCATTGAAGATGATCCACGTAGTGGACGTCCAAAAAATGCATCAACACCAGAAATCATTGAGCAAATACATGTTATTATTTCTGAAGATCCAAGTGTGACTATGCGTGAAATTGCTCATACCATAGGCATTTCAGATGAACAGGTACGGCATATTTTGCATAAAGAATTACAAGTGAAAAAGGTGTTTAGAAAAGTGGTGCCACATACGTTAACAATTCAACAAAAATTCGCTCGAAAGCAAATTTCTCAGCGTCATTTGGATCGTTTTAAGAAGAATAAAACCGATTTTGTGCGTCGTTTTATAATTATGGATGAGACTTGGATCTATCACCATGATCCTAAATTGAAACAGGAACATTTACAATGGACTGAAGCTGGATGTTCAGCTACAAAGTAAACAAAGCATAAAAGATCGGCAAAAAAGGTTTTGGCGTCAGTTTTTTGGGATGCTAAAGGGATTTTGTTAATTGACTATCTGGAAAAAGGTAAAACAATTAACTCTGAATATTATTGTAACCTTTTGGATCAATTGGACGCAAAAATTCGTGAGAAAAGACCTGGTTTGCAGCACAAACAAATCATTTTTCACCAAGACAATGCGCCTGCTCACAAAAGTGTTTTGTCAATGTCTAAATTCAATGGATTGAAGTACAAATTGCTTGATCATCCACCGTATTCGCCAGATTTGGCACTCAGCGACTTCTATCTGTTCCGAAACCTGAAACAATTCCTCCGTGGAAAGCATTTTTTGTCGAATGAAGAAGCTATAGCAGCCGTAGGGGCATATTTCGCAGACCTTCCAGAAACACACTTCCGCGATGGAATAAAATTATTGGAGAGCCATTGGGCCAAGTATATTGAAGTTAATGGAGACTATATTGAAGAATAAAATCAATTTTAGAATTAGGTATTCTTTATTTCAGTTTCACTCCGCGAACTTTTCACGCAACCTGTATGTACACATTTTTTATCTTCGCTAGTTGATTTTAAACAGTCACTTTATTCTGTATCTAGATTGTAAACGGACTTACCTATTTCAACTGTCGCTCGTTCATCGTCCGATTTCTTGCGACTGCGAGGCGCAAGTCTTTCCGGAGAGGAAGATGCTTCGTCCGACTTCGATAAGGACAATGACGTGTCGAAGTCCTTTGTACCGTCGTTTGTCAGTGGTGGTTGGTCGATAAGCGCAAACGACTCGGCCCTCTTCTTTTTGTCCTCTCGCACTGTCCTCAAAGTCACCGTGTCATTCGAGTCTGCCGATCCGGATCCAACAGGATCCGGATTTTCAATCAGATCGAAAGACTCGGCCTGTTTGGTCTGTTCGGGAATTACTTTCACTTCATGAATATCTTGAGTTTCGCCTGCATCTTCAGAATGTTTCGACGATATCACTTCTTTGTCTGGTTGAACATTTTCGGCAGTGATTGACCTTCCATTCTCATCACCCAGACTCGTGCTATATTCTACTGCTTGTTCCACGGTGGTTATGCACGTGGGATGTTCTGGAGGAGAATCTTTTTCCTCTTCTGTGAACACAAGCTTTCCTTCAACTTTCTCTCTATCCTCGGCGATGAGATTTCTAGCAGATTCGGATTCGACGACATCGATGCTCAAGTTGGAAGATTTGTCAGGCGCAGGCTCATTCTCTCTCGTGGTTATTTCTTGTTTCTCTCCTTGCATACTCTCCTCGAACGCATCCGAGCAACCTAGAGGAAGATTACTATAGCCAATGCTTGATTAATTTTTCGACGATACAACGCTGTCGTAATTATACACTTACGTGCATCCATGTGTTCTGTACGTGAATTCTTACCTTCTTCTCTCTTATCGTCTACTTCCTTGGCCTTCAGGCTGCTCTCCAGCTTGGTAAATACTGTTACATCGACCTTCCCGCTCTTATCCTCACACGAGGACTCCTGCGAGGGGTCCTTTTTCGGAAACGAAGGGCCGGACGAGCCAATATCTGTCTTGCTTAACGGAAACGTCTCCAACATCGATTTGGGAGTATCGGGTATTTGTGAATCTTTGTGAATCATCGCCGTCACGGTCACTCGTTCGACAGTTTCTTGACTAGTGCTATCCGTCCCGTCGATTCCGTATCGGGATTCCATTATTCGGGATTCAATTCCGTCATATTTATCTTCATCTTCCTTGGCCGATTTGTCCGACGTTCTCCGATGAATGTGGCCAAGCAGCTCTTCTACATTCTTTTCTTCCTTGTTCGGCGACTCGTCGCGCTTCGTCGTATTTCTCTCATTGTCGGACATTTTCGTCTGTTTGCTGGATCTGGACATTCTCTTGGAGCTACGTTTGTGCATTTTCGTCAGTTTCGTCTCCTTCGTGCTCTCTCCAGGAGTCTTGGATCTTCTTTCGGATACGACCTTTTCGCATGTTTTTTCCAGCGATTTCTTCACCACGATCACTTCTAAACTGTCATCGCTGACCACACTGTGTTTGTCGTCGTCGTCGTCGTCGTCATCGTCGTCATCATCGCCGTCGTCGTCGTCGTCGTCGTCGTCGTCGTCGTCATCGTTGTCGCCATCCTCCTTTTGTTCCTCCTTCTTCTTCGAGTTATCTTTAGTTTCCGTTTCGTTAGAGCCTTTATTCGTCTCGTGCCCCGGCCGTTTCTTCGCGTGATATCGTCGCGTGCCTTTCGTTCTCGTGTGATTTTCATCGTCACCGTAAAGATAGTCGCGGCCCGAATAGTTCGATTCGACGGATGAATCTGAATATTCGTGTTTATGCCTCGTCGGTCTCCCTTTGCTTCGCTCTCGTCGGTTGCGCTCGCCGTAGCCATTATTGTCATATCTACGATACGATTTCATTTAAGCAAGCCGGATACCCGACTACGAATAGCAATCACTTGTAATTACTTGTAATGAGATCAAGAGACTTCTGCAGAAGACATTAATTATTTTTTTTCTCATTCTGTAGTTATTACTATCGCATTACTGTTTCCTACCTGTTTTTCTCTACACGCATACATACAGGGTGTAACATCAACATACAGATTAGTATGACGGGTTGCTTGCTCCTATTCAGACGATAATGTAGAGGTTGCCAAAAAAGTCACTCGTTGACTTTGTTAATAATGATATTTGCAGTGCTCCCAGTTATGATAAATATTTATCTCTTTAACTATCACTCTGCTCATTTATTCTGCTTAATTCCCTAATATTTATTTCTCAGTTTCACTTTTTAAAATATTTCTTTTAATTCAATGAGGCTCGACTCCGGTCGATAAACGCTTGATAAACTGTTATAACGATCATGGTACAAAGTTAATTGCACTTGTCATAACTGGGAATACTGTTCTAATATCATTATCAACGAAAACAACGACTTTTTCGGCAACCTCTATATTATTGTCTGAATAAGGGCCAGCAACCCGTCATATTGACCTGTATGTTGATGTTACACGTACGATGTACGTTTACGTGACTGCGTTTTTATTTACTTTTTTTTTATGAAGGGGCGCAAACTCGCGCGTATTTTAATGAAATATACATCCGCATGGCACGCAATTGTGTGCGTACCATAAAAGAAGTGAACTACACTACAATGAAGCAGTAAATCGCGAATGAGAAAAGGATATGAAATTTTGCTAATAAGATTTGGTTAACAAGGCAACAAGGCTTTTCCCTTTACCGAGCGGATTCGCTGCGGGCTCTTTTCTGGTCCATCCTCGAGGACGTTTTTGACAGTCGTATCTCCTCCTCGCTGAAACTTCGGCTGTCCCGACGAGCGACGAGCTTTCTTAGATTACCACCGGTCTTACGGCGCGTTCTTCTCTCTATCCAGCGTTCTTCGTAATAGAGCTCGGGATGTGCGTGCCCTCGTCGTATGTGGCTCGTTCCACGAGGAGGACTGCTACTCTCGCTCGCGGTGCTACTCTCGGCACGTTTCGGCCGAAATTTCGCTGTAAAAACTAACTAAGGTTGCACGTATGCTGCCGTATGCTGGCCCTCGGATGACCCGTCCTCCCGTCCTACTGACCTCTGTTCGGTCGCGCGACCTTGCGCACACCGAGCTGTTGTGCCGTGGTACCGCCGTGCATCTGAATGAGTTTCGCGCAATCCCGGTGGCCCCTGTAGAGAGCTGCGTCCAACGGGGTCATCGAGCTGCCCTTGCTGGTCCGCAGAACGGCGTTGATCCTCGCGCCGCGGTCCAGCAGGAGCTTGCACACGTCCAAGTGACCGTGCAAGGCCGCGACGTGAAGAGGAGTCTTGCCGTCCTGCGTGGCGACATCCAGCATGCTCGGTCTCTTTTTCGCCAGCCACTTGACCAGCTCGATTCTGCCAGATGCCACGGCTTCGTGTCCTACCCCCGTGCCTCGCACGGTCCTAACGTGAAGCGAGCCGCCGTGCTGAGCCAGAATCTTCAAGGTCTCCAACTGACCCTTCGCCGCGGCGCAAAGCGCCGGTCTGCGGATCGACCGCGGTGAATAGAGAGAGAGAGAGAGAGAGAGAGAGAGAGAGAGAGAGAGAGAAAGAGAGAGCGTGTGAGCTACTTAGAAAACTTGCTTACGTACGTTCTACCCTTTCGATCCTGCCGGTTCGGGTCCGCCCCAAGCTTAAGAATAAGAGCGGTGGCGTCGGCATGACCCAAAGTAGCGGCGTAGTGTAACGCGGAGCAGCCGTTATCGTCCACGTGATCAGGCTGAGATCCGCATAAATTCACCAACGCCTCCACGCATCTCGCGTGACCTCTTGAAGCGGCGCAATGAAGCGCCGTCAAGCCGTCCTTGTCCGAGGTGCCTGCCGCCGCCGTTCCGCCGGCCCTGCGCACACAACGAACCCGGTCCATCATCATGGCTGCACGTAATCGGTATACATAGGGTGGTACAATCAGCCGAGTGCTTTTCGTCGCTACCTCGCCAGAGCCAATACAGCCTCCACGCTACCGGCGCTCGCCGCCCACAGGATCGGCTGTCGCCCATCTTCGTCCTTTGCGTTCACGTCCGCGCCGAATTCCAAGAGCGTCTGAAGGACCTTCAGGCCGACCTTCCTTGGAACTGCGAGCTCGGCCGTAGCGGCCGCGCCGCAACACTGTGCGGCGTAATGCAGTGGAGATCCTCCGCGTAAGTCGCCAGTGGAAGGTCGCGCGCCGGCCGCCAAGACCAATCGCACGCATTCCGCTTCTCCGCAAACTGGAAAATCATTGCAACAGCGAGGAGCTCATATCCGCGTAATCCGGCAACGGCAGTTCAATTCAAGCGATGCTGAGCTAACAATAAGCCAGTAAGGCACGAACGAATACGAGAGAGCTTTCCGCCGCCCGGGAGACACGGCGGCAAGATTCGGCAGCAAGTCGCGTGATCGCCGTTCCGCCGGAACGGAAACGCGTTATCGAGGATGACCTACTGACCTTACCTCGCTTGACCACCACCGCGCGTGTCTCCCGTCTCCGAAAGATCGGAAGGGAGCGATAAGCGCTCTGTTTCTCACGGAACGGAGTACTTTGGATAGAGAGAGGAGGAGAGAGAGAGAGAGAGAGAGAGAATGGTGCACAATGGAATATAGAATAGAATGAAAAACACGGAAGTACCGGTAGCCCAGTGAAGGACGCTATGTCCCTCCAGATCCTTGGCGTTTACGTCGGCACCGTTCGCCAGCAGGACCGCGACCAGTTGGCTATCGCCTGCGATGACTGCCAGATGAAGCGGCGTATGACCCTCAGCATCGGGGGCATTTACCAGTTCCGGTGCCGCAGCGGCAACGGCACCGCCGGTCGCCGCGTCCATGCAATAATGAAGAGCGTTCCTCAACGTGCGATCCCTATAACCGATCGTCGCCTCTTGCTCCTTCAACAATCGCAAAACCCTCGGCCTGTTGCCTTGTTGACAGGCGTGCATCAGAGGCGTAGCGCCGAGGTGTAACACTCTGAAATACGCACTTGATCTCTCCCGATTGAAGCGCCTTACAGAGGGGGGAGGGGAGGGCGACCGCGGAAGGCGATACCTTTTGTACCTGTAAGGTCTGCAACGATCCTTGCGGCGGTCTCGATGCTGCGTCAGGTGGCAAGGTGGCTCGTCCTGCTGCGGCCAGTACGACGTACCGAGTGACTTGTTTTTGATATTTGATTTCGCTTGTGGCTGCGGCTGCGGCTGCGGGTTGACTGTCAGAGGCGGCAGAGACCACACATCGGCCACACGTTCCGCTCGCTTTGGTTGAGGCTTCTCCTGCGGCAGCTTCAACGGGATCGGTGGGGTCTTAGTGTCCATACCCGACTATGGCACACGCGGCTACTCGGACCACGCGTGAAAGCATCTTTCTTCTTCTGCTGCTTCTTCTCTTCCTCCTCCTTCTCCTTCTCCTTCCGTTTCTCCTTCTCCTCCTCGACGGATCGAACGCATCGCGTCGAAAAGTATGACCCGAGCCCTCTGCACGTTCGTTCAGCGCTTTTACTCCAATGTCTCAATTTTACGCTTCCGTGAAATTCAGTCCGAATCTTCGTCACTCTGGATAGATACAGGACGCATCGTTTCTGCATTGTCTTTATTACTCATCTCATCTGCGGTTCGACATTTTTCTACGACATTGAGCCATTTCGGTAGCCATTCAAGTACTATCGCCGTCTACCTGAACGCGACAGTGCGTTTCAGTGCGCCCCGGCGACCCAAATTTTCGCCTCTGAATCCAAACTCGACTACGTACTGACCACGTGCTGGCTACTGACCAGGTCACTCGCTACCATAGAAACCAACGGTCAAAACACACGGCCACCTATAAAGAATCATAATGACTAATATCGCGGCAAGGTCGCCACGTGTCAAATCCTAATCTTCCCCAATCTCTAGACGCGGTAGGTCACCTTAACCATCCTAATTAACCGTATCCGCGAATATGCTGACAGTGCACTAGGAGTGACCGATGCTCGCCAACGGTATTTCACCGATGAACAATTCGGAGAAAATTCAAATTACCCTATCCTACATAGATCCGCCGTAATATTGCCCGCGGCTCGCGATGCCCCGCGGAATTATCGCTTTAGTGGTAGAGAAAGAGAGACAGGGAGAGGGAGAGAGGGCCACGTCCGAGTCGTAATAACAACAATGTCGCAGAAAGGATCGAAGCGCAAGAACGTGAAGAAGAAACGTTATATTTCGTGCGCAATTCGTGGCCTTGCTGTTCGTGTACACGCCGCAACTCGCCAAACTCATGCGCACGTGTGCCGTAAGGCGGCGATGACTGAAAATCGTTATTTCGTTGATTCAACGTGCCGCACATCGATCGTTATTGCCCCGTTAATAATTCCTCTAATAGGCTTCTCTCGAGGCCTTCGCGGTGTGTACCCGCGATGATGTTAGGTTGAATCGTTAATATTTCATGCCGGTATCTCCCTGTTCCCGGGTAAGTTACTTACGTTCCCTCGCCTCGATATCACGTGCTTGTATCGTTTGCAAATTCCGAATAAAGTTATGATATAATCGATGTAAACGCTCGATAAGTCCAAATCCGTCACGGCTAAATGTATGGCTGTTTTCGTCGAAGCAAAGAGAGTGACGATTTTTGAAGAAAATGCGACGCAGCTTCGTGTCGAGATCGCTCTCTCGATTCGACTTTCCGAGGGATTTAAAATGTGCGGGAACGCGCGAGCGTGCGCACGCGCGTCTAGTGCTTCGCGAATAATGTCGATTTGAAAAATATACCTTGTAGATATATCTTGCTTGTTTAGCTGCCGCGAACACACGCGAGACAAATCTGCTATTTTCTGTCCGTTTAATTCTTTTCGATATTTTTCAATTATTCGCACCAACAACATTATCTCAATCGCTTTACTCGCTTGTCTTAATCTGTCATCAAATCTCAATGGTTCGAGCAGTCGTACAAATTTAACGAGCAGAGATCGTAACTATGATCAACGCAAAACGTGAAATGATGTAGAAATTAGAAATCAACGGGCTCTCTGCTGTCTAATATATAATCTTGCGTCTATATGCGGCTTTTATTACTCACTGTATCAAGGAATCACGTAACCGAGGCGAAATTTGTTTTGCGTCTTGAGCAGCGCGCGAGTTTTCGCGAGTCAAAATATAATTTTATCAAGCATTGTTCCAATCACGATTTCGATATCTCGTGAATCACGACAGTGAAACACACCTCTAGAGGGTGGGACGCGCACTGAAGACTTTAGCACAGGTGAGTTAACGTAAAGGTTGCTTGGATACCGTCGCGTCTCAGTAACGTACCAACGAAAACTTATGATGATTACGACTATCAAGTATCTGTGACGCTCAAAAGATTGATCGCTTATCTAAACATTTAAGGAAGTTTTGTCCGTGAAATAATAAAATGGAATATCTTGAAGGGAGAACTGAAGAATTTCTTCTAGATGGAATAAAAGTGTGTGGATTTTATCGAAAGGTATTTGCCGAGTTATTGAATTACTATATGAATTCTCTCTATCATTTTCGACGTAATTTCACAAATACGACGATCTTATTGCACTGATAGATCTTACGTAACTCAATCTGAAATTTATATTGTCGCACGTGTCTCATGTTTATCCAAAAATTCGTACAAAAGTCAAATGTTTATATTTCATTTCAAGATACTTAAAAATACAAATCGAATATGTGTTTAGCTTTTCACATACATGTTCTTCTTTCGCGCATAACAAATATATAAGTGCGTATGTATGCGTGCGTGCGCGTGCACACACACACACACACACATACACATATGTATAAGATTGGAGACAACTATTGTACTTCCTAGATGAATATCTATTTGAAAAAGACTTTCAATTGGGGGTATAGCTCAGTGGTAGAGCATTCGACTGCAGATCGAGAGGTCCCCGGTTCAAACCCGGGTGCCCCCTCAATTGGAAGTATTTTTTTTCTTTTCCACATTTGTTTTCCTTTATTGTCTTAAGATAAATTCACAAGAAACGCAAGGACGGGTCATTTCGTAGACACGTTTCATGTAGGATAGGATCTAATGAATTCATAAAGGTAATGAGTAAAATTCATTGTTATTACAAACAATGAGTACATTTTTTATGTAATATTACATATATAAATCTGTGTATTCATTTAATTCATAAATAAATTCTTATTTTCATTCATGTGCACATATCACGTACTTCATATCACGTACTTCATATCACGATTTATACACGTATATTATACACATATTTGGTTCTAAAAATGATATCGCAACCATTCTTCTTTATTCTTTTACAAAATGCAGAGATGCTTGATGCAATAATAGTACAGTGTGTACTTTGCATCAAATCTTGAGCAAGCAAAACTAATGCAGGAACCGACCGATAGCATTCGCAAGATTTTTATTTATAGCCCACGAATATTTACACTTGTAAAAGTAGACACAAGTTGAATTCTGCATGTTTCTCCTGTAGGAATGAAAGTTCATCTGACTCGCCGTTGAGTTATACTACTTGAAGGTCAGAGGACCTTCCAACATATTTATGCCCGCTTCTACCGATTTTGATTAATTTAACCGGCTGCTTATTCTATCGGCTAATTGACTAATTGCATTTGCCAATACTGATTAACGACAGATGGAATTGGATAATTCCGTTGGAATAATCAGCCGGTTAAATTAACGAGGTTGGTAGAAACATTAGAGAATCGGTTATTCCAACTTCTTGATAAGTTAACTGATAGTTAAGTCATATGTTTATTTTTGTTATTCCTTCAATTTAGATATTACCATTGAATCGTAAAGTTTGCAAAATTAAGATAAATCTTGACCGGCCTGACTTGTCATTGAGTCGTGCCACGACGTCGAATCTTCGTAAACGGCAGAACGCTGTAGTGTCGATTTCTTGCACTGACGCATCGAGTTTAAAGGAACAACTTAAGGACGGTCACTGCTACGAAGAGTGCAACATGGCGACGTATAGTGCGAGTCGTTTTTAACTCTTAATTCTTGATGAATAATCAGTGTCTGTTCAAGTACGAAAAAACTTGTATCTTGTTGTACCGTGCGAGCGATTGTGGAAGCGTCAACGACGTGAAAGAAACGATTCAAATATGAATTACAATCATTCGAACGCTCGTCGAGGTAAGCGTAACCTACGAATCGCAAATGTAAACTTGCACTTTAACATTACGCTTTCAATATAATTACGGCGTCGTTCTTTACGACACGCTGCTAATATTTTCGCTACGTTTTTTCATACGCTTTTTGCTAGCGCTGCAGCAGAAGTAATACTAATGTAAATTAAAACGTAAATGTGGGTTTCTTATCGTGTATAACAGTGTGTCATTGTAGCTTGACATATTAACGCATGTTTGGTACTTTAAGTGTATTCAAGTGTACAAATGTAAAAAGATGCATGGAAAGGGATTTTAAGAATAAAGAATAAGTTGTCATTTTTATAAATAGGAAAACCGAAGAGATTGCTGGATCCATCGGCTGCTTTATCAACACCAAATCCTCCAATGTCGCAGAATCTTTATGTGTACAACCAGCAGGTAACCCTTACCAAACATATGTGGAATATATTTGTAATTGTCTAAGTAACCAACATTAGAATAGAATAGAATTTTTATTCTAAAAAAAGAAAAGAATTGACCTTGAAAAGATTCAAGAAATGATAACAAAAATAAAGTAAACTTTCATATTCTTCATACTCTTCCATATCTTTAGGTATCAGCGAATAATGGCACAATGCCAGGATATGGCTTCAATATCCCTGGACAGACACCGCCTTCATATGGATTTCATTCGCAAATGCCGAATTATCCACAAAATGACAATCAAGGGGGAGAATTTGCAAGTTCACAATTTGCAACACAATTATTGGCTCAACCAGTTGTTACAAATATGGCAGTAGAATATGGAAACGCATTGGTTGGTTCTGGAAAGCAGCATCTTGAAAAATATGTCCCAATTACAGCATTGAAATATTACTTTGCTGTAAATACAGATTATGTCTTCGCAAAATTGATGTTGCTGTTCTTCCCATTTACGCATAAGGTAAGCCTTGTAAAAGACAGCAAAATTAATAATTTCTACCATCATCATCTCTCTGTTTCCTTTGTTTCTCAGTTTTTATATATAGGAATGAACTTTCAAAAAGACTTCAAACAGATGTCGAGATTGAATTATTTCTCTATTGCAGGATTGGTCTGTAAAGTATGAGCAAGATGTACCATTGCAACCACGATATGAGAAAAATGCACCAGACATGTATATTCCTACAATGGCATTTTTCACATATGTTGCTATGGCTGGGTTAGTTTTAGGCACGCAAGGGCGCTTCACTCATGAACAACTAGGTATTCTGGCTAGTTCTGCTCTTGCTTGGGGTTTGATTGAACTGATTGTTCATACTGTGAGTTTGTACGTGATGAATCTTCAAACGAGTCTGACAACGTTGGATTTACTGGCATATTGTGGCTACAAATATGTCGGCATCAATGCAGCTCTGTTGTCGTTACTACTATTCCAGAAATTTGGTTACTGTGCAACTCTGCTATACTTCAGTGTCTCTCTAGCTTTCTTTCTGATGCGATCATTAAAATTAAGAGTCATTCCACAAGGCCATAGTTCATATACAGCCTCTGGTAATAAAAGGCGACTTTATTTTATACTGTTCTTAGCTGGGATACAACCCTTTTTAATGTGGTGGTTATCCTATCATTTGATTTAAACAGCTGATACAAGAAATGAGATTTATGAAACATACAGTCAAAAGGAAACGTGTATATTTATTATTTGGTTACTAATATCATCTGTACATTTTTTGTAATAAAATTCAGTACGAATATAATACCATTTTGACAATGCATCGGCTTGTTTCCTTAAGTTTGTCATCCTTAATTTTGGATTCTATTGGAATCTACTCCTTTTCCGTTTAAGTTAAGCAGTAAAATAAAAATATCAACTCATGAATAAAGATATTTGCGCACATTCATTGATTCGTTTTGATTGGCTTTTTAACAAAATATAAAAATTTATCGACGAATATCGACATGTTATTTCGGATTAGAGCGCAACGATAATTACCCATGACGCATTATCGTTGCAAATGCTTCACGGAATTCATGACAGATGTCGCTAGTATGGTGTTGAAACGACCCGACGTGACGAGGCGGGTGGGTTAATGTGGCGCCACCAATGACTCGGAGTTGGACTGATTTTCCGCATCGAGTCGTGTATTCATGGCCATTGGTAGTCGTCCGCGAGCCGTGAGGCGCGACGAAATTAGGTGGGACGTGAGAGTTTGTGTGCTTGTGTGTCTCGTGGGCCGCTAGGCCAAAAATGGCGGAACGGACGAAGGTGACAGCCCCGGCTACCCGGCCCGTTCCCATGAGATTGTTCGCCACATGGGAAGTCGATCGCACTCCCCCGAATTGCATACCCAGGTAACATCACGGCATTCTTTAATCGGCGGATCCAGCAACTTGGCTGACGTTATTCGACGTTGCATTATGCGCTACGGGCACATCTGTATATACGCCCATACTGTTGTCGCTGTCCGTCCAAGATGCTTATTCCGCCTATATCTCTTGAGTTGTGAGCTTCTGCAAGCGGATGATCTCGCATCGTATCTTTGTTCACGATTGGGTAAGTCGACTCGGGTTGACGTGCTGCGTCGCGTCGCGTCGCGTCGCGTCGTGTCGTGTCGTGTCACCTCATCTCGCCTCGCCTCGCCTCGTCTCGCCCTGCTTTGCCAAGTCTCGCCTCGCCTCACTTCGTCTCGTCTCGTCTCGCCCCGCCTCACTTCGTCTCGTCCCGCCTCGCCTGGCCTCGCTTCGTCTCGTCTCGTCTTGTTTCGACTCGACTCGACTCACCTCACCGCACCTAACCAAACCTAATTCAATCTAACTTAACCTAACCTAGCTTCCATCTAATTTATTTCACCACAAATTCACCTAACTTCAATCTTATCCCGCCTTGCTTTTATTTTCCTCTACTCTCTTCTATTCTCTTCTGATTTCCCCTTCTCTCCTTTCTCCTCGTCTCTTCTCTCCTTTCTCCTCTCTCCTTCTCCTCTCTCCTTCTCTCTCCTTCTCCTCTCTCCTTCTCCTCTCTCCTTCTCTCTCCTCCTCCTCCTCTCTCCTCTTCCTCTCTCCTCTTCCTCTCTCCTCTTCCTCTCTCCTCCTCCTCTCTCCTCCTCCTCTCTCCTTCTCTTTCCTCCTCTTTCCTTCTCCCTCCTCCTCTCTCCTCTCCTCTCCTCTCCTCTCCTCTCCTCTCCTCTCCTCTCCTCTCCTCTCCTCTCCTCTCCTCTCCTCTCCTCTCCTCTCTCCTCTCCTCTCCTCTCCTCTCCTCTCTTCTCCTCTCCATTCCACTCCACTCTTTTCTGTACACTACACTACTTCACATTAGACTATATTATATTTTGTCTCACCTCATTTCGCGTGTCCGTTTGTTGTTCGGAAACGACTTTAAACTGTCAACGACAAACGCTGCCAAATGCTTCGAGAACATCAACGACGACCTTCTATTGCTATCCGCAATGAATGTAGAATACGTAATCACTTGGCGATTCTCAGGCTAATCCCGATAATTCTGTCAATACCAATATTTTTATTTTCAAACGACCGATATTTTTACTGTTAGTATATATCGCAATTGGTAATATCGACGTATCGAAGGACATGTTTGTACATGAGAAAAAATATCAAAGAGAAACTTGATCGAGGACAAATATTTTCTGTTAGTTTTATATATATTGATAGCGTCGAATAACACATTGACGAAAGTGTTACATAGATGAATCGCGAGTGAATTAACCGTTGTGATGCTGTATATTTGATATTCTCTGCCACCTCTTTCTCTTTCTCTCTCTTTCTCTCTCTCTTTCTCTCTCTCTTTCTCTCTCTCTCTCTCTCTCTCTCTCTCTCTCTCTCTCTCTCTCTCTCCCTCTCTCTCTCTCTCTCTCTACTGATATTCTTAAAACATTTTCCCACTCTCTCTTACAATTATATATTTTCTCTTTTCAAGTAATCAATATTTATTATTTATTTTTTTATGTACAGTGACTATATATTGTCGAATGATGCGTGTTTCAACAGACTCTAGACCTGAAATAAGAAATACACTAATAAGAAATAAGAATACAGAAATACTTGTACATTAACCTCTTTGTCTCTCTTTATTTTTCTTTTAACCCTTTGCACTCTGTGCGTTTCTTTGCCACTGCCTACTAGCAATTCCGGCATACTTTTATAGCGGAGCGTCTAGCAAAAAATTTTATTTTGAACGGGAAAAATTACGAGTGCTTGTGAATATATTTGTTTTTATTTATCTTATAAATATGCTTATCCTCTTGTAAATAAAACAAATTTTTTATTTTGTAATTCACCATAGAATATCTTTGAAAACAGTCTCCGTTCATTTAAATGCTTTCATTTTTAATAACTCTTATTCTTTGTCTTTCTCGTGCTATAATTTCGCTACCACTATTAGAAGTATCAGAATCATAATCAACATTGTCTTTAGATGTTAAAATACTTAAATCATCTTTTAATATTTGAAAATCAAATACGTCTTCACTCAGTTCTAAATTCTCATCATAACATTCTTCTTTCTTTATGTTTCTAATCATAAAAAAGATAGTAAAACTTTAGAATAAGGCCTTTTCCGAATTTTGATATATTTTTGCTTGCTGGATAAAAACCTTTGTTGTGACTACGACAATGATAATGGGGGGAGCTCGAAAAAAATGTTACCGACCTATTTTTTTCAAGTTTTTTCGGATCTTATAAAACTCTGAAGGAAAAATGCACCAAATTTTAACTATTGAGTAAAAGTATAAAAAACTCAATGAACTTTAATAAACCAAAGACATAAACTATTCTCCGCTATAATTTAGACTTTATAATATAAATTTGTGCTTTTGATTAAAGCAAAGCATAATTGTGAATAATGCTCTGCTTTATTTTGCTTGTAATTTATGATACGTCCTATCTTGTGTAGAGGTCTTGCTAATTTTTTCGGTATTCATTTTTAGTATATTGTAGACTCATCTGTTTAGAAAGGCGAAAGATTCGAGTAACAATTGTGAACGGTATTTAATCAGTATAAAATTGATATTTAAAATTTTAAATATATAGAATAAAATTTTCGTATTTTTTCCTATAAAGATCTTAGTCCCCCTCCCCCTTCCCTTAATATATATGTGAAATTTTGTATATGTTTTTTTACAACTAATTTTGTAAATTACTGAACAAGAAAACGTAGTTTTTGGTATAATAGTACTTCTGAATATTTACCAAAAAATTGTTCAAAAAATAAATGAGTAACATATTTCTTGGGCTCCCCCGATTATCACTGTCGAAGTCACAACAAAGATTTTTTACCATGACAATAGCAAATAAATATCAAAATTCGGAAAAGGCTCTATTCTAAAATTTTGCCAAAAAGATCAAAAAATAATTTAACCACAAAATTATAGAAGTAGCATGTTTTAAGTACAAAAGACAATTGCTAATGCCGACAACGACAAAGTATCTTGAGTGTAATCATATTCATAGAGAATATCTCCACAGCGGAGCCAACGGAATGCTTAAAGTAAATGCTATCTCTTTCCCCCCCCCCTCTCTCTCTCTCTTTCTTTTCTATTTATCTATCTATGTTTTACTTATTTACTTATCTATTCATCTATCCATCCATCCATTTATTTATTTCATATCATCAATCTCGTAACATGCAATGTACATGTTTATGGTACATTAAATCCTTAGACAAGGTGAAATGTATAATTTAAATAAATATATATTCAAGTGAATTTATATGTGATAATTCTCTATCGGCACGCGGAGAGAATAATTGACAAACGCGCGAGAAGTTATCGATCAGTCGATCTATGTGCACGATATATGTGTATGTATGCGCCAATATATAAATTAATAATATTGCATCGTTGTGTCACACTTTTTCAGACTATGTTCCTTGACGTTGACTCGTTTAGTAATTCTTCGGCCGCTCGGCTCGGATTTGGCGTCCATCAGCATCGCGGTTAAGATGCAAAGCTCCAAGAGAACTCTGCGGTCCAACGAAATGGCCATACCGAGTGGCGGTATGCTCGACACAGAACTAGAGTTGCAGTTTGCCCTTCAGTACCCACATTTTCTCAAGAGGGATGGCAATAAGCTCTTGGTATTGCTGCAAAGGCGGAAACGGTACAAGAATCGAACAATGCTCGGATACAAGACTCTTGCGGAAGGAATTATTAATATGGCACAGGTAAGTTTCTCGCGTTGGCTCTCGCCGAGTCTCGACAAATTTGGGAGAGATAATATCGCGCGCTTGACGAGTGACATCTGACAGGTGCTACAGCGGCAGATGGATCTTGAATTGGAACTAATATCAGACAAAGCCGAGAAATACGGTGGCCATTCGGTCGCATTGGCGCGCGTGAGCGTTGTCGCGCTAACTTCCCAGCCAGTCGACCATGATAAAAGACTGACGAACGACCCCAATGAGAGGCTCTGTCCGGAATTTAGCGACGAGGAAGAAGAGTTTAGCTCGGAGGGCGAGGCGGAGGGCAGTGACAGCGAGCCTACGTTAGAGGTGCACAGGCGGAAAAATCGCGGGAAAATTCCAACGAACGCCAGGGTGCGCGCAATATTTTGTATACTAGTCGACGGCAAATAGCACTTCTGATAGCGCGGGCTGATTCAACATATGATTTCACATAGCTAAACGACATCTTCGTACATACGTCGAGAGTCGATTCAATTCTTACGAGTACCATATACTGTATTGTACTGACACCTCGCATTACATTATCGCATATTCATCACATTTCATGTGTATAGAGATGCGAGAACTTTCTCGAGAGGAGGGGAGTGATCGGATAGATTCTCCCAGCCGATATTGTTTCGCTAAATTCCATGTACCGAACGACGTCGAGACCTCACTAAGGTGTTGATAATAGCCGTATTGTCTTTTGCAGCAAAGAAACTTAAAGCAAAAGTTTATAGCTTTGTTAAAGCGGTTTAGGGTGTCGGAGGAGTTAGAACACGATCAAGAAGAAATTGGACAGAAACTGTCGGGTATGTCTAATATTATGTAGAAGGTAGTTTACGATTAGCTAGATGCGCGCGTCTTTCGGCTCATATTTTATCAGATAATGGATAAACAACGTCCAAGTTGTAAGCTGCTTCGTTCGTCTCATCTGTTCTTTATCCTCTCAAAGGCGGCGATATGGAGATAGAGGAATTGTTCGACGAATTGGAAGATTTGTCGGATAGCGGGCCAGAATTGGACACTATGTCTGTTAGTAGTACACCGAAGCCATCCCTGAGGCCCTTTTTCAGCTCTAGTCGATCTCTACTGGCACCGCCTCATTCTGGTAAGTTGTCGCGCGTAACTCTGTTCGTATTCCAGTGCGTATCGAGTAGTACGTATGACTGTAACATACATGCGCGCATACACACACACACACACACACACGCACGTACGCACACACACAAATACACACACACATATACACTTGACATATGGCAAAATATTTTATCGACTCGTACTGCGTAGCAAAAATATCAGCCATATGGTCGATACGCGTGTACGCATCATTGCAGATGTGAGAACGCAAATTCAGGTCTATGCGCAATGCCAATTGTTAACTTTGATCGCTTTTAACTCGAAAACTATTGCAACTTTGACATTATGTATTGACGTTATTCACTAAGAGAGCCTAGCCTCCTTATAAATTCCGTAGCTTACTCTCAGATATAAATCTTTCTGAACTAAGTGGAAGTCTGGTGGGTTGGCTTTGCATTGTTGCATGTTACGATTCGATAGTAGTAACCAGCGAGGACACTGCAACTGTCTCAGCGACTACCACGTATCAGCAGCTCGCGGGTCAACCGGCTAGAGAGAAACACCGTATCGGACACACCACGCCAGGTATGTCAATACTTACCAATCTACTCAAAACTTGTGAGGACAAAGTTGGAACGTTCTAAGGACTCTGCTTCTTACCAAACAGCACGTATCTGCGTTGATATTCTATATAGCATGCAGTATGAGAGAAATGCCCTTTGTGTGTGTGTGTGTGTGTGTGTGTATGTATGTATGCGTGCGTGCGTGCGTGTGTGGATATGTATGCGTGCGTGCGTGCGTGTGTATGTATGTATGCGTGCGTGTGTATGTGTGTGTGTGTGCGCGCGCGCGCTTATATCTACTTTAAGGAAAATGTAATTACCCGCAGATTCTCCACTTTTTCTTCCTCTTTTTTTCTTCTCTGGAGCGAGTTATGTCTATTTGGTCCTTATTTTGTTTCCACAATTAAATCTACTGAGCAATAATTAAGAACGAGAGAAACGTGTCTGAATTGAGAGAGAAGAAACATTATTTATCTCTTCTTCTTTGGAACATAAATGTTTTTGTTGTATTTCTAATGAAATATGTGTGCCCCGAGACAAAAGTTGAAGACGATTTAGCCACAACAATTTTGTAGATTGGAGAAGAAACTCGAGCGCTTGAATGACCTTACTAGTCGACAGAAGCTTGGTGTTTCGATTGGTAATTAAATGTTTTCGCGATTTACACATTCACACGGGCAAATATATATTTATACACATGTATGTATACATATGTCAACCACTCTAAATGTTAATCTTTCTTCTTAATAGTGCAATATGACTCTTCAATGCCTAAATGCAAGAATAATTGAAGCGGCATGACCCTTTCTCGTTTTTCACTTGTTTCGGAATGGGAATCGAACGCTTTTGAACGGGATTGACTTTGCATTCTCATGTCACACGTGTAACTACACTTGGTAATGTCTCCTCGATTTTGTATATCTTTTCTTCTTTTATTCTTACATTTCTTTCTAATTCTTTTACGCCGAGAGAACATAAGCAATATGTACCGATGTATGTAAGTCAAGTAAAAATAAAAACTTATTGACTGGCGTTTAACTCACTCGCAATTGTTCCTGTCGTACAAATTTTTGTGAGTACTTTTGTCTGTTTAATTATTCGTCGAATATATTTATCGTAGTATGTATTTAAAAATGTGCGAGCTCGTGCGCTCGTGTGTACATGTGTGTGTGTGTGTGTATGCGTGTGCGTGCGTGTGTGTGTGTGTGTGTGTGCGCGCGCGTGTGCTTATGCTGTACACGTTTCTCTGTCTTTGTCTCTCTCTCTCTCTCTCTCTCTCTCTCTCTCTCTCTCTCTCTCTCTCTCTCTCTCTCTCTCTCTCTCTCTCTCTCTCTCTCTCCCTCCCTCCCTCCCTCCCTCCCTCCCTCCCTCCCTCCCTCCCTCCCTCCCTCTTCCTCCCTTCTCTTTCTCTCTATTTCTATCCTACTTCTCTGCGACTTCATGTGTATACATTTTATTAAACTTCAATCTGTGATACTGGCCTGTATCTCTCTGTCTACTTATGTACGTACGTATCCTTTATTCTGTCAATTTTGTCATTTAATCCGCTTTCTTAACAACGCTACCAACTATGCACCACTTCATAATTTTATTTGTAACCTATCCAGTAAAAATCAAGTGACAGTGACATAATATTGATGTTACAATTTTCCACTCAAAAATATAATTACTATACAACAGACATGTTACATCGTTGAGTGGAAAATTGTAACATTGATGTTATGTTATTATTACTTGGTGTTTACTGGGTTGTAATCAATATCGCGTTACGATCGCGATCTTCTCGATAGGCACGACTTGATGATTTAAGTTTGGCGCGTGCGATTGTTTCTCGTTATTTCGAATATACTTTTCGATATTGGAACATGGTCGTGCTTCTATTCATTTTCCACGTGCTCCATTTGTATATCTATGCAGAATTTTGCAAAATCACCGATATCTCAAGCACTTACGACAGTGTAAACTGAAGAAAAATAAATGACAATTTTCTCTTTATATCGTGATATTGAGAATCCTTGTGATATGCAAATAAAGTGTCTCAATTTGATTAATAATTCCGAGATATATACATATACATATAGCGGCGTGCGAGTAGGTGGTGGGCGAGGAGATGGTTTCTCGCGCAAAGAGGAGGACAAGGAAGGAAAGAAACGAGTAAAATTGCAACTTCAACTTCAACAGGAAAATGTCCAATTCCAAGAAAGGATTCACTCCCACATTTTTCACTCGTTCAATTTCACGAGAAATTATCTCAAAGTACCAAACACAAATTAACGCACAAATTGGACTTAATATTTGAGAACAAGCAAATTTGACGTAGATATGTAGAGACGATCTTGAAGCACTGTACAATACCTTTGTATACCTTTGTATATCTTTATGTGTATCTTTGGATACACGCCACGTTTAAAATTGCAGTCTTTGTTCCGGTCCCGAGTATCCCCCGATAGAGTAATGAAATGCCATTGCAGAGCGTGGAGTGGACAGACAAAGCGACGACAGTTCTCGGAGAGCCGACAGCGATTCTCATCCTGAAAATTGGACGGATCATGAGGCGAACGATCCACCGAATTACGTGGCAGGTTCACCACCAAAGTCGGAGCAGCCCAACAAGAGCGAGAGCTCCGAGAGAAGAAGCAGACTCTTTGCGCGCGACAGAGGAATGCCCGGCAGTAACAAATCTAAGAAGCACAGTCTGAGCGTCGATTTGAAACCGTCGGCCGACTTGAACAACACGGAGGTAATTGCGGTGGTTGTAAGCGCCTTTATTGACGACGGACGTTACCGTCCGTCAGAGCATTGCCAGCGAGACGGTGATTGCAACCTTCATCTCTTGTATTTTATGACTTCAGCCGAGGAAAGCTCTGATGGAACAGCTCGGTCGGGTATTACCGGACGACAGTTTACCGGAGGCCGTGTCGCTCGTGTCGATAGCGGATCCTGGCGGTGCGGTTCTCGCCGCGAGACTTCAAGAGAGAAATCACAGAGTGCTGACGACGGCTTCCCCGGCTGACATCCGTGCAACGTTGACTTGCTTGGTCACACGCATACAAAAATTGTAATCGTCACGTTTCCTTTACTCGACTCGCGATTGAATCTGATCTGACGGTCATATCTCGCGTGACGTACTTTTAACGCCTCTGGAATGGCGCAATCTAAAGAGGATTCACCAAACGCGCGTGTCTCTTATTTTTTGCTTCTCTCTGCAGCTGCAATAGTTCGGCGAAGCCACCGGCACCTGTGAAAGTTGTAATCGCTGGAGGAGACAGTTTCATCAACGCGGTTCTCCGTCATTATGTCGATCTGCTGAGCTTCAGGCCGCCAGATTGGCAGAATTACATGAAGTTCTTGGTAGTGCCGCTCGGCTCAAACACCTTAACGAGATACCTTGGTTCTGTCGATATCAAATACTCGATGCTCTTCGGGGACGAATGGAAGGAGCTTCTAGAGAGAGAAGGAGGAGGATCGAGCGAAGGCGCTGCACGGATATCAGAATACATAGCCACAGCAAACGCGGTTCTACCACTACCCATAGCGGAAGCTATGGTTACATATAGGTAACTTACATACTGGCTAAATTATGTTAAGGTGCGTCCCTCACGGAACTATATATGCAATATATACATTATTTAACAACAGACTTGGAAAAACCGTACGAGAGACAATATCATTAGCGTGTCAGGCGTATCATTTTTTATTGTTCTTTTTCTCTTTTCTGCATCAAATACAAGATACTCCTGATTTAATATTAAAACAGAAAAATGGTCAAGTTTCTTCGAGGAATTGCGGAGAACGATCTTAACGATTATTGTGGTGGCACTTTACACACACACACACACACACACACACAATTTACATTTATTTTTTATATTATTAATTACGTTGTTAATTGCAACATATCCAAGAGAATATTTTGTCCGGACATTGTTGGTATCTGCTGAAGATTGGATTGAACGATTGCCGTTGTGTTTGTAAACGTAAATTGCATACGGGAAAGACAAGATCGTTATCGTGTTCACAGGGAGACAGATGACAGCAGTCAAATCTTCATCCCTTTTATAAACGATGTTCGTGTGGGTTGCCCAGACAGCAGTTCTTCCGCATCTGTCGATTTGGAAGAAAGTAACGTTAGTATGTCTGGCTCTCCGCCCTCGTTGCCTCCTCCGAGTTTGCCCGTTCCACCACCTGGAAAGTTAACACCGCCTAGTAGTCCTAATGTGGGACAACCGGCGAGAGAAGGGTGGGAGCCGGTGGAACTTCAGCTGGATTATTGGAGTAAACAAACTCAAGGTGAAAAAGGGAAAAGCACATTACGTCAAGCTTTCCGAGCGTTGCACGTGCAAAGACTATCTCCGTTAGGCGAAGCCCCAGGACATCACTTGTCTATGAATTATATGACGAAAGAAAAGAAGCAAAAAAGTAAGAATGATATTTTGTGATTGTTTCTCTCTCTCTCTCTCTCTCTCTCTCTCTCTCTCTCTCTCTCTCTCTCTCTCTCTCTCTCTCTCTCTCTCGTCCTTATTCCCTCCTTTTTTATTGTTGTGCAATTGTTAATGAAATTACATAAATAAACGTGTGTAATATTATCTTCTAGTTACATAAATAATTATTAAAAATTACATTATAATAAATAATAAAATTACATTAATAATTATTAAAAATTACATAAATAAACGTGTGTAATATTATCTTCTAGTAATGCGACTGGGCAAAAAGAAAGAAAAGGAAAAAGAGAACGAGCCAAAGAGTCAAACAGTGGATGGCGTGACACGTCTTATATGTTCGGCGAAAACTCACAACATTCCACTAAGAGGTAAAGTGTCTTTATTTAGTTTTTATCTACTTTCATACATTCCATATAGAATGTACTCTATCGTCCTATATTTTATCTAGCATACTCCATTGGTGTTGTGCATAATTTTTGATTACTGTACTGCCCCTGATCACAAAGGGTTGCATATACAATCATAAGATTAAAACTACTGCATATATATATACAGAGTGTCCCAAAAGTAACGGACCACCCTCTTCAGTATAACTCTTCAGTATTAAAGTTTCACGGAAAATAATCTCAATAAAAGTTGTAGGGATTTAAGTGAGCTACCTTATGATGACCTTGCCTTTGACCTTGACCTCTATTTTCAAGGTCATTTGAAGGTCAATTTGCGTTCTTTAAATGGGAACCCTTATTTTTTATTACACTGTTTTTTTTCTACTAGTTAATTTGAACAACTTTTGCCTAAAACATTTTTCTATTTGTCTAACATTTTTTGAGATATTTCAGGAAAACTTGATAACTTTTTCAATATTTAACTTACGATATCTCGCTAACTATTTGTCGGAAGAAAAAGTAGTACTAGACTTTCTTGCTTTACTTAGTCTCAAGAATATATTATTACAATAGCGCCTTGACTTTTGTAAGCTTACTGATTTTTGGAAATTTCAAAATCATCAAATTAACAAAAATCAGGGTGCTTTGTAACAATATATTCTTGAGACTAAATAAAGCAAGAAAGTCTAGTATCACTTTTTCTTCCGACAAATAATTAGCGAGATGTCGTAAGTTAAATATTGAAAAAGTTATCAAGTTTTCCTCAAATATCTAAAAAAATATTAGACAAATAAAAATGTTTTAAACAAAAGTTGTTCAAATTAACTAGTAGGAAAAATAGTGTAATAAAAAATAAGGGTTCCCATTTAAAAAACGCAAGTTGATCTTCAAATGATCTTGAAAATAGAGGTCAAGGTCAAAATCAAGGTCATCATAAGGTAGCTCACTTAAATCCCTGCAACTTTTATTCAGATCATTTTCCTTGAAACTTCAATAATGAAGAATTATTAGGGTGGTCCGTTACTTTTGAGACACTCTGTGTGTGTGTGTGTGTGTGTGTGTGTGTATATATATATAAAAGATGGAGAAAGTGCCAATCTAATTGAGATGCTATTATTTTTACTATAGTGAGCATTGATGGTACCGAGTGGTATGGCGTAAAATTCTTTCAACTATCAGCGCAATGGCAAACGCACATCAAGACATTTCCAATTGCCTTACTGGAATATAATCCACAACAACAAACTTTGACTAGTACGTAAATTTAAGTTCTCGTCATTACAATGAGATGGCTTTTGGCGACTTACTTGCGTATTCTATATCATTACTGATAATACATTCGCAACTCGTTTTATACACAAATCCGATAACCATCAACTTTTGAAGACTGCTCGGTAAAATCTACAAATTAGCAAATTTTATGGGAACGCCAGTGTTTGAGATGCATATAATATTTATTATATTCGTTATATTAATAATTATTCGACGGTAGCAACGGAAAGGATTTTACAGTTAAAGTATTTCTCTATGTGTCGTCATGCAAAATGTATCTGCGCATAATAAGCATATGTCGTACATTCCGCAAGCGGTTTATACGATGCACGTGCGATAACACATAGTTTTGAAATTACTAAATTGTAGATTATTAAGTTATAAAGCAATTTTTGCATGTATAGATGTGTACGTTACTTTTTTTTTTCTTTTTGAATCTTTCGACAAAAATTTATGATTACTACATCGCATAGGCATGAAATTATGTTCGCTTAACATATCACAAGTAGTTATATCGAATGTCCATTGATGAGTATTGTATAATGTTAGTTATAGGAATATTGTTGACGAAATATTCCATTTATTGTTTTTGGTTCCTCAAACTTGCAACTTCGGAAAAAAAATGTTGTCTCCAATAGTATCTGAGCAATCGGCTTGTAACATCTTAAGATACCTGTTTGGAGCCAAGATACCCTATGTCTACGTTGCGTACATGCGTCCGCATATACGTGCATGTATATGTGCATATGCACATGTATATCTACGCATATATATATATGCGCCCAGTCTTTCATTTCAAATTGTGGATTTCAGCGTGGCTTCGCAACATTGTGATTAAAATTTGTCTCCTCTCACCATATCTCTCTCTCTCTCTCTCTCTCTCTCTCTCTCTCTCTCTCTCTCTCTCTCTCTCTCTCTCTCTCTCTCTCTCTCTCTCTCTCTCTCTCTCTCTCTCTCTCCCTCCCTTCCTCCCTTCTCTCCATCCCTCCCTTCTTTCTCTCTACTCTTTCTTGATACAATCCTTAAAAGTGGAAAATGTTGCCGCGTAAGCAATGCTTATAAAATTGTAAAGTGAAACGATATACAATGGCTTTAATCACGGATCGGTACATTGACAATAAGTGGAGAGGGAAAAGGAGGGAGAGAGATTTAGTTTATAAAGTAATTTTAAATAATTATGAAGTCTCTCTTTCGTTCTAAAACTAATTTTAAGACAGTAGTTTGTTGTAATGTGCTGCAATTTTTGATGAAAAGAACGAACTAGTGCGTGCGAGAACCAAATCGAAATCCGTAAATTGAGATGAGACATGTTATACACACATTTGAACGTTGGAAGGTTACATAAAAGAGACAATGTTGTACGGCGCTACGTCATTATCGAGAAAGTTTATACGACACAAAGCAAAAATAGTTTCAGTGCGTAAAATTCGAAATGTTACATATACGATATTGTGTGACCGGAAACTTAACGGTAACGATCAGTATATATAAGAGTTATAAAGTTATTAATGAGTGCGTCGGTAACAAATACTCGTAGAACTTGTTGATCGATTATAATATTTTATTTGGGTTTTCGAGATCATTTTTGCGCGTTGCTCGATAAAGTTTCTAGTATCGGTAGCCTAGCGAAATACTCTGCCTTTTTAAGAAGCTGTCGTTTAAAGGTGCTCTTTTATTCTTAGTTTATTTTTTGCGTACATTTGTGAGGCGTGTCAGTCATATTATAATACTCGCATAAGTGTTGCTTTTCCTATTCTTCGGAATCATATCGGAAAGATGTGGAGATATTTCAGATCAAAGTGTAAAATAACGTGAATATCATCGCGAAACAAGCGAGATAATTTTGTTCGATTTTTTCGGAAGTAGTATCACGGAACGGAATAACGCACCCTAAACCGATATGATATTTCTCTCTCTCTCTCTCTCTCTCTCTCTCTCTTTCTCTCTTTCTCTCTCTGCTTGCTTTTCTTCTTTTAATCGATAAAATTAACAGTACAATTGTACTGTTTGTAGCGACACAGTTGTCGCTTTGACTGCCTAATGCCAAATTAAAGAAAAACGCCTACTTGATGTTCACGTGAAAAAAAAAGAGAAACAAAGTATGTACTTTTGAACGGCATCCTCCAAGAGTGCGAAAACTAAAACAATGGCGCTTGTGATGGTCGTGTTTTGCCAAAGTAAACGTAGCAATGAAATATCTCCGTTTGCGCCCCTCCTTTTACTAGTCTGCAATTAGTTGTTAATGCGTGTCGAATAATAAAACGTAGTCGTGTATCTTGCATCTCATCTCTGTTTGGCGACAAACACAATTCACCGCGTTCATTCAAACTATCGAGCGAAATAATTTCCGATATGTTTAGAGACAGTAGCGATGTAACGTGTGGCCATAGCGAGACATAGTCTGTAACGAAGCAGCAGCAGCAGCTATCGATATTTTCGCACATGTGCGAAACGAACTCTCATCTCATAAGGAGAGCAAGAAGAAAAAAGTCACGAGATAAAAAGAAACATTGTCACTACAAGACGAACGTGCACGCGCGCGCGCGCGTTGTATATCTTCGAAGAAATTGTCTCTCGTCTTAGTGAGCACGCTGAACGACGAAATTCAGCACAATTGAACCTGCCATACACATATATTATATACACATTTATACATATCGTCGAACTGTGTCGACGAGATATCGTATCGGTAGACTCCGAGCCTTTTGTCCGTTGTTTGAAAGCCTCGCGTGACGTTTATTCGCTGTTCCTCATCATACAATCGTACGTGCGATTTTCAAGCGCGTTCTCTCGAGAATACGCCAAATAATCTCGCGCCGTACGTCGATGTATCCAGCGTGATTACGGAGAGATTAAGTAGACGTGTACGTAATCGGATGCGAGTAATATTTGGGATCGCTATTGGGGAATGCTCCTCTTTCTCCTCTAGGAAGAGGAGCTACGGTTCCCGGATTAGATGGCGAGTTGATCCTTTTGTTTCTGATCTGCTTTTGCAGGACGCATGTAGGTTGAGCGTTTACAGAGAAGGGGATCTTTCCTTTCGTTCTTTTTTTGCTCTATCTCACACGAGCATCATGTGCTTCCGAACTTTGTAAATGCGATACCAAAGATGCATTAGATGTACGTTTGATCCCCTATATAATTGCGAAATTTGTGAATATTGAATGAATTGTATTCGTGTTGCTTTCTTCCTCATACACTCGTACAAGTATATCGCGCGTGTAGCGGTTAAGCATAAGTAACGTGCGATCGTTGTAATGTTCCTTCTTCGGTTGCTTCGACAACAGCGATTATTGCTCGTTTTGCTTCCTTTCTTCCTTTTTCTTTTTTTCCTCTTCTTTTTTTCCTTGTAAATCATAGCTGCGCGATATGTGTGTGTATAAAACTAATTTTACCTGTAAGATATTAGCGAGATAATTATCTCGTTGCTCACTGCTCCGATTTGACGGCAAGGAGAGATTTCCTTTTCTCTTGCTTCGTTTTTCTTTCTTATTTCTCGGTAGTCACGCATATATACGTGCGTGTGCGATATGTGTGCATGTGCGTTGACGTGTCAGACTTTGGATTCTAGTCAAAAAACGAGAGCAAGCGCTTTGTCGCGCGTGCGATGCGCCCTCAAGAACACGACGAAATCGATTCCTCCGTTCGAATATATCCATCATCATATCCCGTCGCGCTTTTCCCCGGCGATTTGATGAGCGTTCGAGGCAAGCGATCAATCGTGCAAACACTGCACTACATGTCGACAGAATCATTGCTCGGACCATCAGCGAGCGTACGTTAGTCGTAGATACGTGTATATATCGTGGAAATGGAGAGAGTCTCCATTTCCATTTTTTTGGTTATTACCGCAAGTTTTATCATACGGCTCACACTGGCTCAAGAGCTCAAGGCTTACTACAATTGTAACAACTTGTTAGTGATACATATCATCACTAACTTACACGAAGAGCCAAGTTCTTCGCGAAACAAGGAGAAGATCGAGAAGGAAAACCATTTCGCTTTTGTAATTCTGCTCGTCTCTTAAATTTCGCTAGAAAATTAAAAACTCACGTACGAAGATTTCGAAAAAAGAACTTCACTTCAATAGGAAATGGATGAAGCTGGGATGGCAACCCCGCGTTTTCTGTATCTGCGACCGAAGTTGTGTCCGCTGTTCCGTTCCGACATTTCGTCCGACATTTGATGCATGATTAATTATCGTTTAACTGCGTATATCGAGCGAATGCTCAATGAGCATTGCTCGACTTAGTGTGTGGAAAAAGTAGCTATTCCTTTGCACCGAGTGTTATTTGCGTGAATATCGAACTCTGACGAACTTGATCGTACTTTTTAAGAGTAACATAAAACTAGTGTAAAGTGTTGAAATAACTCGATGAACGTGTTTGCAGGCGCAAAATACATGCATTGTTTACTATCGAGAATGCTTCTCAAGTGTTTATACCGATGTACTTTACAGTAGTGTACAGCTTACGGCGATAGAATACATGTGAAACACATGTCTGGACATTTCGCGATAAGTTTGTCTATCACGTTAGTATATATATGTTATGAGATATTTGTATTATATCCCTTTTTCGAGTATTTTCGATTTGAGTGAGTGAGTGAATGAACAAGAGAGAGAGAGAGAGAGAGAGGAAGGGAAGGAGATAGAGAGAGAGGGAGTGAGAATGTATGTACGTGAACGGGCGCGTGTTCGTATCAGAGAAAAACTATGTGAATTCGATAAATGTATCATCAGTTGAGAATAGATGACTAGGTAATTATTCGTCAATGTAGAAAGATGTTGAAGCGTTTGGAATTACAGCTTTCCAGAATTCACTTTGATTTACCAAGATCAAAACGGTCAAATTCCAAAGAACGCTGAAATAAATTTATATAAATAACATAGTTAGCTACACTTTTTAATTAAAACCCCATATATTATTGTATGATGTGATGATAAATGTTACATATCCGCATATACTTGCATCTCGTGCTAAGCGTCATTACAAAATTGAAAAGAAATGAGGTTTTTTTTCTTCGATGCATGTTCGATAGGTAGATAAATGGACAGTGCAAATTTCATATTTTTCTCATTGGAAGCATGAAAGATATATATGTATACATACATAGGTTATTCAACCAAGATCTTACTTGATAACTTGATTATTTACTTGATTACTTTCAGTCTTGATCAATTATAGAAAAATGCTTAGAGTGTTTTTCGCTATTTGACAACGTATTTAACGCGATTTTTAATTTTAATTTATTCGCATTAATGATACATAATTCAGAGACATCAGAACTAGACGTCTTCTTTCATAAAAAACCTAATCTGTACATATCGTTTATGTATATTTAGAAAAGTAGATCGATACTCTGTCGGGAAAGTTATTTTATTTCGTAATGACGATTCGTACAATCTCAGGCGCTATTTAGCCTATCAGTAGCAGTATTATTTCCGATGTAAACTTATTCAATCAGTTGAATTAGTTGAGCATATTGACTCTTATTGACATAAAGTATACAGTCACAAATCAATATATCGGCATTGATTAAGAGACTGACACCTATCATAAATTAAGCGTAAATAAAATATTAATTATACAAAGCATATGAAAAGTTGTGATGTGAACAACAAAGTAAGAACACGAAATAATACGCTGCTGATATTTGTGCAATTGATTTGCGACCGGTGTTTACAATCATAGAATTATTCGTTAGAATTTTATATTATACGCAACGTTTATATATATATATATATATATACACATACACACACCACACACACACACACACACACATACATATATATATATATTATTACTGTATAAGAAGCAGAGATTCTCTTAAATTTATCATTGCACACACTACATTTAAATTCACAGCATGGACGAGTAGAAATAAACATTGTATGTATGTGTGTGTGTGTGTGTGTGTATGTGTGTGTAGGTGTGAATATGGGTATGTGTAGCACTCGTTTTTACTTCTTAAAACGCAGCACCAATTACATCCGATACAGTCACTTTGCAAAATATATAACATGTACCAAACACAAATAATACTACTGTACAAAATATACACATTTATATCGATTGACTTAAAATTTAAAATTCTATACAAATTATACATATATACTTATATTTCTTACAGTTGAATTAAAAACTACTAATAAATAAGATAAATACATGCGTATATGTATAACAAATATTAATAATAACTTTACGTTCTCTCTCTCTTTCTTTCAATGTGTGTGTTATTCTAAAGAATTACAATTAATAATAACAAAAATCTTGTACATATCTTTATTACATCATATAAAGACATGTACAACATACACACGCACGCGCGTGTACCGCGCACACACACACACACATACGCGCGCGCACGCACACACACGCGCGCGCACGCACGCACGCACACACATACACAGAAACGCGCGCGCGCACATGACAACATAACTATTTAAACAATTTTACAAATTACAACAAAATACATGCATAGATAGATGCATCGATTCAAATCATACAATTATTTATAGTTCTCATATATTCTGTTTTTTTGTTCATTCTCTCTTACAAATTCATGACAAGACTGTATCGTGATAGTAACGGAAGACATTATTCTCTCTTGTACTTTTACATACACTCTGCTTACATTAGTTAATTTCCACAGAGAAGATATTTCACTTCGATTCCGCATTCAAATGACACAAATGTCTAAGAAACATCGTACAACTATCTAAAAAACGTCTTAATATCCGAAAAATTCATTTTCAGACATTTGTATTGTCTGGACATGTATGAAATGTTAAAAGGAAGAAAAGAAAAACCGTAGAAATCTATATCATTATTAACAAATTTTTTTTACAGAGTATTGTGATTATATGATGCAGCGATGAAACGGAAAAGCTGGATAACAGCGTAGATTTTTTATGCATATTTTCTATATAGTAAGTCGACTTCGATCTTGTATTCCTTTTTTTCACGGCACTTTGGTAAAATTTATTTTAAAAAGACTTTTCTCTCTTTCTCTCTCTCTCTCTCTCTTTCTCTCTCTTCCCTTATTAATTTGAAACTGTGTAAGTCTACTAATTTATTTCTTCAAGTTTTTTAATTATTGACGAACTTGAATACAAAATGTATGAAATATACCACCATATGTGACTGAGAAGATCAGTCGCAATCATCGAGTATCTTCGAGTCTTTTATTTTATATATATTTAGAGAACTATACTCAAGAATTTTATATAGCAAAAAATATCAAAAGACAAGCGAGATCTAAAAAGGAAACAATTGATAAAATTTTATCGGGGTGGCGCAGTTTTTCCTCACCAGACTAAGAAATTGTGTGTAATACTGAAATTTCGTGTGGCTTGAATGTCGAAGCGAGCTGTCGACTTTCCAATTATTCACCTGGCCGACAACAAATATCGACGCGACAATATAATGATACATGACATTTGGAGTTCTAACATTCGTACTCTGGCAATAATGATCAATTTCACTGTAATCTCTAACGATTCCTCTCGCTACATTGTTAAACGCGACAATTTGTAATATATGTAGCGAAAGAAAATGTATTTGCGCGATATCGCGAAACGTGCACAAAAAGAAAACTATCATATTTCTCTAGTCTAGATGTTTCGAACGTTGTTCGAAAGGTAAGGTCAAGACGGCAATAGACGAGGAGAGAAGCAGGAAATGAGCAAAAGATAAATGTATAATTAGTCCTGTATGGATTATGCTTCGGCAAGTTGTTGCGATACGGATGTTCGGTCATTCGGCTGGCGTCGACGTCTCTGCCAAAAAATCACAGCCAATATACGGGAGATTTAAATACGTATAATAATACCGTCAGTCCCGTTACTGACGACCGCTTGACCTTATCTTCCGACACTCTCTATAAACGTTCGAAAACTAAACGTGCACACAACGTGCACTCATTCATATCTCAAGAACCCTACATCAAAACCGATACAACATATTCAGTGACAAGCTTGAAATTCAATGCCTAAAAAAGTTGTCATATAATAGATTTACTCTTTATTTATTGCACCAACATAAGACGGAAACTATAATTACCGTTGAAAATCTACATAATATGCCCTATCTAAAGAAATATACATTTTTGATCTTTCGATCTGAATTAATAATGACTTTTGATAAAACGCCTACCTAATACATATATGTATACACATTTACTTATGTAAACATTTTGAAGTGAGTGTTCCATCTGTATCTATCTCTCTATGCATGCCATATGTGTATTTGCCATGTGTCTCGACTTGATAGGAATGCATCGCTACCAGGAATCGCCAGTGTTTAATCGCACACATCACACTCTCGTGCTTCAACCTCTTGTTAATCCTTATTTACATCGTGTAATTCGAGGAAAGCGAAAATACGACTACTTGGAGTCATGTGAAGTCTAGTGCCAGAACGTAGCTCTCTCTCTCTCTCTCTCTCTCTCTCTCTCTCTCTCTCTCTCTCTCTCTCTCTCTCTCTCTCTCTCTCTCTCTCTCTCTCTCTCTCTCTCTCTCTCTCTCAGTAAGTAGACTGAGTTGCAACCAACATTGCGTGAAATGTATGTGTATACGTGCACACATGCACATATGTATATATAATACACACACACGCACACATACGCGCGCACATCTCTCTCTCTCTCTCTCTCTCTCTCTCTCTCTCTCTCTCTCTCGCGCCAATTCAAATATACATTAATCAAAGCATCGCGTATTACACAATTATTAATTATTAGTTGAATTAGCTGTTGCGAAAGCTGTGTGCAAATATTGCCTTGAATATTTCGCTCGTCGTGGAGTGTCAGAATGCAAATACAGTAACAGATACGTTGTATCGATCAACTTTTCTTCTCTTTCATTGATATCGCCATTTATACCTACGTACGTTTCTTACGTACACGACTCTCTCTATATGTATGGATGTAACGCCAATGCTCTGCCGCGTAAACCTCTTTGACCACCGACACCGCCCTTTGGTATAACATATCCCCCTGCGTGTCTTGCTGTACCTTCTTCCTCCAAGTTGCCGTTACTTTCGATTAAATCGCGCAACGGCCAACAAGCTAGATGACGTGACTTACCGTGACGTGCCAAGACATAGTATCCTTGTCTAGAAATATTAATAATCATAAAAAGGATGATACATTATATTATATATGTGGTGAATATTAATGTACACTTTACGATAAAACGTGATGCATGTTAAAATTGGATTATAGAGTTAACGAGCATTTTCGAGCCATTTCAAGTAGACTTTACTTCGGAGAAAGAACCAAGAAAACAAGAAAAAATATTCAAGAATTCAATTCAAGAATATAGAACAGAGACATCTTTGCAGCGGTAAAAGGGGAAGGAAAAACAAAAAGTAAGAATGTGTGTTTTTGTTCAGCGAGTAAAACATACCTAGAAGAAATTAATCCCACGAGCAATGCCCAGTGTGCTTTATGGCCCCTCTTCAGACACGGAGCATGGTTAAAGTCGGAATCGTATGGAATTAGCACCATTGCTCCATGTGCTAAAGCGTGAGTTAATGTATCTGGGCACTGTTGTAAATCCACCAGGATATCCGGCCTATGATCGGGCAAATATTCCGCAGCTAGTGTTCCCATGAAATCAACACTATATACCTCTCCATGTTGCGTAAATCCTCGAACACGAGCTTCGGCAAGTAATTGGCTCACAGAGACTGGTTTCGTGTATTCCTGCGATGCCATTGCAAGTGCCACTAAACCACATCTGCAAATTTCAACATCATTCATCACTTTTCATCACTTCATTAGAATCACTGTTACAGCAGAGTATCAAGTATATGGTTATCGTGTCTTCACACAGATATATCTTCAGACTTGATATATTAATTTTGGAGATTTGGGTTAATTATTGTTTCCAAATATTTCAAGATACAAAGATCATAGTTGAGGAGTTACGTTGCTGGAATCTTTGTAAAACTACTGCAAAATGAAGTACACGCTTGCTGGGAGATAGAGATTATGACATAAAGACAAGTTATCCAATATTGAATTGTGACAATAGGACATGCTACATGACGCTATATCCACACAGAGTATATGTGTGTGTGTGTGTATGTTAATTATCATTGGAGGCTGCCACAAATGCAAATACATCAGAATGACACTCACTGTGGCCCATCTTGAAGGATCGGTTCCACTTGACAGAAGTAAGTTACCTCTGCATCTTTCAATTCGTTTCGTGATATCAGCTTTTCTATTTCAGCTTCCGCAGATGTAAGCGTAATTTTAGCCCAAGGGGGCAAAGAATCGGTATCGCTGACTTCTGTTTTCTCACACATAGGTACCTCTGGCAAACTCGGAAGGGGCGGAGGTAGTGCTGGCATTTCTCAATGCCAAATGCAGATAGATAATCGCTGTATCGTGGATGTAAAGAGGATAAACGTTTTAGCAACTAGGAATTATCATCCACGGACACGACGAGATTTAATCCCACCATTGTTCACAACCACAATGTTTCGATGACATTCGTTCGTCCTCGTTTGCTGTAAAAAACTTTTCGGTGTCTCTCGTACGATCTGCGAAAATATAACTTGCATAAACAATTTGAAATCTCTCGTCCAAGTCGCATGAACAAGATCTCTCACGATAATCTCTACGACTCTACGAGGACTTTGTTACTTGCACGTAAATCCGAACGCGAACCTATTTTTGATATTTCAATCTATAATATCATGCATGAGACGATCGCACATAGACACATCATCGGGTACATTTTTTCAGCTGTCAATCAGATTTAACCTTGAACGATAGGAAATATGACGTGATACGAGGACGTCTCGAACGATCTCGCACAAGAGAGAGAAAGAAGACGACTCTGCAGGCACAACGGTGATCCGTACGAGTTCGGTAAAACGAAATAATAGCAAGAACGAGCGAGACCAATGTGACCAGTGTGACTTACAAGCTGCAAAATCTAACCCTTCGAAAGTGTACCGTCCTTTGCGAAATTTCTGGAGATGACAGCGCATCGCGCAGTCGACATCAAAAGGGGCAACGATCAATCGCATTTGTAACGGGACATAATCTCAAGTACGAAGGTTTCGATTTTTTTCCTTTTTCTTTTCTTTTTACAGATGTACCTATCCCTTCGGAGTCATGATATACCACACCTGATCTCGATTCTAATTGCAAGTGTAATCGCACGATACTTGCGCTCTCCCGCTATCTCTCTCTCTCTCTCTTTCGCTCCCTCCCTCCCTCCCTCTTTCACAGACAAAGACAGAAAACGACTTGGTGTGTCCGATGTTTATTTATCGCAAGTTGCGGAACGAGCAAATAGTAGAGACCGCACGACTGACGTTTCCATGTTCCCCTTTTGTTCATCCTGTGTCGAATCGTAACTCATGCATGCATGTATATATGTACATTATGTAATTCTCCAACGAGAATACTAATATTTGCATGCATTCATATTATACGGCTTACTCTTTCCTATATCAAGTATCTCTACATCACCGACATCACGCGCGAGTCACTGATTTCCATAGTAGCCCAAGTACCATAATACTTGGCGACGATTCTCTCCAATTCTTTCGGTGAGAGCGAGTACACCGCATCAAGCCTCGCTCGCAGACACTTCGTCGTCAATTGCCGACGATCGACAAATTACGACCAACGAACAATGAATGTTTGTAGACGCTACCAAACTCCCATACTACATCCGTCCATAACCACCGATAGGAACACACTCCGAGTAAGTTCTGCTACGAGCAGAGAGAGACGAGTCGACTCGCGTTCGTCCGAGTTTGCTGTTTGTTTGTCGTTGAGTCACGCTACTCGAAAAGGAAAGGTCCTTTCGACTCTTGCTAGATGGCGCTAGGCAAGTCGTTAATCGTGCGCTGTTTTTACTGTGTATTCTTTCTCGCACACTCTCGATGGAAGGGGAATAGGGGAGGCAGTTGCTAACCTGTACGGCAGTACAGCGGCTATACCCGTATATATTTCGGGGTGAACTGAAAGCACAGTGATCCAGAGTACCGCGATTCTGTAACTCGTTATTGGAGTTAACGACACTTTCGTTATCGTTGCGCAGCTTTTGTATACCGTAGAAAAGCTGCGCAACGATAACGAAACTGTCATTAACTCCAATAACGAGTTACAGAATCGCGGTATAGGGGCTGTTCCGTACTCGCGTACTGATAGTTATCGGTGTCGTTAGCAGTGTTGCGCAGCTTTTTTGTTATATGAAAAACCTGCGCAATACCGCTAACGACATCGAGAACTGTCGATATGTAGGTACGGAATACAGCCCCAGGTTGATCATTATATCGGAAAAAAATAAAAAACAGCGGTTGTACTGTTGTACGGATTAGCAACCGTCTCCCCTATTCCCCTTCCATCGAGAGTGTGCGAGAGAGAACGCACAGTAAAAACAGAGTGTATCCTTTTCTACATGAGTTATATCCCCACTCCTCGAACACGCAGTCTAGTGGTCTGCAGTGATGACAAGTCACGGGAATTTTTTCCATATGGGAGCCGTTGTGCGCATGCGTGAGCATGACATCAGAGCTCGACGCAAACGTTTCCAGTGATGGATGTAAACGCAGATAGTAGGTGCAAATAGTGCGCGCGAAAAGTCCATTAAAGTTGTTTCGCGTTTTTCCCGTGAATACTTAGGTTATATATTCATAATATAAAATGTTATAATAAATAAGTGTAGCGATAAATGTAGTGATAAATTAAGAAAGAACTGTGATAATAAGTGCAACAGGAATAATAAATATAATATATTGGCTGCAGATGTAAAAAAATTAATAAGTTTTATTATCTTTTATTATTCATATATAAACTATATTATATTTATTGAACAGAAGCTTTTTTCGTTCCCTATAATTTCCTTCAGATTTCTTTCATAGTGGGGACCTAACGATACCTTCAAATATATATGTCCGTGAAACTACCACAGCGTTTGCTCAGTGCGCGTGCGCGACTTTTCCCACGACTTGTCATCACTGGTGGTCTGTTCTTTTTTTCTGCACTGCTGCACTGGTGCAATAAGTTAAAGTGAGACAAATATATACTTGTCTCACTCGAGCTTATTGCACTAGTGCAGCGGTGCAGAGGAAAAGAACAGAGCTAAGGGTTGCGTTCCGATGTTCATTGCCAGCACTGAAGATCTGTAGTATATATGATACAAACTATGTATTTTCAATACTGGCGTGAATATCGGAATGCAACTCACGTCTATAACTACGTTTACACGGCAAGGTTAATCCGGATTAGTAACAACCGTAGTTAGTGAATTCTTTGATTCGATTGATATATTCTTTTGGATCTAAAAATATACTCTAATCGAATTCGAGACTGCACTAACTACGGTAGTTACTAAGGCCCAGTTGCACCAACATTATTTTGGTTTTAAGTGAGACTTAAATATATCTCTGTCTTTATTTATTTAGTAAGAAAGATAAAGATAGACTTATGTTTAAGTCTCACTTGAAACCAAAATAATGTTGGTGCAACTGGGCCTAAGTCGAAGTTAGAAGCCGTGTAAATGTTGTCTATGGGTGCGTTCACGACACTCAACAGTTCCACAACTGTTGAGTAATTCGTCAACGTTATTGGTCTGAATGTAAGGATCTAACAGTAAGGACCAATAGTTACTAATTGCTCACTGAGCGGTTTTCTCCGCTGAACGCACCCTATGATAGGATACATCGCGTATGCATTCATACACTTGACGATTCTTGACAACAAACCAATGATATCGGATGTTTTTTAGCGATTTGGCTGTTACGAGCGATACAAAAAAGACGAATTGGCATTTGATATCGACTCGCGTTAGCGACTTAAAAATGTCATCGTCAATATGACGTATATATAGCAAAGTGATCAAGAGAGAGAGGCTAGACTTTCAGCCGAGTATAATCTTTGGAAAAAGATAATATGGATTTAACCGCTACAAAGGATCAATATGGAGAGACTGAGAGCAGTAGGTTATCGCTTTAATATCGGGTGATTTTATTATTGCTGTGCTTTTTCTTCTTCACTCACTATTCCTTTTCGAACTTTGTGTTTATTTCTTCAGATTCTTCAGATTTTTTCTCAACGAAGCACGAATGGACATGGGATGAAAAACTCTCGTCTTCGTCAATTAGATTGTCGGAATATAATTTGAATGTCAAATTTCATCCTGTATATAGTACTGGTACAGCAGTGGTAAGGGGTAACAAACCACTGGAGAATGGGAGACACCATTTCTGGGAGATTTTGATGGTAACGCAAATATATGGCACAGATGTGGTAAGTTTGCTTATATCAGTTACTCTGCAACTTAACTTAATTGTAACATGTACACTATTCCCATTGTTTCTTTAGATGGTCGGTGTGGGAACTGCAAGTGCAGAAATTAATAATGCAGGTGAGATCTTTTGCGCTTTGCTTGGGCGAGATCGAGAATCTTGGGGTTTTTCATATAAGGGATACTTACAGCATGATGGTCAGACCCATAAGTACGGAACCACTTTTGGTCAAGGTAGTTTAATAGGAGTACACCTTGACACTTGGAGTGGAACGTTACAATTTTTTCTTAATCGAAAACCTTTAGGTAAGCCAGGATACCCATCCTAGGTCTCTCATCAAAATCTCTTATATTGTAATTTTATTATTTTGTAGGTATTGCTTTTACAAGGTTGAACAATGTTACACTTTATCCACTAATAAGCTCTACAATGGCTCAATGTGTAATGAAGTTGACTTACAGCTGTTCAATACCTGTATCTCTGCAGACTACATGCTTAGCAATCTTGTCACCTCTGCAGCGGATGTATCTATCGAAAACATTTCCTGGTTTACGTCATCTTTGTCAAAATATCTTTGCTGATATTCTGCAGAAACATATTGGTAACTTTCTCAACTGATTTTGTTCTCTGTGTCTTTTACATGTGTATTTGCAAAGTCATCAAACAAAAGGAACAATTGAGATAACTGTGTACTCTTTTTGCACAGATTACGACGAGGATATAAATTTGCTCACAGAGCATGTTATCTTGGATGATTTCGATTATGCTCTTATAGGACTTGGAAGGAAAAGAAAGCGAATTAACAATAAATTCACATTTATCTCTTCATCGTGCAATGAGTCATTAAAATGATTATAAAAAAAAAAAAAGAAAAAATCCTGCCAATATCATGAAGTTATGTTTCTGTATACAAATCGTACAATGTGCTCAATTTTTATATAAACTTAAGATAATTTTAACATATATTTGTGTTCTTGTTACTTGGCTATATTGAGTAAGGAGAAAAAAATAAAATCTGAATAAACAGCGATCAAATGAGACACTGTTGAAGAGGATTTGTCGGATGTTATAAATCTGCCTTGGTATGTATAAATATATATGTACAGATTTAATATATCACACACATACATATCTTTCAGTTGTAAAAAATTGAAAGATTCCCAACTACATCTTTTTAGTTTTTCGGGACACTGAATTTTTGTTTGTATCTTTTGTACATTTTCGTTTCTTAATCAACTTGGATTTGGCATTGATTTTAACAGAAAATACAATAGCCTGCGCCCATCCAGCCAGTGGGCCCCATAATTCTCGTAAATAGTCACTGATCTCAGTGTGAATCCTTGATGTGACCGTCTTCTGCTCTTTTAAATGTGGCAAATAATTTGTCCGTGCTATTTGAAAAATATGAGTATCTACAGGTATAGCATCCAAATGCCCCAATGACATCAAACATATGCAATCGGCAACTTTAGGACCAATTCCTGGCAGAGTCATCAGTTGTTCTCTAGCTGTACAATAAGAAATATTATTCTTTCTTTGTAAACTCAGAAGCCAATTCTTTCCACCTAATCTTGACAGATGCGCCGCTGCATTGGCAATGTATCCAGCACGATAGCCAAATTTCTCTCTCTTCAGTATATTTTCTGTGTTCTTCTCTTTCAGTGATTCTATCGCTGGGAAATCATAATATTCCTTATTTTCGACCGAGCATATTTTTTGGCCAAATAACAGGCACAATTTTTCAACCATGCTTGATATCCTGTGAGAGAAATGCAATATATTTGCACACTTGTGCATTCTATAGGGTGCATAAATGAGCGAGTGAAAATGTGTATGTACGTATAGAAACAAATATACCTCATTACATTATTATTGGAACTACATATAAACGAGAATAAAGTTTCTACAACATCTTGCTGCAAAATTCGAACGGCATTATTCCCATTTAAGCACTTTTGAAAATACATGTCCACTGCTGTCCACCTCTTGTACTGTTCCTGCAACGAAATCGATAGGCTCAAGTATTCGGACAAAACATTGTCATAATCAGTAGAATCCTTTAATCGTCCCTGTACAGCGTACAGTAGATGTGTTTTGTTTTGGGACAAAGTCCAGACGCAACCGTCAAATACTCCTCTATATCCAGCATCACAATCCGTCCACCTGAAATATCATGAGGTAAAAAATTTACATTCTGAAACGGAACGAAAAGAGCGACAAGTAATTATTGTTAGTAAAGAATTTTAAAATTGCTGACAATAATAATACGTTGTTGCTGTCTTTGGTTATGCATCCCAATACATGTGCACATTCAAGTTCGAGAATCGCGTCAAGTGTTACCTGAAACTTTGACCACCGTGCAATGTGAGAGCCAGATTTAATTCCGTCGGCGGACAGGGTATACTACCCTGTTTCACTTTTGTTTCGAACATATGCACTATTGAGTAACTTCTCGCGAGCCGATTCATTCAATTTCGGCGCGTGTTTAATGCGCAAAAGGCGCAGGGAGGCTCCGGAACAGACTCATGGAACAAATTCTTGCAACGTGCGAGTGTTGGCAGCGCTGTCGCTTTCAAGATTCATGTGGGGTGAAGGTGGCGCTTCGTACGATAAACACAGGATGATGGTTACTGGACAACGAGCGGTGGGGATACTACTTTGCGCGGGATGTGAGCTCATAAACGTAGCCTGTTTTCCATTCATGTAAGTCACGCGTGAGATAGACATGTAAGATGCTATACACTACCTTACGGTACAAATATGGCAGAGACTGTTTCAATAAAAAAAGGTTAGGAAGGGACAGAGTTTTTTCTTCTATCAAGTATGAAATTACTACTTTACTGTCAAACATATGTACAATAAGAATATGCTAGTGTGCTCGTATCAGGATGTTCTTGATTTGTGAAGATCTTATTTTCGTTTTTTGCGCTAATGCCTTACAACTATAATCTTTTCCAGTTATGTTCCAGTTATGTTACAATACAGAGATACATGATATACAAGCATCGCACTTTTCAATTATTTAAAAAAAATATTAAAAAACTGAAGAGACGCTATTTGATTTGATGTTGAAATAAAAATCAATGTACAAGTTAATCCAATTGAATTTAACGACTTATCTTTGAGCAGTGTCTTCTGTAAAAAATATCCTTGAGTCGTGCTAAGAAAAAAATAAAAAGAAAAACGACGTTACATATATATGTATATATACGTATAACAGTCGATAACAGTCTAGATAAACTCTTGAGAAAAGAAAAAATTATTTCGATTGTATTCGTCTAAATTTTGTTCTATATGAGACTTGCTTGGTAAGTGTAAATACATTAAGTAATAGTAATTTATCATCGGACATTTTATGCCGACATTTTATGCCGTTTTTATAACATTCTCAATATGTTCGATATCCGCGAGACTATGTTTCACACGCATTGTACAATCATTTCATGTTCAAAAATTAGGTATGAGGTATATCAACAAACAGGAGCCTGAGCAAGTCGCCATTCTCTATCGTTTCTCTAATATGATATAAAACGTCGTGAAAAGATACGAAAAGCACAGATATTTCTTGTAATAACTATGTGGAGCTGATACTGTTCAACTAGAGAGTACACCAACGATGTGTAAAAGTTAACAAATTCTATCAAATTCAAGTGTTACATACATGTGTGCGCGCGTGCACACACGCACGCACGCACGCACGCACGCACACGTCAATTCTAAATTACGCGTATAAGGCTCATCGATACTTACGTTGTACGTTCGCTTTTTTGCGATTAGGAACGAAAGAGAAAATGTACAAGCGAAAATCAGTTTTGTAATATATTTACAAAGTGTCGTTACTTGGTTCGCAAACTCTAAGGTTTTGTCAGTTCCAGCTTTCTCTCCGATGATTCTCTCACGTATAATAATAAGTAAAGTATTAGGAATCTGTTTCGGGACAAAGGAGAAATAAGGAAGAAGACAAAGAGGGAGAGAGCGTGTGCAAGAAAGCACTCTCGACGTACCTACGTAGGCATTATCTGAGCTTATATGTCGGAGATATCGCGAAGATATTGTCAGTCATTATAAGATTGCATTTTCGACGATGCAACATCTCGATTGAATAATCGCCGTCGCGTGACCTTTTCTTTCGACCTTCTTTCGATCTTTTTGACATATTCACAAGTATGCCACAAATTAGAATACATCCCTGAGAATTACTATTGACACACATCTCCGGAAGAAGATACAGTATGCGCGTCTTTGATTTTAGTAAGGAACGTTATCTCGTATGTAGGCTTGCTTTCGGTATTCGTGACGTGCGCATTCACCCCACCAATTTCGCTTCAAGCATATCTTTTGCGTTTTCAAAACGAAGCACTTGGTTTGAAGTACGTCGAAGAAGATTTTGCCAATAAAATCCGCCGACGCAGTGCCAGCCATCTTCAGACACGTGCGAAATCTGTAAAGCAGGAAACATACAACAGCGGATAGGAGACGGGCCAGATAATAGGGATAAGAGAATTTTTTGCAATACCGTTTCTCGAATACGATAAACGTCGTATATATCATGAACGTTATTCGCTCAGAAATAACATCGCAACGAATACGCGACCAATGGCATTCACGATCAACGTTTACCGTATCTGAGAGTCGGTATTGCAAAAATTCTCCAATATATTGATTTTCTACCAATCGCGATCGATCTCGCTGAGGCCGTGTATTCTTCAATAAAACATCGCATATGATATTTCATGAATGTTACTAGATATCTCAGCTAATTAAATTGTCCCATTGATGAAATATCGTATACGATATTTGTTCACAAATTTTCGAGAATAAGGGCACCGGGCTCGTATTCTTGAAAATTGTCGCATACGATATTTCATGCGAACGTCACTTTCAGATATCACGATTCTTAGCCCCAATTAAATTGCCCCATTGATGAAACATCGCGTACGATATTTTTTACAAATAAGAGCCACCCCCGGTCTCACCGGCGCTACTCACCGTTCGTCGCAGGCGCAATGCATCATGCTCGAAATTCCCCAGTTGAAAAAGCCGTAACGCGTTTCGAATGCCGGTATGAAAAGAGGACAAGCCGTATCGTGTTTTCGGCAACAGGCGTCAGCCACGCCAAAGCCGCCTAGATTGGTGTATTTGGTAGCACGGTGACCGCGGCCGCACCATTGCGTCCCTGGTATCATGAATAGATCTCTTCGAGTCCGATTCCGACTCCGGCTCCGGCCCCGGCCCCGGCCCCGGCCCCGGCTTTGCTTCCGATAACTTCGATCGTTTGTCGTAGCGTTTGCCGATCTCGCGTATTTCCTGCATCATGAAGCAAGTTTATCTCTCAATAGACACGGCTGTTCCCGGCACTGTTGTATCTCAAGCTCTCAACCTTTATTCCCTCTACTATCTTGACTCAATGGCAAGGAGGGAACCGAAGGAGAATATATACTTTGAAGTGTGTTTCCTGGTAGTCGCGTCGTGTAACATCACAGATACATAAATTGATTCGCGACTCGCAAGGGTGTACGCAAGAGTGCGAAGAAATGCGATTGTAAAAGAAGCGGCAATTAGCGGTAATTAACAGCGGTTGTCAATCGAGATCCTTCCTCTCTTTCTCTCCCTCTCGTCGAGTCAAGAGAACACTCGAGAGACTCGGCGTGCGATCACGATCGACGAATATGATTCGTACCTATGTCGACGTTGCTCCACAACTTGACCCCGTACACGCATTTTCGCACGGTAGCACAAACGATCGAGCTCCGACGTCGACAGCAGCCAGAGGAGGTCACGGGGTATCCTCGAAGCGGCCTCCTCCTTGTCCAGCTGGAACACCTCGATCGACACTTTGTCACCGTCATCGTACTCGTAGTAATAGGCGCTGCGCGAGCTAGGTAAACACTCGCTGTCGTTCCACCGTACGAGTCTCTCGTCGATGCAATCGGCCAAAGTCTCACCAGCGTATATCAATTGCAGCCTTCTGCTCGGCTCTTCAAGCCAGACCTGTCGCAGCGTTATATTCCTGTCTCTGCATGCGAGAGATTAAGCGTTATTATAGTCTTATTGTTACATCGCACCGCGCTGTTCGACATTACATCCATCGGCCGATTCATCCATGTACGTTCGTAAACCCCAGTACAGATGAATCGACCGAATACATCACTTTCATTCACGGAATCGAGTCCGTGTGACTCCAAGTGGCGTCGGTTTCTCTCTCTCTCTCTCTCCCCGACTCTCTCTCTCTCTCTCTCTCTCTCCCCCTCGCTCTAACGTTTTGTTTCAAACTGACACTCTCTACGAATCTATCCATGTCGATTTTTCTATCCACCTTTTTCGCGATTTCATTCATTCATTCTCGTTGGCGTGACTAGTGTGAAAAAAAAGTATGAAAATGATTTCTCGCCGTAATAAATTATTCACGCGACACGTCGAATCGGAATCTCTCTCTCTCTCTCTCTCTCTCTCTCTCTCTTACGACGGTAAAAGAGCTTTCGTCCCGCGTTTAAGTGCAAAGTGACGCTTCGCGGTCGTGGTATTCCGTGCTATCCTCGTGAGAGCATCGGCAGATGAGTCCCACCTAGGAGGCTAAAACGGGGCAGTGATATCGAACTAGGTTTAGGTTTACGTTTAGGTCCGGCACAAGGGGCCAATCCGGTCCCTACGTAGAGTGTTCCGCGAGAAACATTCGCTCGTTCGCAGCGTTCGTTCGCAGAACCTAATCCTTGCTTACTTGACTCGTCGCTTTTCGGCTTAAGAGCTTGGTTGGCTTTGCGGTTACGTGTCAACGAATACTCTCCTGTGTTCCCTTTTTTCATTTCTCTCTCTCTCTCTCTCTCTCTCTCTCTCTCTCTCTCTCTCTGTATGTACGTGCAGCTATCAAATAGAGGAAAATGATTGTTCCTTTTCTCTGTGTCCTTTTTTGTCTCGTAAGCTATGTATACAGAGCTGATAAAAGAAGGGAGGAAATTTGGAGTATGCAAATATCGCTTGTTCAAACTTTGTCTTTTTTTACACATTTCACACACAAACGCCAAAACATAGCGTTATTATTGTATTATTGTATTTGTATGTGAAACTTGGTACGGCTGACGAGAATTTCAGAAACAAAGACCGTTTCACCAGGCTGTATTAACGGTACACGTTCTTCGGGACGATGTGTGGCATTTGAAAGAGCTAACCGATGCTATAAATGTATACATATATGTAGTAGCTAAGCTCCCACATATATTGGCAATAGTGAAAGGCGGCATTGTTTTCTCGTTCGCCAACTGAGTTCTCGAGCTTCGATCCTCCCCCGGCTATGCTCGGAGGAAAACGAAAGGGATAGGAAGAGAGATTTGCCTATATCCGAGGAAATGTTATTCTAACAAAGAGGATAGACAAGAGGTTGTTCCTACTTGCGTGTAGTCTTGCTTGCTACGATAACACACTTGCTCGACACTTGTTCGAGAAAGAACCTTCCGTACGTAAATATTAAGGGATGGAAGTAACTTCTTTGCAAAGTTGAGATCTCAGCGGAAAGCGTACACGGAATTCTTCAGATCATCCGGCCGATCTCCTTGACCGATTGCCGATTCAAGTTGACAAATGTATCTTGCATAACCACTATACTTTATTTGATATGTCGTGTGAAAAATGTTTTACGTACAAAAAAATATATACATGTGCATGTGTGCGCGTGTACACCTATGTACACCTATATACGAATGTACCATCAAATGTACAAATACTTTGTATGCAAATTATCCCTTCCTCTCTCCCCTCTCCTCTCTCTCTCTCTTTCTCTCTCTCTCTCTCTCTCTCTCTCTATTCCGATACATATAGGTGCAAACATTATCCTGGACGAAATAAAATTTACTTTCGTCCTTATATAGGGAAGAATTAAAACTTTATATAATATATCTATATTTATGGTTAAACCAGTTGTGTATCAAAATATGAAGATAGTTATGCCCACCCCCAATTAACGACAGTCTCTTTGGCGCAGACTCCGGGCCACCGAATGATTCGTTCCAATCGTCCATCTGACAAGATCCTGATGACCGATATACTATGACTGGAAGACGTTCCGATGAATTTGGATGAAACGTTCGTCGATCGTGCGAAATATGTACCTTCTCGTGGCGAAATTCCGGTACACGGTTGCATGAAAGTCAACCCTAATGCTAACAGCAACAGTAGCATGAGGTACCTGTGTGAAAAAATCCTCAAACATGAGACTCCATTCCCCATTTGCGTAATATATTTTCATTACATGTCATAGAACACTACATTTTTTGTATACATTGATGCTATATGATAAAAATTTTCCTTTTTGAGATTATGCATGTATTTCTGAAGAATCCCCTCGTCGCTCTTTTTTTCTTGCGTAGAAAAGTAGAAAAATTATACAAGATGCTAATTTCGTACACAGATGTGGTAATTCATTATGTGCACACTATAATAGCGTATAAATCTCGATAGAGCCAAAAAATGTTCGCGTTTAGCAAGCGAATTGTTCAAACAAATCATTAAAAGCTCCATTAGTAACAGTAAAGCCGATAATGTTGAGTTTGAAAAAAGCGCCTCATTTGCGGACGGAGAAAGAATTTTTCAACTACACAACCCGTTTAGTCAAACTTATTTTGGCGATTAAATTCCAAAATGAACAATTATTTAACCTGCAAAAGTTTTACATAGTACGATTTTAATACGATATTCACAATCTCACTACAGTATTTAATGCAACAAATGGAGAAGCTGTTGAAGCGATGGCTTATCATTCTATTACCGCTGAAAAGGAAATTTGGAAAATTTTTAGAAGACATTTCTGGTACGTGTGTGAGTATTTAATTCTTTTTTCTTTACATTAATATCATAAATTTCTCAAGTAAAAAAACGAGATTATTCTTCTTTCAATTGGAACTTGAAGACAGTTGGATATTTTACGTACATTTCTCTACTTTTTTAACGCATCTTGTTGCGCGTTGTGAATAAAAAAAAGTCCCAATCTTAAAATTGGATTCTGAAGTGAATATTGAACGTACCTCTTTGATACACTCATCTGTACCGTCCAAGATTTCGAAATGTTAAACTCTCTCGATCTTGGAGCACGATGGATTCGAGTAATGCCATATGTGTCTGTTCCCTTCTCACTCACATAACGTCGTCAAATTGAAACAAGAACTTGTAATTCTTTTCGTAAATTCTTATCGATTAATTTTGCATTTACGCGTTCACACGACTGTCTTTCGAGCGTGAAAGTTAGTGATTGAAACGTTTCGTGATATATAAATTTTAACTTTTCCAATTTTTCTGCAAAGTAAGACAAAAATCTGCGAACGTTTGCAAAATGGAGATTCCGCGACGGATAAAATGCGTTATCAACATGCAGCGAAACTACAATGTTACAAACGTGTCAATTGCAGATAAGATATCACGGCAGACTGTTAAAAACGCGAAAGGACGAAGCAAAAGGACAAACAGCGATCCGGTGAACGGTCGGGTCACGTGGTTATTTGGCTCGAATAGTTTCGCGCTTTTTGCTTCCTATTTTTCTCTTTTTTTTGCTGTTTTTTTAATTCACTACATAATAGCGTACACACACACACACACACATACACACACACACACACACACACATACACAGATACAGAGACACTGATACTCGATATTTATATACTCGGCGTGACAATATGTGACGTGACGTGATGTGACGTGAGGAGAGGACAGGTGAGATGAGATGAGGTGAGATGAGGTGAGGAGAGAAGAGGTGAATGACGTAAGATGAGATGATACGAGCTAAAATGAGTCGAGATGAGGTAAAATGACGCGATACACGACACAACACGATTCAACGTGACGTTCCGACAAACACACTAGTTCGCAAGGCTAACAGCAACCGGCCGTGTGCTAACTGGCGCGCTACGCTCGCGGCTCTCCCTTAAATACCGCCGACAGTTCGGCGGGTGGTTCGGTTGTCCAATTCACCTATACCACCACCGTTCTGTCACTTACGGTTTCTCTCTTCTCTCTCTCTCTCCTCTCTCTCTCTCTCTCTCTCTCTCATACACACATACACACACACATTCTCTCACACTCTCTCACTCACTCACTCTCATCTCGTCTCGTCTCGTCTCTTTTCTTCTCCATTCTATACTCTACACACATACGCACACACACACACACACACACACACACGCACGCACACACACACACACCCACACCCACACACCCACACACACACACACACACACACACACGCACGCACGCACACACACACACACACCCACCCACACACACACACACACACACACACACACACACACACACACACACACACACACACACACAACACACACACACACACGCGCACACACACACACACACACACACACACACACACACACTCTTCTCCACTCTCTATCCTCCCTATTTTACCTCGTGCACTCTCTTACGCTCTATCCTACTCTAGTTTTCCCTTCCGCAGTCCCCTGCTACCACCCCACTATTCGGACACCAACCAAACTCCACCCTCTGTTCTCCCCCTTCTTCTTATCCTACTCCTTCGCATCACCACCATCTACCACCAACGAGCCGCGCGCCTGCCAAATCCAATCCCACCTACTCAACCTGGGATCTAATCTCTCTCTTCGGATAGTCTTCTTTGTATCTTAACCGCAACTTACTCTCTTCTCTCTTTGGCGGTCAGCCCGTAGTCGCCGTCGATTTCTTTCGGCGAACGACTGTGGTAAATGACGGTGCTTCGGTATCGCTATCGTATCCACTATTATTCGTTACTGCGCGCGATTACTGATGTTTCACATTTTGCTGTAAACATATGTAGTCAATTGCAGTAAAGGATACAAACATTCGCGGAAAGAGTAAAAGAAAGAGGGAGAAGAGTAGGTTGCGCGCGATCTTTTTCATATTTATTGCGAAATATGCGTGCACTTGGCGATATATAGAATGTAATTTAAAAATATTTAGATAGATAAATAGATAGATGGATAGATAGGTAAATAGAGAAAGAGAGAGAGAGAGAGAGAGAAATGAAGTTTAATAAAATTTTTATCAGGAAATAATGATGTCAAATCATTTGGAGAATATGTCTGTGGAAAAATATGCGATTCAATTTAGAATCAACTAATGTAATTATTTAATAATTGTTTAATAATTATTTAATAATTGTTTTTTGCGTTATATATAATGCTAATAATAAAGATAAAGATAATAAACAGCGGTAAATTATATTGAAGATTACTATATTGAACTCTCTCTCTCTCTCTCATACATACACACACACACACACACACGCACATGTATATGTATATATGTATGTACATATATCGAAGCTAATTTCGATATTGACTGTATAACTTCTTTATTTCCTCATTGCTTTTATTATTATCATACTAAGTGACGTCACATTGACACGAGTCGCTCGATGATGATAAATTATGTAAGACCATGCGAGAAAACCAGTTCTTGTCGTTGGCTGCAAATTTCAAAACATCGTACCACGATTGGCGCGCGGCCAAAGGTCGCTTTTCGCGCGAGACACGCGATAAACCTTTGTCCCTGTGTGTCGCGCGGACGAATCTGTAATCTGTATCATGTTCACAAACGTCGGTTTCTACAGTTGCTTTTACTTGTGTTACTTTTACTTTTTACGTTGGAAAATTTCGAAAAATGCGTTATGTACGAGAATTTTCGTTTCACCTGAGCAATGAATATGCTTTACGGAAGTTGTCGAAGAAAGATACTACCTGATAGTACCAGTCAGTCTACTTACGACCTTACGGTTACGACTAAAATTTTTCTACGTGTAAGGAACGTTGAGGAACATTAACCAAGAATCTTTGCGGATGATAAAGCTCGGTATGTTGACATATACATATGGCGCATATTTAATTACCGACTGTCGCGCGCTGTTGACTTTACGTAACGTCACCGTAGAAGATTCGTAACCTTGCGGTTTACCATTCGACAATTTTATGCTGATGAAATCAACGTGGCCGAAATTACTTGGCGATAAGGGAACAGCTGGCGGAGAAAAGGCGGCAACAGTTTCCATCTATTGTAGCCCTCGTAGTTACGACTCGGCGCTAGTGGAGGACGAAAAGGTGCAGGCGGTCTGGAGAAGAGTACGAGGCGGAAGGAGGTATAAGAGAAGAAAAGGGCTATGTGATCGAGCCGACGCGACGCGACGCGACGCGACGCGACATGACGTGGCGCGACGCGAGACAAGGCGGAGCGAAGCGAGAATCTGTGAATGAGAGAGGAGGAGGTAGTTCTTGGCGTACGCAATTGTTCGGCTTTTGAGAGAGTTCGCGGACGAGCTATTGCCTTTTATATGCGTAATCCTGAAAGCGGTGTAACTGTAAGCGTGGAGCAAACTTTGTGTTCGAGAGAACCGATTTGCAATGTCGGAAAACTGACAACATCTCGCGTCGTACACGCCGCAACACGACGAACTAGGGATGCCGATTTTTTTTTCAAACAGATCGAATTTAAAGACCGATTCGAATCACGAAGAAGAAAGTCGATCTTTAAAAAGTCGGTTTGTAAGGAATTGATTTCAGAAAATCGATTTGAATCGGTATGCATGTAAAGTGAACCACTCATTAAAGTATAATATCTGTCAAATTTCTACATTCTAAAGTAGACCTCGTGTAATTCATATAAAGTTTAATACGAATTAAAGAAATTAAACAGATGGTACTCTTATGGTTGTGTTGTGTGTGTGACCACAACAAGATAGAAAAAGATCTTTAAATCTTTATGCTAAGGATTTAATTAGTTTGATTAAACATCAATCAAGGGTTTTTAAACGTTATTAAATAAGAAATCACGTTTACTATTATATGCATATATATATGTATATAATATATACTATTACATGGAATGGCTGTGATTGGTTCACGCATTCCGTTCCGCTGGATATTTTCGCCCATGGGACATCGGCCTAAATCGGCAACATAATGTGCATCGTGCAGCCATTAAGTGAGTTCAAATATTACAACTAAAAAGAATTAAAAAAGAAACTATATTACTAGTAGAAACTGAAAAAATCGTGTTGGCGATTTTCAGAATTTACAGATCGATCCTTGAATCGATTCAGTTCCAGAAAATTGAAATTGAAATCGATCTTTTAGGCTCCGATTAATCGATCTTCGATCAAATCGGTTTAAAATCGGCATCCCTACGACGAATGTCGTCGAACATTCGCTTTGAAACAGTGCTTGTCGATGTTCGCGCATCAGACAAAACATTTTCCTCGAAAGGACTTCGAACATCGAACATGATCGAAGATGTTGGAAACGTAACGTGCGAGATATTAAGGAAGCTTGGATTTGTTTGTTCATCCGATGTAGATTTGCACATTTTTAACGCGCATTTCGAGTGTCGGCTGATGATAACGCAGTTCGGAACTGTGCGTAGACGAGTCTCGGAACGGCCTACTGCATTCGCGCGGTGGGATCTCGTCGGCGAGCCGGTGAGTCGTCGAGTTGACCCCCTTTTAGGGTTGCTTTCGAGACACTCGAGGCATTCAGGCAACCACCGTTTCCGCGGCAATTGTCGCGCAATAATTACATAATTCTCGCCACACTTGGAACTTGGCACCAGCAAGGATCGTCGAAGGTAGTTGAAACCACAAGTGGTTTCGAGGCGTTGGAAGGGAAGGGTGCAGCTGTGTAGTTCACGTGAAACAATGCGTTTTAAGCGATAAACATTAACCATAGAAAAATGTAACGAGGGACATTCTGCAAGAAGCTAAAAGTGATCCCTTTCTCTCTCGCCGAGCACGTTTCGTTTAAGATAAATTAGGTATTATAGTTCGCACATGGCACGTATTTACCTTCCTTTTTCACCTTTATTTACCTGACTTTTGCATGTATGACCGATAATATCGAAAGTAAAGCAGTTATTCCATTTACACGGAAATTGGAATGCAGGAGCAGAAAAGTTCCATAGAACATTTCTACGTTTGGTCAATTATTCTCAGCTATCTCAAACGAGTTTTAATGTGGGACGAGTGAATTTTGATCGCGATGTCAATGACATCATTTCTCATAATCGAGTTTCCGTCTATTGGTTGTCCTGGATACAAGTTGAGACTTTTCTCGGTCTGCGTCTGCTGGCAATTTGTTTCAGCCGCAAGTTGCTCTATCATTTGGACGCTTTAGGAATACACGGGGTTGAACGAAATTCACCAAGTGTATACACAAATCCGCGCGCGCAACGTATACGGTTGCTCGCAATTCCAGCAGGATTCGTCACCAATTGATTTTATGACATCCGTTGTATCGACTATAAAGTCAATAGCGGCTGGAACCGAAGGAAACGATAGTGGTGTGTATGGATAGTGGCGAATGACACCCTCCTACTAGCCAACGTCGCGCGAGTCATGATGCATGACGCCCCTTTCCATGATACACCGATCTCACGTACACGCTTTTCGTACGCGACGACAACCTACAAAGTGAACAATATCGGTTGATTAACTTTGAAGAGAGAGAGAGAGAGAGAGAGAGAGAGAGAGAGATTTGATTAAATTATTCTCAATATATATATTTCAACCAGTTTGATTTAGTTTAAGCCAAATTATACGTAAGGAGGATTAAATATAAATTAATAAATATAAAATAATTAAATATAAAATAGTAAATTAAATACAAGGGGGAAATGGCGAAAGAAGAGTGTAAGAGAGAAAGAAAGAAAAACACGAGTAGGCGTTACGATCTACGAAGAGATGCTGAAAATCTACGAAGAAGCATGGAGAAGGGAGAGAGAAAAGAGTCCTGTTCTAGTAATTTATCCGCATCTCTCTTCCTTCACTTGGCTTTGCGATGAGACAATGGGACAACAGTTGCAAGACGCGATAGCGCTGGATTAATTCTCGATCGATTTCGAAGAAACTCCATCCGCTCGTATTGTCTACAATCGACCCTAAGAGTCAGCCTCACGTAGCCAACGTCGCGCGCGCGCGCGCGCGCGTGTGTGTGTGTGTGTGTGTGTTGGATGCTGTATTGGGGCGCAGACGCGCGTAGTAGAAAGGAGCCAGGACGTCCCAGACCAAAGATCAAATTATTATTATCATAACCATCTGTCCACCACTTCCAAAAGCTTAAAAGCTGCCACGTTCGCCAGATCAAAGGAGAGACAACGTTACTCGGCTCTCGAGAATAGAAAAAAACGTCGCCAATGTCCCAAGCGAGTAGATTTTCAAACGAGTGCTACGCAGCAAGCGTGTATCGCTAAAGTGCTTTTGGGAGTACTGATGTACGCGATGCAATTTCGGTAGTGTCTATACGGTAACGCGATTTTCGCGTCGGATGTCGAACATCGTGCATCGTGGATGACAACAAATTACCATATGCCAGGTTTTTCTTGTAGAACGTGCGGAAGATAATTGTACAAATGTGGGGCACGCACACGCACACACGCGGCTACGACCTGTCCACACATTTTAATATCTGCACAAAGTTGGATCGTGAGTAGGAGAAATAGCGACGTCATCGGCCGCACGGCGGTCCCTTTGGAATGGAAAGACGTAATTGATACGTACAAATCACCCCGCTGCTGACGCGAGAAGGATGAAACCAGGGATGGGTCGTACGCGAATGTACCGAGAAGGGACGATCGACGAACGGTTGTTTGACGGCACCTCCCCTACACTGACGCACGATGAAGCTGGTATCGCATTCACGGTCCACTGCCTCAGGATTCGTGCCTCTATCCCGCTTCTACACGCCGGTTCTTTCTTGTAAAAAAAAAAAAAGGAGAAAAAGAAAAAAGAGGGAAAAGATGAAAAAAAGGAAACGACCATAGAGAAGACATCCTTCGTTGATGATTCGTAACACTCGATCGTCAGAATCGAAAGTATCGCGCGACGAAACAAACCTTGGCGAATCGCTACATGAATAATCTGCAGCAACAATAATAATCTGTTGCTGCTACTGTACAGATACTGGTCTGTCGTTATAAATGCTTTAATTACGAATCGAACATACATGAATCGCGTTTATAGATAAAAGAGACAGTGCGCGTTCCGCGCGATAATCGCTTTTCTACCCTCGAGTCTCATTAAAAGTGATAGTTGTGCAAAGGTGGATGTATATTAAATACAAGTGTTTGAATATTTTTAGAATACAAATATATCGTATTATGCATGGGGGGGGAGGGGGGAGTTGGGAAAAGGGGAGAAAAAAGATACGCCTCATAGTCCATAATGTGCGTTACATATGTATATGTGTGCGCCGAGAAAGAATTGTATTAAAATAAAACAAATCTTTGTTCGAATACGACTGTGAATAAATTTATTCAAATTAAGCGACTAATTTTTAAAATGAAATATACAGAGGTTCTCTGAATGTAAACTTTTTTCTTCAATTTTAGGAAATAATTGCTTAATTTAAACAAATGTATTCACAGTGGTATTCGAACAAAGATTTGTTTAATTTTAATACAATTTTTTCTCAGTGTATGCACGTCCGAGATATTGTAATATATAATATGTAAGATATGTAATGTGTATTTCTATTTGCCGATGTATATATATGGGCAGTAAGCAATGTAGTTTAGCATACACGCATGCACACATACATACACACATACGCGCGCACACACACACACACACACACACACACACACACACACACATACACAATAGTACAAAGCTGCAAAGACCGAACTGCGAAATGAACGAAAGATGGAGTGAGCGATTACAAGATCTCATTCTAATAGCACGCACTGGCTTTTTGCCAAGCTGCGATGCCGGGCCATTAACGATCGAGCTTGCTTATCAGTTGCTGAGTTCGCGCAACCATACCAACGATGACCACCCGTCCGAGATGAAACTGTTTCTATCCCCGTATCACTTAGAGAGGACCTCCATGTCTCATAATTCGCCAGATACCGGTCATAAATGACGAAAACGGTCGTCGTAATCGCCAGTGCTGACGTCCATCTTCGATATCTCTGTGTTTCATCGATCATGAGCTTGTTCGTGCATTTTATCACGAATTCCGACGTTATTCCTTAGTGACGCACATCACGCATAATCACGTTATTATGTCGCCAGAACGTTGTCATATTCTTACGGATGATCCAAGAACATGCTCCTCGGATTTGTATTCGTACTTTCAAGGAATCATTAGTATTATGTATACATTACAAAGTTGATCATAAAAATATGTTGTATTCGACTGTTTGGGGACTCAATGCATCTTGTAATCGACAAACTTCCGTGCTATTGGATCTGTTTGATAACAGCGACTCTCAGCGTACGAGTGGCTAGTAGATTTCTTGTTTCGAGCAATAGGAATAATATCCGTTTTCGTTAAATTTTTAATCAGTTGGGATATTCTATGAAGAGTTTAATCGGTCGAAGATTGAGGAAACTTCGCGGCAAGACTGATGACAGTGACCAAATCGATGTGCAACAATCAGTAATACGTTTGCAAAGGATTCGCATATATGATAATTCGATATGTTTTAATGTTAGTTAGATATGTTTTAGGTTGTCGAATACCGAAAGGCGAATGAAGAATATGCGTGCTCATAACACATAGACACCTGATTTCTAATTGACGAACATTATTTTTGCGGTACCCTGTATATTGACTATTCCAACTCGGTGTCTAATTAATAGCGAATTCGGCCGATGTGCACCTCAGTGCGCATCAGTGCGCGCTAAGGCCATATTCATAGTCCATTATTTGAGATCAGCTTGGATTCATCTTGCAGATGCTCCATAGCCAATAAAGATGCGTAGAGCATTTAAAGGAGCATACACGTATGCGCGCACACACACACACACACTCACATTTTTCTATTTTTTGTCTTCTTTTTATTGTTTTCTAAAACAGTTTCCAATGACTACGTTTATGCGGCAGCTTTAATTTGATTCAGTAATCACCGTAATTAGTGATTTTATGCATTCGATTAGCATTAGATATTCTTTTAGATCTAAAAATATACTCCAATTAAATGCAAGAGCTCGCTAATTACGATTATTACAAAATCGGATTAATGTTACTGTGTAAACACAGTCGCAGGTTCTTATTGCAAGTCTCAGCTTTACTGTACCCAACAAACTTGATTACAATACTAACACATATCTTTACTGCTTATGTATCGCTTAATACAGCTTCCGGCTTGAAAAGAAAAGGATAGATTTCAATTATGTCTTCCCCTTTCTCCTGCTTCGTTTCTTACCTGTTTATTATTTGAGTGAGTATACAGGGTGTCCGGTAGTTAGCTGCCAACCCGAAGTGTGAAGGTAGATTGGGTTAAGCTGAAAAGAAAAGTAAAATATAATTTTGCAAAAATCGCAATAATTATCGAGTTCTTGCAAAATTGTATTTTACTTTTCTTTTCAGCTTAACCCAATTTATCTTCACATTTCGGGTTGGCAGCTAATTATCGGACACTCTGTACAATTCAGTGTATAGAATTCATCGAAAATATAGCAAGTGAGAAAACCAGAGTGAGATGTGTGTGCATATGTCTGTCCATTTTATTTTTCTGTCTCACTTTTATACCATTTCTCCATTTGAGTGAGCATTTCGATATTGTATAGAGTTCAACGCCACACAAACTTGAACGTTAAACGTTTCAACCAATTACAATGAAACTTTCAATTTATAGTCTACGTCATCGATAATTCTCGACTGTGATTGACGCGATTCGCTTATCGCATTCTTCTATATGCCTCGTGGTTTCGATATTCCGATAGTAGTGCGTGTTAAGGTCATTCTACAATACGTGTCGTAAGTTGTAAGCCGTAAGAACTGACCAATTATAGCCGATTATTTTTGTAATAATCGACTATGATTCGCCAATTCTTACGACTTACAACTTACGACACGTATTGTAGAATGACCTTCAAGCGTGGTCTACAATGGCCGTAAGCAGTAAGAAGTAAGCGTGAACAGTAAGAAGTGGACCAACCACAGTTGATTATTTTTGTCATAATCGACTGTGATTGGTTTATTTCTTACCGCTTACGCTTACTTCTTACTGCTTACTGTCATTATAAGCGTGGTCTACAATGGCCGTAAGCAGTAAGAAGTAAGCGTAAGCGGTAAGAAATAAACCAATCACAGTCGATTATGACAAAAATAATCAACTGTGGTTGGTCCATTTCTTACTGTTCACGCTTACTTCTTACTGCTCGCGGCCATTGTAGACCACACTATAGACCACGTTTCACATACACGTCCCTTACGGGAAGGACCGGCCGATATATATATATATATATATACAATGTATATACAATGTCCGAGCGGATAGAAGAATTTGTCCTAGCTAGAAAAGCTAAAAAGTGAAATCTCCTAGTGACCATCGAGTCGTCGCAGGTTGAATGTCAGAAGCAGTGTAAATTCTCCGTTAGACGCTGCGGACTCACTTCAGAGAGTCCGCTCTTATATGCGCATGAGTCATGGCTGAGATGTCGCATAGACGCCAAAAGTGCTGCCATCATGGAAACACTCGGCGACGCTATCGAGAGCTATGCTCCCTCCAAAAATCCGCGTGCATTGGCAACATTGTTTTTTGGTAGTTTACAAATAAAATGGCCGATATGTGAGGCTATTTTGTATGAACAATAAAATATGCAATTATTTAAAATTAATGACCATCGACGGTGCGTGCGTCCGAGTGAGAATATAGTCTCGAGAGCGCGAAGCGCGGAAAAAGTGGACGGACTGTGAGCGAGAGTGCGGGAGTGCCGCGGGAAGAAGGTGGAGGTTGCCTGAAAGAGTCGTGGACGCCGCGGGTCCGAAGACCGAAACGGAGATTCACTCACGGTCTCCAACACATAGAAAAGTCATTGAGTAACGAACGGTGTGTTTTTTTCTATTGGTGCACAGTGGCGCGGCAACAATACGAAAGCGACTCCTGTATTTACGCAAACGCTCAGGAGACTCAGAATCGCAGGAGCGACGGCAGAGGCATTCGCCGCCTGCTTCGATATTTTTCCGGCATTCGCTTCACCTTCACCCGAGACTAGTCTCGCTGGTCTCGCATATCGCGGGATCGGCAGCGGACAGCGGAGCCGCTGAAGGGAGCACATTGCGTGCCTCGCGTCCACGCTCCATGCTGCATATGACCCGCGCGAGATATTAAACATCGTCACATTGGCTCTCCGTATTATGTGGCCCTGAGGCGCGTAGCTCCTGGCAAGCTCCTTGGACGAACGCGAACACGGGATTTCGTTTTACACCGCGCCACTCTTGGCGCAGATATGATATTCCCATTTGGCGGCCGATACCGAGATACTGGAGTGTGACGGGTACGTTTACTTGGAATCTCTCAAAATATTTCCCACAGATCAGTTTGTTGTAGTGGAAAGGGTTGGTGCGGAAAATGCGCTGACTAGTACAGAGCGGTCTGCAAATACCGCGTCTAGCCAGGCTAACCCATCCATTACAACTCTTACGAATATGTGTACCGCTCCTAGCAATGCGAGCGCAGGATTTGGTGGATACGCTTGGTCCTTCAGCGGACCAGGGACAGAGACCAGAGAGAATGCCCAGAACGACCTCACGACAAACATCAGTTATGCTGTCAACAATAATCAAGACCAGGGATCAAGTCAGAAGATACAGGTCGATATCAAGCCAACCAAGGTTGCCGCTACCACGCATCGTCGTCCAATGTTCACAATGAATGACAGTTGTCAGCAAACACCTACTACGCATCACGGCCATACTGGTGGAGCACACAATCAAACCCATGGCACTCATGTTCGTACTAAAAAGCATCACGATGTCTTTTCATTACCGTGTGACAAAGGAGGCTGTAACTGCGACTCGCCACATCCTACACCCGCACCTACCTTATTCCCAAACACCCTAGTTTTTACAACCGCCGACAAGCACGCCATGAGTAAGCACTTCATGACACCCCTTGGACCGTTGCAGCTTACAGCAGAAGAGTGCAATGAAATCTTAATGAAGAGAGCAGCCGCTGCGTCTAATCAAGCCAATGCTGCGAATAATGTGACAACGAACCAGACAGACAGTACCGCTCACTTTGGACATGTTCTCACACATGTGAATACAACGCAGATTGAGACCAAGGTCAAGCAGCAACAGGATATGGGGAGTCAAGTCCGCGTGCCGAAGGAACGGCCGTATTCCTGTACAGAGTGTGGCAAGTCTTTCTTGCTGAAGCATCATCTTACGACACACGCGAGAGTACACACCGGGGAACGACCTCACATTTGCGCCCATTGTGGCAAAAGTTTCGCGCACAAACATTGTCTTCATACGCATTTACTGCTCCACAGCGCCGAGAGACCGTACCAATGTCGCGAATGTAAAAAGTCTTTCACACTGAAGCATCATCTTGTAACGCATACTCGCGTGCACACGCGGGAACGGCCGTTCGTCTGTCAGGAATGTGGCAGAGCATTCCCTCTGAAACGTCACTTGGTTACGCACAGTAAATTTCATTCGGGAGAAAGACCTTACGTTTGCGAGGAATGTGGCGAGTCATTCTCGCAAAAGGATCACCTTACGATGCACTCGCGCTTCCATGGCAGTCTACACCCGTTCGTCTGCCATGATTGCGGCGCGACTTTCCAGAGGAAGTTCGAGCTGGTCAATCACGGTCGTCTGCACGGCAGGAATCCGCACTCGTGTACTGTTTGTGGGAAGGAGTTTCTGCAAAAGCGAACACTCTTAGCTCATATGCGTTTACATACCGGCGAGACGCCCTTTGCTTGCACCGTTTGTGGAGAGGCATTCCCTCGGAAGGCAGACCTGGTCACTCACTCCAAGATTCACAATAACAGTGCAAATACCGACGAGAAATCTCTCACGTGCAGGTGAGATATATCCTACGCGGAGATATGTCAGCTTGTATCTCAATCTCGCTGTTGAGACGCTATAATCGAGCCGTATAAATCGGTCCTGGCTATTTTCTATCTTCACATTAACCTTGTTGGTTAATCCGTCGAGTCGGCAGATCAATATTGTCATCATACTGATATCAAGCTGTACGATGAATATGGTATGGTAATGAAAACATATCCTATTGTAAGTACCGCACGTGGCCACATATCACGAGCTAAAGACGAGTCATCGCGCGATGTATGAAATCAAGCCGCGGACCGCGGACCGCGGGACTACTCTCTCTCTCTCTCTCTCTCTCTCTCTACGGCTCTCTCATTATAGCTTCCGATTTAAAGAATCCAGATTATTCATCAAAGTGCATTCGTATTGCACAGTATAGTCGAGTATGGACATTCTCTCGAAACGAGTGTCAAACATCGACCGTCGTCGTCGAATGATCATTCTCTCTATTTCTCCCCTTTCAGGGAATGCGGACTCGAATTTTCGAATCGAGAAGCTCTGACTCTACACTTGAGGTTACATTCTGGCGACCGCACACTCGTGACAGACTTGTGCGGTTTGGCAGCAGCTTTTCAGCAAACCCCAGGGCACTTTCTCACTCCGAATACTCCAGGAACTCATCAGGTAACGACTAAATGCGCCTACGGAGTATAAAACATGTAAGTTATAAATTAAGTATTTACAGATGAACGGTCCGATTGGAACGCCCGGCGTCAGTCATATGCACGGCGCGACGCAAACGTCACCACCGGTGGGTACAGGACCGAAACCTAAGCCGCATATCTGCCCCGACTGCGGTCGCGGTTTCGCACAGAAGCATGGCTTATCGCAGCATCAACGACGTCATACGGACGGCAGCTGCCACATAAGATCCCACGTGTGCGACAAGTGCGGCAAAGCTTTCTTCCAGAAGAATCACCTGCTGCTGCATCAGCGTCAGCATATGGACCCACCGCCCAGTATACTTAGACAACAGCAGAGACAAGCTGCCCAAGCCGCTGCTCAACAGGCACAGCAGCAGCAACAAGCGCAGCAGCAACAGGCGCAACAGCAACAGGCGCAGCAGCAGCAAGCGCAGCAGCAGGTGCAGCAACAAGTGCAACAGCAGTCGCAGCAGCAGCAGCAGGTGCAGCAACAAGTGCAACAGCAGTCGCAGCAGCCACAGCAGCAGCAGCAGCAACCGCAACAGCAGCCGCAGCAGCAGCAATCGTGCACCGTCGATACGAAGACGATGCAACTGCAGGCGATACAGCAGCAAGTGCAACAACAAGTGCAACAGCAGCAGCAGCAGCAGCAACAGCAGCAGCAGCAGCAGCAACAACAGCAGCAGCAACAAACGCAACAACAACAAGCATGTCCCGTAGACTCTAAAGCGATACAGCTGAATGTCACCATGTGAGACGGTATAAAGACAGGGGACTGGAGAGTCCCTGCAACAACAATAGCACTCCCAAATGCGCACCCTGCTGCCACCCTCTGCACGCACTTTACTTGTACTAACAATACACATTAGATATATTTATTATCTCTAGATTTGAGTACGAAATAATCAATTTTATTACAAGAGTATATATATATATAAAAAAAAAAGTATACATACTATATTCTAATTATATGTAAGGCTTGTAACAATAAAATTAATCATATATTAGTGTTTTACATATACTTTATAAATATACAAATATACATATAAATATATAAATATATAAATATACATATAAATATATATATATACACACACAAGAAATATATATATATATATATATTTACTCTAGACATGTAAAATGAGACTAAACAAATTAGTTGCCTTAACAAGAAGAAGAATTTTAATGAACATATTAACTATTGTTTTCTTTTCTTTGGTGATCTTTTACTTTTATTCAGTAGGACATCACTTTATAAGGAAACACATATTGAATAAATCCAGATAAGAAGAAAAAAGAAAAAGAAAAAAAACAAGTCCGCCGTGTATGACCGCTGCTTTGTCGTGATCCTTCTCAATGTATTTCGTGCGAGGGTAATCGAGAGGAACATGTTGGCGTGTGAACAATACCGGGAAGGAACAATTCCGCGGAGAGGATTCGGTGAGGAGGGAGAGGGTGGCAGACATTGCGCATTTATAAAGCATTTTAAAAACTTAGATCTGTTCGAGACAACGTTTTAGCACCACGTGATTTATTCTTACGTTGAACGATGCGAGCCAATCGTTTGTTAACTTTTAGAAATAATACGTAAGAAAAAATCCGGTTTTGTAAGATCTAAATATCATTAGATGGATGTAAATGTTTTCCGTGAAAAAAAAAAATCAAGGTGATTTGTATCGACGAACATGCACGAACATGTGCGAAGGGGATGTTTTTGGAAAAAAGATGTCGCAAAAATTACAAAACACTCCGTACAATATATTCATCCTTTTATACGCGTATTTTTTCTTCGCGTTGCTAGAATCGCAAGAGCTTTACACGCGCTTAATCATCCGTTCGATCGAAACCATGATAACAAAGCGTGCGCGTCACGTTCGTGCAGTTGCGTATAATTGCTTAGCGGGCTCTTCTAGTAAAACGTAAGTTTAATTTTTGTCAGCAGAAATGTATTAGCTAATAGAATAGCAGAAAAGCCAGAAGAAATACGAATAAAGGTTTCCTACATAGTTTTAATCCGTATCTGTCTTTCTTCCGAGGAGCAACGTAGAACGTTACTTTATCGCGGTCAGTAAATGAAGAAACAGTGAAATATTTCATCTTAGCTTTTCTCTGGCTTTCTTCCCCGTAGATACTCATAGGGAGATCGTTAACAAGGAGTATTGCTTCATTTTAATTCATTTTTTATCACATTTTATCAAACGATTATCAATTGATTTTGCACACGCTCTTCAGCGCCAATACACGACAGACTCGTACATGTTATTTCTTTCATTTCCAGTTTTTCGAACGTGCCGAACAATTTCACATTTCAGAGTCTTGGGCGTTACAGTTAAGCACGTAAGTAAAAGCAAATGTATATAAACATATATCTTGTGAATTACATAATACTCGTCGGTGCAACGTTCCAACGCCAGCGGTCGGTATATTTATAGTCCAGTCTTATATTTAAGATGATTCCGAATTCATCCTACAATGTTATATCGTTGATAAAACGGTATAACATTGTAGGATGATAAAACTCGAAGCATTCGACGGTCATTTTAAAATGTTAAATAAAAGATCGGGCCATGGAGCCATCGGGACTATCGCCCAACGTAGTACGTACATGTAATCAGATTATTCGAAAAGTAAAATTTGTACTTGCAGATTGTGTATATATTGCTATCGGTGCAACCGATGAAATTCATCAGGACACTCTGAGATACTCTCTTCGAGTATTTTGGGTGCTTTTAGGGTAGAATGTCTTGCGTTGTCGAGATATATGTGCAGAATTCTTCCGATATGTGTTCGTACATCTACATCGTATAAGAATTGGGATACAAGTTAAAATAACGAGTAGGACAGGTAAACGTTAAAACGGATGGATGGATAGAGCACGAGACGCGGTGAGAGGCGCAGGGAAAAAATAAAAAAGAAGAACAACGTACAACGCAGTGTGTGTTTGTGTGTGTGTGTATGTGTGTGTGTGTGTGTGTGTACGTGTGCCGATACTTCAAATTTGATTCGAGTGATTCTCTTCTCTCGAAGTACAACGGAAATATTATGGTAGATGCAGACCGATGGCACAGTGAGAAAGTCTTGCGATTACGTTAAAGAAGTTCCCAGTACACCGCAAACCCGAGTGCGTTATTTTGACACGTATAAGCTGAAGCTTCCTTTAGGCGTATCTTGTCGTCTTAAATCACGTCGTTTAACACGTTTCAACGCGTTAAGTGATATCGAAATACATGAAATGACGTGATTTCAGACGACAAGAAACGCGCGAAGAAAGCTCCAGCTTATAGTGTCAAAATAACACTCGGGTTTGCAGTGTAAACATCGGTATCTTGCAGACATCTAAAAGATATATCTTCAAGACATTTTTAAAAGATGTCTAGAAGTTGTCTAAAAGATATCTAAATAGATTTAATTAAAGATATCTTTATAGAATTTCTAAAAGATGTCTTAATATTTAGATCCCTAAGAGATATCTTTTCGGACAAAATGTAAGATATCTCAAGACATTACAAGATACCTCACGAAAACAGGAGCGTTGTGCGTTCACGTGAAATCCACGTGGTTTTGTGGATTCCACGTTAATGCAACGTGCGTTCCGCATGGATTCAACGTACGTTTTTGTGGGGTATCTTTTGGATGTCTAAAAGATATCGTTTTGTCTATTTGGGTTCTTACCAGTAGATCTTTCTTTTTTATTCTAGTCTCGGACGTCGGAAATCACGGCTTTCTTCAGAAACATTTCGCTATATTTGACCGCATGTAACGTGTCAAACGTTTGAAACACGGAAACAATATTTAGCTTCTTGAAGTGTGTTAAAATATATATGTGTGTGTGTGTGTGTGTGTGTGTGTGTGCGCGCGCGCGTGCCTGTGCGTGTGTAAGGATAATTAAAATTAATATATTATTATAGATACAATTGAAATACAGTCGACACATACGTGTCGACGCTCTCCAGATACCCGTGAGTTGTACAGCTTCTATTGATAAACACGAATCTACCTAGTGCCGTCATCGACATCATTATCAGCACCTCCCCCCTCCAGCCCCTAGTGAGGTTTGAATCAGTACGTTCGCGCGCTCTAACGGTGGTGTCCGAAATCGGATCGCGCGATTCGGCGCGTGCGCAAGAGTCATCGTGTACTGTCTCGCTCGCTGAGGACGAACCGAAATAAATCGAACGACGCTGAGCCGATCAGCAGTACGGTATTTGCTAAACGTGTTCGCTTCGCGTCAGTGTGATGATCAAAACGAACGGTTATCGTCACTCTCATTGTTGTTCGTGGCACTGTGCGAAGACGAAACAGCCGTGATCCGTAATTCGTGCTTCGAGCACCGAGTTGCTAGGTAGAGAAAAGTCCGAGAACCTGCGTCGTCGTTCGCTGCCGCGGTCACGGATGCATATGGAGGTGCGTACAACGCTCGCTTCGATGTATACTTCCTCTGCTCCTTCGCACGCGCTTTTATCAAACTCGACGGTGACTCTGAGGTATTTTGCAGTCGCGACGGTGACGGTCGCGACGGTGTCTCTCGATGCAAGACAACACATGCGAAACGATGCTGCGCGACGTAACTCGCCGCGAGCGAGACACAGCGTACTAAACGATCTACACGGCGGGAGACAATTCGTGCAGCAGGCTGGTGTCGCGATTATAGAAAACGCGTGTCCTGTCCTTTATCGAGTCGTCGTCGCTTCGACGAGTCGGCATCGAATTCTCGAGCGAGCCGTCGAGCGTGAATTTCAAGTCGGACTCGCGATAGCCGCATACTCCATATTTGTCGCCAATCGCATCTTCAACTGCGCATTAATATTGTTGCCTCGACTCTCCTCTCGAGTTCCGTATACATTTCTCTCGCACAGGCAGCTTTGATAGCTGTTGCGCATCGAATTTACGCACGATCAAGCTCACGGCTACGTCATGTTAAGGATTGTGTTTGTATATGCGTTCTCAGCTGATGGAGTCTGTCAGCTGCCTCCATACGCCGCCGCGCGTGCCCCGCCTCACCTCGGTTCACCTTACTTCGCCCTCTCCCCGCTTCATTCTTGTCACGCCTCTGCTTCGCCTCTCCCCTCCCGATCTCATCCCATCCTGTTTGATCCTCTCTTCTTCTGTGTCCCGTCTCGCTCCTCTGCGCCCTTCATGCCGCCTTTTCTTACCCCGCTTTACTTCGCTCCTCATCATCCTTCCCCCTCTCCTCGTTTCGCCTAGTCTAGTCTGGTTTAGTCTTGCCTAACCTAGCCTAGTCTAGGCTAACCAAACCTAACCTAGACTAGCCTAGCCTAGTCTAGTCCGGTCTGGTTTAGTCTAGTCTAGTCTAGCTTAGCATTAGCTTAGCATTAGCTCGGCTTTAGTTTAGCTTAGCTTAGCTCAGTTTAGTTTAGTTTAGTTTTGTCCTGCCTTTTCCCGTTCCGTCTCTCTTCATCCTGTTCGTTCGCCTTATCGTGTTCTTCGTCTCGTCCCGTTTCACCCAATCAACCCAACCTAACCTAACCTCACCTCATCTCACTTCATATATCGCGCGCTTCCTCTCTTTGCTTCTTACCACATCGACCTCATCTCTCACTTTACTAAACTCTGAATTAACCTCACTGTGTGTATGTCTCATCTCAAACTCTAACTTACACCTGACTCTAATTTGATCTTATCTCACCTCACCGCACTTCATTTACTTTGTTCTATTTATCTTGTCCTTATCCGTTCGGTTATAAACAATGAATGCGAGTATCCAGTCATATTGACAGTTTGTTGTCTTTTATTTTTCTGTTATCGCTGGTTAAATTTTGAAGATTCGAGTGATGTTTTCGTATTGAATTTATATCGCGACTTTATTTATAGTTGAAATTTATTTTTATTAGGATTTAATATTTGTTACTATAAATCAGTCGTAAATATGTGTGTGTGTGTGTGTGTGTTCTATATTATATTTAATCGTTGTTTTATGATTCTACGGTGGTTTACCGCGCAATATGGTAATTCGGGCTATCGGTGTATTTGTAAAATACTATTTTATTTATGTTATGTGATATGCGCAATACTATGTAACATAAACAGGAATATCGCTGAATAGCGCGTCAAGTTGTTTTGTATGTACATATCCGCAGCTGATTTGATCATCGCATTTCGAAATCGTTGAAACTGTAATCTCGGTAAAACATCTTCGATCGGTTTCCTCAGAGCTCGCAACAACTACTGTGCAACATTCACGTTGCTCGGATCTTTTGTCTCTCAGGAATAATTCGACACTTGTATCTTATGAACGAGTTACAGGGAGAAAATAAGCGTACGTGACAAAGAACAATGACCCGAATTTACTACCCACAGCGCAGTCCACACCACGTTGTTCTTTCTCTCCCCTCCCCCAGCTTCTCTCTCTCTCTCTCTCTATCTCTCTCTCTCTCTCTCGGTATCTGTTAAAGTTGCTTCGACATTTCCATGTTAGAATTTCGTCATACCACGAAATTTTAACTTTGCTTTCTAATCTGTCGTCTTTCTAATCAAGCCAACGTGTAATTGCGTATAAGTGTAATGGTTCTTTTCAGTTTTACGTGTATACGACGTACATATAGCACGTCGATCGAACGTGGTGTCGCATCGCATCACGTCGCGTCGCGTCACGTCGCGTCGACCGCGTAAACCTGTTGGGCGACGGTTTTGTGTACATTTACAGCTGACTGGACTATCAGCTGACTGTGCACGACGGCATTGTCGCGCAGTGATACGCATAGTGCGCACTTTGCGATATTCCCGCCTCTTTGCGATTGAAATTTTCTTTCTTTGCCTTCCTTCCGCCCACGCTGTAATCAGTGCGTTATGAGTCGCAATGACATTGTGAGGAGGATAATGGCTGCCGCCATTCGATCTTCAGACAAACTTCCGACGTCGTTCTTTTATAGTTGATGACCGGGGTTACGACTCGCGTGTAAACTCCCGTATATAGAAGAGTTTATAAATAACTAAAGAGACTTTGTCTCTTAGCGCGGCCTTCGACTGTCAAACCTCCGTTCGCTCTTCTTCAACAGGCCTCAAGACGTTTATATCGGATAGAAGAATATCGTACCGAGTACATTAGAAGAATAATTAAGGAAACTTGTTAATTAATAATAAGGTTCGAATATCTCGAAAACTGAGCCCGATAGACAAAAATGTTTCAGACAAAAGTTGCATGGTTTCAAGAGGGACATAAAACAGCTATATCGATTTATAGATGGCGCCACTTTCGAGATATTCACTGGTCTTTTTACTTTTCTTAAATGGAAATCCGAATTTTTTTATTATATCATCTTTTTCCGCCAATTAATTTGGACAACTTTTGAAACATTCTTTTACTTGCCTAATATTTTTTGAGATATTTAAGGAAAACTTGGTAACTTTTTCAATATTTAATTCACGATATCTCGCTAATTATTTGTCGAAAGAAAAAATGATATGAGACTTTTTTACTCTATTTAGTCTCAAGAATATAATAATGTTACAATAGCGCCCTGACTTTTGTTAATTTGATGATTTTGAAATTTCCAAAAGTCGATATGTACATATATATATATATATATATCATAGTAGTCACAGATGCTAAAAATATTGATGCATCTCGTCAACTTACCCGATCGAGTAGCATGTATGTAATTAGAAATATACGAGGGCAGTCTGAAAAATTCTCGGCCTGACATAGATGGCATTAGAAACTGTCAAACTATAATTGTATTGGAAAGTGGCATCCCTGATATAAACCCATGTAAAATTTTATTTCGATCTGTCAAGTCATTCGAGTAGTAGCACCAGTTTAATATTGACGTGTCATTGTCTTTTTTAAAATGAAAAAAATTGAATATCGTGCAGTGATCAAATTCTTTGTTTTGGATGATTTAACACCAACAGAAATTCATCCGAAATTGTTAAAAGTGTATAAGGATGCATCAGCTTCATTTTCCACTGTGAAAAAATGGGCTGCTCTTTTTAAATCTGCTCGTACAAGCCTCGAAGATGATCCACGCGAAGGTTGTCCAAAAACTGCTACAACACCACAAAACATTCAACAAGTCCATGATATGGTGTTAGATGATCGGCGAGTGAAAATGCGTGAAATAGCTGAGGCCATAGGCATCTCAGAAGAACGAATTGGAAATATTTTGCATCAAGAATTACATATGAAAAAGCTTTGTGCAAGATTGGTGTCGCATTTGCTAACAATTGACCAAAAACGCATTCGAATGCATATTTCTCCATCCAAGCGTGTTTGGATCGTTTTAAGCAAAACGGAAAATGGATTTCAAGCGTCGTTTCATAACTGTTGATGAAACTTGGATCCACCACTATACACCAGAGCGAAAATAACAGTCGAAACAATGGATTGAAGCCGGTGGACGTGCACCAAAGAAGGCAAAAACGGGGTTCCATCAGCAGGAAAGGTTATGGCAACAGTTTTTTGGGATTACAAAGGTGTTTTGTTGATCGATTATCTTCAGAAAGATAAAACGATTAATTCTGAATATTATTGTAACCTTTTGGATCTATTGGATGCAAAAATTCATGAGGAAAGACCTGCTTTAAAGAAGAAAAGAATCGTTTTCCATCAAGACAACGCACACATGTGTTCACACAAGTGTTTTTGACAATGGCAAAATTCAACGAATTAAAGTACGAATTGCTTGAACATCCAGCGTATTCACCAGATTTGGCTCCCTCTGACTATTATCTGTTTCTAAACCTGAAAAAATTCCTGGCTGGAAAGCATTTTACATCAAATGACGGAGCTATTGCAGCCGTGGATGGATATTTTGCAGACCTTCCAGAATCACACTTTAATAATGGTATTGAATTATTGGAAAAACGTTGGAATAAATGTATCGAAGTTTTAGGAGATTATATTGAAAAATAAAATATATTTCACGGCAAAAAAAAATTTTCTTTCATTGTTAGGCCGAGAACTTTTCAGACTGCCTACGTATATATATTCAATAGAAGGCTGACGAAACGAAATATAAAAGTGTGCTCGTTGCACCATCTTTTTTGGAAGATCAAAATTGGGATAATTTTTATCTTTGTAATGAAACAACATTTGTACCAAAGTGATAGTGAGCGCAAATAAATGTAGCGGAGAACAACAAACGAAAAATCATGCTTTCCGATCTCTACCTGCGTTCTGCATTCTGCTTCATAATAAAGCCGTTGCTCTTCTTCGTCGCTCGTGCAATTCGTAGGAGAAACTACTTTGCTTATCTATAAATTGTTTATCTCTCCAACCGTATGTGATAACGAAGTTTCAATTCATAATTTCTCAACGCTCTGTGTTTGGATATATGTAAGTAACTGGAATCAAATTGTAGCAAAAGTCGGACAATTTTTGTGTTTAAGAGAAACAATCTTGCGACGTTCGTCCAGATTTAACGAGCTCGAAGTCGTCTCGCGTCGGACGCGTGTTCGCGCGGAGAGAACGAAAGAGAAGCGGATATATATATATATCTCTCTCTCTTTTTCTCTCTCTTTCCTCGAGTAGCAATGACCCTGAGTAGTGTATCGACTCGAAAGTCCCGTCTCTCTTTGTTCTCCGCGGTCCGTTAGGAAACTTGTTCCCATGCGCGTTTTCTTTTCGAGTCGGTTGCGATCGCATCTCGATTTCTCGCTTCCCCCCTTCGTCTCTCGACGTTTCTTTCGAAATGTCACTGTTCTGGGTGTTTAGATCGTGTCTAATGCGATTCCCTCAACTTTGTTGTCCCCTGAGCGTTGCAACGCTCGCTCCACGTATCGAATGTGCATGCACTGGAGGTGAAAGGAGCAAGACGATGTCGCTGTCGCAAGGTTCCAACCGATCAGTTTCGATTAGTGAGAACTTGGCGAGAATACGCGGGGGGATTCATGAAACAACGTCCGCTACATCCAAAGAAGAACAAGCGAAAGCCGAAATAAATGCGTCTATATACGGAAAAGAAAAGCTCTATAGGTTTAACGATTCATAACAATATGGCCTTGTCTCTTTGTTTGAGTGCGCGCTAGCACGTGGCGGCGGCGCGGCGCGGCGCGGCGCGGCGCGGCGGCGGCGGCGGCGGCATTTCAGTCGATACGCGGAAGAATACGTAGCGATGCAATTGCGCTTGAAAGTTACGTGGTGGAAAGTTAACGTGCTTTCAACGTCACGTTACACGCTTGTCAGCGGGCGCGTTGGCCCATTGTCGGTTCTTCTTTCTCATACGAAGAAATAAAATGGAAAACACGGATATACTTATCAAGAATGCAAACGAAGCGAAATTGCGCGAAACTGCCGCAACTCCGCGCAATCAGTGTATAATTTGTAGAGATGTGCGAACTATTCGAATTCAAATCGAATCGAATCTAATGTAATTCGATTCGATTCGAATCCGAATCCCTATGATTCGAATTCGAATAATACGAATTGCAATCAAATATATTATTTTGTTCGCGTGCATCAGCTGCGTCGAAAACGGGCCGTCTGGGCCTGTTTGAACCTTTAACTTGTAATTAACTTAACTTATAATTAATAACTTAATTATAAATTACTTTAAATATTTAAATATATATTTTACTTTAAGATGATATTACAATATCAATATTCCCTTTCATATTAAAATCTTCCATCGTTATTTGCATGTTTAGTAGTCATGTTAAATTTTTTAATGATTCGATTCGAATTCGAATGAAATTTCATAGATTCGATTCGAATTCGAATTTAAATTTAAAAAATGAGATTCGATTCGATTCGACATAAAAATTCTTGATTCGCACATCTCTCATAATTTGTATATTGTTACATTTCCAATCCTAGCGATTCGTTTATATCGCACGTCTTTATATCGCACGCAACAAAGAAATATTTATCGCGACGTGTATGTATGTGCATACGTACAAACGTACGATCGATATATCGCTGGCGCGAGACACGCGTGTATCGTGAAAATAGCAGCGCACCGCGATGAAGCGATGAAGGATTTTTAAAGTTCTCTTCTCTAGAAATATGGCTGTAGCTCGAAAATTGTCGGTGCTCTTTAAAGTACTTTCCAAGAGGGAAATCTGTCTCTTCTGAAAGACTTTAGGCTAAGATCAGCCCGGGAATCCGCAGTTGAAAGAAAGTGTGTACGCCCTCTCGACCCCGTACAAGTATAGTGTGAAAGACAGCCCCGCTGCTGTTGCATTTGGATCGCATTTGGTAATTCCAAATGAACGAAACTCGATGCGTTCTGACTTCTGAGATTCTTCTCTCACTTTACAGGTGTCCCCGAACCGGCGCTGTCTGAACCAGCTCAACAGCTGATCGGAGTACGAAGCGGCGGTGAACGGGGCCACTATCGCACCACCACCCCGCGTTTCGGTGAAATCCCTTCAGCCTCGTGTCCACTGGGTAAAAGGCAAATTTTGGCGAAGGAAGAGATCTATCCTCGCGCTCTTGGCGAAAGGATAGGACGACGGAGCAAGAACGAAGTGTCCCGCCCGCTTGGATACGCCATTCATCATGGTCAAAACTTTTCAAGCGTATCTACCTTCCTGTCATCGCACTTACTCGTGCATTCACTGCCGTGCTCATCTCGCCAATCACGACGAACTCATTTCTAAGGTGAGTGCGCCACATCAATCAGTCAACAAAGGCGAGTGTCGTTGTATTTCCTCTCGTCATCAGCTCACCAGAGTCTTGTGCTTCTTGTGCTTCTGGTTGGCGTGCGTTAATGAAATTCATTTTCTTTATCTTTATGTTTTTTCACATTTCAGTCCTTCCAGGGTAGTCAAGGTCGTGCCTATCTCTTTAACTCCGTGTAAGTATATCACCAAAGAACGATACAAATAGAGGGAGTTGTGTCGCGTGTACGGCTCGACGTGATATATATTTACTTCATATTCATATTTCTGTACAATACAATACCACACACATACACACACACACGCACGCACGCACGCACGCACGCACGCACGCACGCACGCACGCACGCACGTACCCACGCATATACATGTACAGCTGTTCCAAAATTATCACCACCTCTCTCTCTCTCTCTTTCTCTCTCTCTCTCTCTCTCTCTCTCTCTTTCTCTCTCTCCCTCTCTCCTTCTTAAACGGTGGTATTTAGACTGATTCTTCGCTCGAGTCGGAATCGATATCTACTCGGTAAACATTTGTATTTGACGCGGTTGTTTTCTTCGCCTCTGTATTTTTCCCCATTCTCTCTTCGAGTAAATTTCTCCTTTCGGTTTTTGTACTCGACGTGTTTGACAATGTTCTACCGTAGATTTCGTTAAAGTTTCCAAACCTCTGTAACTGTACGTTTTGAACGTTGATTCACGAAAGAATTCTCTCGATGTACATAACGATAATCAAACGATATCGCTCGCTTCAAAACAAACACGGTTCTCCTCAGTTCGACTATCTTTAAGACAGGTTGTAGCAGTGCGCAATACCTCGTTTACACAACACACACACACACATACACACACACACACACACACACACACACACACACACACATACACACACACACACACACACACACACACGTAAAAGAAACACGTTGAAAAATTGTAATTATATTATTCAGGGTGAACGTAGGTTGCGGTCCTGCCGAAGAGCGAGTTCTATTGACCGGGCTGCACGCAGTCGCCGATATCTATTGCGAATGTTGCAAAACCACTTTAGGATGGAAATACGTTAGTTGGCCATTAATTGAACTTAATCGTAGAAAGAGAAAAATTCACGACGTTGATCGCCCGATGACATTTCCAGGAGCATGCATTCGAGTCGAGTCAGAAATACAAGGAAGGAAAATTCATAATTGAACTTGCCCACATGATCAAGGAGAATGGATGGGAATGAAGAGCAGAGAGAGGAATGCAAGTTCTCTGTGCCTCTTGTCAAACTTTTCCTGACAATGCCTACAATGTTGTTCTAATTGCAATGTGCGACCCCTCTCCATTCGAACCACCAACGAAAGTCTGTGATTTCATTTGTGATTTGTAATCTTAGTAATTTTTATGTTTCGGACAATTCGTCACCGATTTCCGTTGACTCTAATCAAATCGAGTAAGCGAAGATACACAGGCGGTCCGTGATCGCTAGTGGACACACTTCACACACCAAGTATCGCAAAGAAATTATTTTTCAAACGAAGAAAAGATAGAGTAAGACAATGATGTCGAGCGACGGTGAATATGATGAGGAAGAAGGTGCCATGGTGGGAATAAAGAAGCGAGATTGCTCGATACGAGCAGTGGGGTGCCCCCATTCTCCATCTAATCTCGATTCATTATTCTTGTAGACATTGCGTGCGTCGTACATGTCAACGATGAATGATGCAGATTAATGCGCGGGGCACCCCAAAATCAGTTTTATCCGTTACGCACCGGAACAGCGCAAGTGCCACAGATTTTGCCGGACTGATCGCCTGCCTGCCGCGTCTGTCATTGGAATTTCACACTGCCGATATTCCTAATATTAATTAAGATACTATACGTCGTATTTAGACGGCGCAGTAGCATAGTTCTAGTTTAGCATTACATCATAGAATACTAAAGCCTATATTATATTATTATAGGACCTCGTGGATATAGAATATAGGGATAAATAAGAATCATGAAGATAAGAAGCGTGGAGGGGGGAGGAGGAGAGAAAGAGAAAGAGAGAGAGAGGGAGAGAGTGTGAGAGTAAATGTTGAAAGAGGGAGAGAGAGGGTTATAAAAGAAAACGGTGTTTGGTTATGTGTCACGTATTTGGTTTTACGTTCACCATGTCTGCCAAACTGTCTGTTTATCTCTGCCAGTATATACTATTATTACAGTAGTATCATATTGTAATACGTTAACGTTTCCATTGGCTGAGCAGGATATGGTACGATTACATCTTTTTGTTGCGAAATCTTGGAACTGCGCCTTCCTATGCACGCAATATATTATTTAAAACGTAGAAAAGGGTGATTGCTCATTTCTTTTAATATCGATCTCATAAATATTTTATAGGATTCAAACGTATTCGCGCAATTTGCTAGTGACGATGGTTGCGGTGGACCTTGTTCTCGTAAAAATGTACTTTCCGGATCGATATTTGAAATTACTGACAAGAAGTTAAATTCACCGATGATCAATTTTCATTGAACATTAAATGCGTAAAAGTTTACTGTCAAATCCATCCATGATACAAAGTTGCTTCTTACGTTACATTGGAGCGTATAATGCGGTTTTTGGATGAGAGTGAATGAGTAAGTGAGTGAATGAGTGAGTGAGTGAGTGAGTGAGTGAGTGAGCGAGTGAGTGCGTAAATGAGAGAGGGAGAGATAGTATGTGTGTGTGTGTGTGTGTGTGTGTGTGGCGCGTGGAAGTATGGCGCGAAAGGTAAAGAATGAAAAAGAAAGGAGGAAAAGTCTCACGGAAACTTCATTATATAGGTTGGTTATATATGAGTTTATTATTATTGCTATATTCCTCGATGCGCTCTTCCGTTGTTATCTTCTTGTTACAGTCATCGAAAGAAAACGGTAGTTAATATTTGGATCATTCGGAATTGATCTGCAATTACATAGTATATATTTATGGCGTGTGCACTTGTACTATTAGAGAATTACGAGTCCAGAGCAAACAAGAGTCGCATCTGTGTGTGCATGAGATACTTAAGGACTAAATCGAGGACTCGCGAAAACTGCTACTTAATGACATTAATCGCGCGCGACTTCTACATAGAAAATTGTTCTTTCTCTGTGTGCGTATTATTCATTAACAGGAAGATAGCGTTGTTGCGTTTATTGCATCAAGCGATAATATGCGTGTATATTGTATAAAATATTTGTACAATGCCAGTGATCTTTCTTTTTGCACTATTTTTCATTACGATATTACGTTTATAAAAAAGAAAAAAAATGTTTCGCTCTCAAATGCCTACATATGAAAGTGCAATGTACTCGCGCGTATATGAAAAAAAGAATATCTGCCGCCTGCCAGCTCAACAGATCGACAGACAGATGGACCGATCGACCGACAGACTGACCGACCAATTGACCGAATAAATAGCGAAAGGAACGAATGGACGAATGAATGTGCCGGCCTAATATTCACGCTGTCACTCAAAGAGTACTTTTTATATTAATGTGTCGATATATCCTTATCCGCACTCACCTTTCCAGAACTTGGTTAAAATATATTTACCAACACTAACTCCGTAGTCTTCAGCCTCACCATTCAACATTCAACACTTCCACCGTCGCAAGATTTTGCTTTGTAAAACGTGTTCTTAATAAAAAAAGAAAAAAAGAAACAATAATATACAAAGAATATTCAATCCAGAACAATTTAGATGCGCACACTTTGTGCGATCTTTCGATGTATTTGAGATGTACGCTCAACGGAATGTCAGAGTGAGCGACAAATTAAAAAAAAATGTCGAGATAACGTAGAAGCGATTGTCGAAACGTCATATCAGATAAGTATTGAGACATTATCGCGCAATTTTTTTATTTCTAGTACATATAAATTTTGCACAAGTGCTCTGTTTCGTTTTATACTATATTCGTAGATTTATATATTATTAATACATATCAGCTCATATACACCACACACGCAAGTACGCGCGCGCGTACATACACATACACACACACACACACACACAAATTCTTGATATTTCATATCTAAATATTCGTGTAGTATAATTATCCGGTTATAACGGTCATGGCATATAGAATGACGTAATAAGACGTAGGTAGCAAATCAACCAATCACAGTTGAGAACGTAATAGTCATCATTGACGTTTTATTCATGATTGGTTGATTTGTTTACTACATGAGTTTATTGTGAGGTTCCAAAATGCGCCGACAGTAGAGATCGTGGAACGTGGAAGAATTTAATGTCGTATTCGAGTGGTATGGTTTTTTAACTCAACCAGAGTCGATTAAATCCGAGTTCTTGGGTTGAACAATAAGCTTTGTAACTGGCTAGTAGAGCCTCGTGCCGTTATTAATGGACCTCTATAGTCGGATTCTGTAATTCGTTATGTGCTAATAACGAGTTTTCGGTTCGTTGCGCATCTTTTCTGTTTTATGGTCTGTTCTTTGTAGCTGCACTGCTGAACTGGTGCAATAAGTTAGAATGAGAAAACCTATATTTGTCTCACTTTAACTTATTGCACCAGTTCAATAGTGCAGCGACAAAGAACAGACCATTATGTTATGTTCGCGCAACGACAGTGTCGTTATCTCAATGACCGCATAACGAGTTACAGAATATCTATTGAATCGCTATTGATGGGTTAAAACACATGCCATTCGAATACGCCAATACGTGAATAGACCGGGTATAAAGCCCTAAACACAATGCCAGGCACAGGCAATAAGAATAAAAATAGACCAATCACAATAGATTATTCTTGTAATAGTCGATTGTGATTGGTCTATTTTTATTCTTATTGCCTGTTGCCTGGCATTGTGTTTAGGGCTTAAAGCTCGAAATCTGAAGATTAGATAGAAAGGGACGGACAAAAGTCTATGTCTGTGGACGTTACAGTTATGTACTATTTCTGTTTTACAACTTGGTTATTAATTTTGTAATATCAGATAGAGAAGTAGATAAATTTTTGACTACTTACTCGATACTCGATGAGCTGATCAATTACGGAACGTATCTAAGTTAGTGGAAGGTTTACCAACCTTGCGACTAAACTCAAAGTTTTCGGAACTGATTTCGGAACAAGCCTAATAACGGAGACTAGTTGACGGGACACAACAATGGAAACCTCCGTAGTCGTTGGATCGTTTCTTGTTTAGTATTAGTCATAATTGTTTTTATTCATCTTTCGTTCAAGTGTGCGCGGATTTTTATTCGTTATTGCATATTTGTTAAATGTACAAGTACACAGTTAAGTCATTATCTTAGGATTAAGGATGAGAAACAGTAAAGCCAAGAACTCAAGGTAATGAAGGATTATTCGGTACTTAAAACCGGAATTATATAATTTTATAGAATAAAATTTTATACAGTTGAATTCATTGTTTTACGGTTGCAAGATTACACATAAAATTCTTACGTTACAATGTTATATCAGAGATTCGTCACGTATTTCTTTTACAGAGCATGTTTGGAACATTTCAGCGACGAGGGTGGATATTTCGACGTTGTCGTACGACCAATGTTACAACAAGGACACGAAGGAGAATTATGTAGCTGGTTGAAAGAAATGAGTCTAATTCGTACAGATTCCAATTGTCCTCATTTGGATTGCAAAGGACGGAGTTTAGCATGGAATCCTGCAAGAATTGTTGACAAATATAGTTGGTCTTGTCCCAACTGTCAAAGGAAACAATCCATAAGGGATAATTCCTTCTTTTTGGGAATAAAATGTGATTTAAAAATGTGCCTTCAGCTGATACTAGGATGGTGTCAAAGAATTCCTTGCGAAATTATCGCTTCTTATCTAGGTTCTTAGTTTTAATTTCTATATTAGTATCATTTAATTTCAAATATAGTGACATGTATGTATCCGCAGCAATTTAAAGTCTTAGAATTATGAAATACATTGCGCGAATAGATGTTTTATAGATAGGAAGGGGCACGTGAAAAGTATGCATGTGTATGCTCGGACATATGCACAAATATACACTACATACACACACATATGGAAGAGAGATCAATGTCAACATGTTTAGTTTCTGGTTGTAAAATTTGTAAACTTTTTTTTTTATCGATATATGCATTATCAATTAACTAATACTCGGATGATTAGAAATAGCAAAATCAGAAGCAATGTGGAGAATCAGGGAATTATTTGTAGTGGTGTTCTCACAGAGATGAAAAAGTCAATACACGCTGATTTATTTTTTCTTTTGAGATACACATAAGTACATGTAAAATACTATACCATTATATAATTTTTGTATTCTGTAAAATACATCCATTATTACAGATGTGAAGAAACATGTAGTTAGAAAGATATACGAGCGGTGTGACGAAGTTTCCGCAGTCTATGTGGAGAAGCATCCAGAAGATTGGTTGTTGGGTGGAGAAAGTGCAATATTGATCGTGGATGAATTTCCGAGCGGCTATATGACGGAACATCAAGTGGATATAAATTGTGCAAGGAAACGCAATAACAATTCGCACATCATCATATGTATAGCAGAAGTAAATACTATACCAACTCGTGTATGGTTACATATGATCGAAGCAGTACCAGAGGTAGAATAAAATTCGTAAGCAAGTTGCGGAGAAAGAGTGTGTTGTCGCGCATGAGGCATCGCGCATAAAGTATCGTAGAAATAACGCTAACACGAATAGCGCCGGGATTACAATACATCGCGTCTTGCAGCCGCAAAAGATGGAGAAGCAGCGAACAGGACTTGACAGGTGTAACATGGTGGAAGAAGCTTTGAAGGAAATGGTACGACACACCGTACCGGGCAGTTACATAGTAGCAAATAATCGCGCATATTGTTGTAGTTATGAATCTTTACAAAGCTTAAAACAATACAAAGTTATCAGTGTGGAGCAGCTGCAGAAATTTGATTCACCTGGTAAAAGGAGACTTCAGGACAATCTTGGTAATTATTTCGCTTTGACGCATGATACGTAACGCCTCTCTTTTGATCGCACAATTATCTCTCAGACAAAGTTGCACATTGTTTCGTTTATTCTTTATTTCAAGAGACAATCTGGCAAAGCGCCGTCGAGGTCTGCGAAGAAGTTCAAGAAGCTACGCACACTTTAGGCCAACATATCATCGCGAGACATTTATGGAGACAGAAATTTGGTATGCCGCCTTCTACGGCGTTTCAGTACATGCTAAATCATATCGCGGAAAAATATCGGTTCTCCCAAGGTTAAGCAGAGAAAGGGAGAGAAAGAAAGAAAGAAAGGGAGAGAGGGGGAGAGAGAGAGAGAGAGAGAGAGAGAGAGAGAGAGAGAGAGAGAGAGAGAGAGAGAGAGAGAGAGAGAGAGAGAGAGAGAGAGAGAGAGAGAGACTCGTGTCTGTTGCGGTATTATATCCTGGTCGTGTAAATCATTTTTGTACGTATAAGAAAATTTCTCGCTATTCGAAACGATGTTGGGTATGTCAGCGAGTGTAAGAGAGGCAGACACGAATCGGAGTATCAGACGCGCGAGTTTCACAAGTTGCCTTACGAATAGACCAATATATGTAAAAGGTAAAGATGATGGTAAAATTCGTTGACGTACAATATGTGGGTCGTAAAGTAGTATATTGCGAACTATATCATCGAGTCTTCCAGGTATATTACTGAGATATTGTATTTGTTGTACACGATTTTTTCAAATAAAAATATCGACGATAATTGTTAGAAAATTTGGACGATACAACGCAAAATGAAAGGAAGAGGCGTAAGTTATAAGAACAAAATAGTAAGAACAATATAATCATACCGTTATCATTTGAAAAAGGTTGCGTATATGGCGTAATTTAGAATGAGAAGTTTATATTAGGGCACAAGTGTGAAAGAAGCTAAAAGGAAGAATGTTCAGGGTGAAAGATCAAACTCATGGAAATATCGGCGCGTTGTATCTAGAATCGTTAAGAATCATTCATTGTATTCTTGTGATAGTTTCTCAGTCTTATTACAGGAAGAAATGGAAAGAATGAGATCGAGACTTCGAGAGAATGTAAAAAAAAAAATGATGAACGTAATTTTAAATACAATAACAAATTTAGCAATATTAGGACGTAAATAAAAAGTTATGACAGTATTCATAGCGAGAGAGAGAGGGGGAGGGAAGGAGGGAGAGAGAGAGAGAGAGAGAGAGAGAGAGAGAGAGAGAGAGAGAGAGAGAGGATGATATTTTCTAATGTTGTTAGAATGTTATGAAAAATATTTCTATACGTCTATATGTATAGAGTGTTCAAATTAATCATATTTTTCTTGATAAATGGACTTTACGTTGATCCGTTATACGTGTGTGGATACGGTGGAATAATAGGAAATATATATATATATATATATATATATACATATATATATTGTATGTTTTTCTACACATGAACAAGGGGGAAAAGTAATTTTTATAGTAGATATATGATATTGAAGATGAAAATGGTAACACGGTAAAATGAACAAAATGAGAAATAGAGAGGTGAATGTGTGTGAGAGACTGGTAGTGGTGGTGGTGTGTAGAGGGGTTAGACGTAGATACTATATGTGTAAGAAGTAGAAAGGAGATGATTAGAAATATGTTTCGAAAGTGTTGTGGTTTACATTTTCAACAGCGATGGTTTTTTATACACATACTATTTCTTATTTTCGAAAGGATATTAAGTATAATAAGACGATCAGATGTGTCTTGTATTCGTTGTCTTTTTTCCTTGGATGCGCTGAAATATTAAAATACGCACAAATAAAATTAGACGATAGAGCGAGAGAGAAAGAGAGAGAGAGAGTAGTATTATGTTTTATATATTTCATATATGTGTAGTTTTTATCTGGAACGTTTGTTTACATTACAATATGAATAAGTTACAGATGATGTGTTTTTTATTTGTATCGTTAGATGCAATCATATATTTGGAAGAGAATAATATAACAATCTCGGGAAACGCGATATTCGAACGTGATAATAAACATGATGTTTGAAGACATTTAGGATGTAATAGTTTAGTTATTGAAAGATAAAAATTAATAGGGTAATAGACGCGGTGAAATATGACTTACAAGGAACATTTACGAAGTGTGTGTCTCTGATTTCGACGAAATTTAGCATATTTGTAGAGTAGCCAAAAATAAAAGATCCATTTTTTTTCTAGGGGGTTTTTCTTTTTTTAGATATTATTGAGATTGGCAAATATATATAGAATATATACGAGTTTGTTACAATTTCTTTTTTTTTACATTACTATTTAGTACCACCGACGGTATTGTAGTTAATTGAGTTGTGTATAGATATTATATATATTCGTGTATTTGGATTGAATTTTATGCGGATTGTGAAGATCATAATCACTATGGAAAGATATATGGTAGGTGGAGTTAAAAAATGCGATGAGTAAAATTAATTAATGATTATTATGAATAAAGTTAGTTGCTAGTAAGTAAGTAGTTTAGTTGGAATTATCAATTATTGATTATTATGAATAAAATTAGTTGTTAGTAGGTAAGAAATTTAGTTGACAAAGAATTTAAAGGATTGTTTTTTTTTGTTTTAATGAGTTGATGAGAGTTGAATAGTATATTGGGTGGCAATTGTTATAAGAATTAGGAAGGTCATGGAAGAATTTATTATATGTTGTGTAGAATGAGTAGCTGTGGTGAGTAAAATGGATTTCTTTTTTTTTTTAACGAGGAGGAAATTCATAATGAATACCCCAGACCCTCGGAGAAGGGCTTGGGGTTATGCCGGACTTCTACTGGCTAAAACCTCTGGTGGCCTTACGAAGGAACGTTGACCGGGGTTCCGCGTCTTAACGCGCGTCATCAGTTCCCGAGAGAGGTGGAGCGAGGCCGAAGTTCTTCAGTCACCCTCCTCTCCCTCAAGCAGTGACGTCAGTATATCTAGACCATAGACATATAATATATAGACCGCGTATTCGCAACGTTTCCTTTGTCTGCACATGTTCAATATTAGAAAGAGGTAGCATGCTTTCGTAGAGCAGTCTGTCTCTTTCTAACGATGCGTGGTGGGATATTTGGCCCCTCCGCCTGTTTAGAGTGGAGTGTTGTGTCCCCGGTTCTCCTTTTCGTGACACAAAGCGTATGTAAACAAGATGATTGACATTAAAGATTATAAAACGTATTTACTCATAATAGTATAATCATAACACAAAAAGTATAATCGTAACATAATGAGTCTATATTGTTGTGTATGCCGCAGTAATGCATATAAAAGTGACAGATTATTTTCCACCGGTATGTAATTATATCCATCGTCATATGTCCATATTCATTATTTTTCCATACAAAATCGTCATTTTTCCATATGCGTGTATTTATATCAGACATATTTTCTTCTCTTTGCCTTTCACAATTCCCCTTTCTCTATATTCTCCTACTTCTGTTTCCCCTGTCACGGAAGACTGCTTTACTCCCACCACGCATCGTTAGAAAGCGATAGATTGCTCAGCGAAAGCATGTTGTCTCTTTTGAATATAGAACGCCCCCTCCGCTGAACGCGCGGTCTATTTATTATACGTCTATGGTAAAAACAGAGTGCTTCCTTTTCTACGAGAGTTATACCCCCCTCTTGAAATTTGGGAGAACGCGCAGTCTAGATATACTATGTCTATGAGTAAAAGCCTCAGTATCGTATCTTTTTTAAGGTATTATGGCGCCCGTATTATACTATGCATTGAGAATTGCAATCGAGTAAATTAGATAATCTAAATCGTGATTATTTTAATTGGTCCGATAATAATTCTCAATCTATAGTCTAATATGAGCGTAAGATCTGAAAAAAACCTGGGATAAAGCACTTGCGCAAGAAACTTGCGGGAAGACAGCTGGGTACCTATCATCGAACTCGTCGGAATCGATTCCGATCGGAATAATTCCGTTTCCCCTAGAAAAGACAATAGAATTCTGGGAAATAACAAAATAAATTCGATCGGAATCGATTCCGACGAGTTCCATAATAGGTACCCTGATCGGATAGCGCGGGCCCCTTCATGGACTCTGCGATGCGCTTTATTGCCGTCATGGGCTGCGTTCAGAAGAACAAAATGATCAGTGAGCGCTCAGTGATTCTCGCTCCTGATTGGTAAATATTTCTGGGTCTATGAAGAATCTAAAAGAATGCTTCAGTCACAGATAATAATCACTAAGGCCCGGTTCCACAACTTACTGTAAACGAAGTTTAACTCGTTACTCTAGTTTAGACGAAAATTTGCGTTCCACACTGCCTTAAACCATGGTTAACGTTGATTTCTCACAGTTAAAGTTAAACCCAAAACTTTGGGCGTTTAATGAATTTAAACGAAGTTTAACACTGCAGTACCATCAATTTGAGAAAAAAATTTATGACTATCCCGGTTTTGGAGTTCAGTTGACAAATATTTTGAACGTTTGAACACCAAAGAGATATGGCTTTAGAATACATATTATCTTCATCTAAAGATGAAGATTTTGAAAACCTAATTTATCGACGGACAAGAAATATAAGAATAAGACGACCATCATATTTGGAAGAATTTGATAATGTCGATTTTCATGCACGATTTAGATTATCAAAAGAATCTGTTATTGCAGTTCTAGCAGAAATCGAGTATGAAATTTCTCATAAAACAGAATAGTAAGTATATAAATTTAATTTAAAATATTGGGTTTTTTGCTTCGATAGATTATATTCTAAAACAGAGTATAAAACTATATATAAAAGTCAATTATTATATGATAAATGTAATTAAATCAATAATATAAACTAATTGATTATTATTAACACTGGACTTCCACCTTTTAATAAATTAATACTTATATATAAATACAGCAAATGTTAATGTTGGTTAGTGTTTACTTCATACGAAACAGATATATTGTTCTCTACTAGATGTCATAGCATTCAACTTATTTCAATTTTCCTTCTTTTCACTATTAGCAACAACCAATCATATTCTACGTTTGAAAAGAAAGAGAAGCCTTTGACAGTTTCTTCATACAGACTATAGGTTTAAGTAAACTACAGTTAAGAACATGATGTGGAACGCGATATAAGTTTAACCATGCCGTTAAATGTAACGTCAGTTCAGATAATCACGGTTTAAACTTGATTTTGTGGAACGAGGCCTAAGCGCTCATTGATCCCTTTGTTCTGCTGAACACGGCCATTGGCATATGCTTTCGTAGAGCTACGTCTCTCACGCATGCGCTGTAGCGTCGCAATATATTGCATCTGACATCATTGCCCTCAAGCCCCGTCTATGGTGCTGAGAAGGGAGAGGCCGACCGAAGCCGATCCTCGACCACAGTATATACAGTCACAATGGGTGCATTCAGTACTACAACCGCTCACTGAGCGCTCAATGAGCTTTTACATTTGATTGGTATATTCCTTTAGATTTAAAAATATACACCAATCAGATGCAAGAGCTCACTTAGCGCTCAGTGAGCGGTTGTAGTACTGAATGCACCCAATATATATGGTGTTGTGTGAAACGCAGCCTATGTGAAATTTTTGTCTGCATTTTCATTGGCTGCGTGTTAAAATGATATAATGGCTGCATTCCGATATTCACTACCAGCCTGAAATTCTATAATATACGTAACATAAACTATGTATTTTCAGTACTGGCAGTGAATTTCGGAACGCAGCCAATATATGCTAAGATGATATATAGCCAATGAAAAAGTCTTGTGTCAACACAAGTGGTCTGTTCTTTTTAGCTGCACTACTGAACTGGTGCAATAAGTTAAAGTGAGAAAAAATATAGTTGTCTCATTCTAACTTATTGCACTAGTTCCGTAGTGCAGCTGAAAAGAACAGATCAAAGTGCGCACATGAGAAGCAACCTTTTGGTCTGTTCTTTTTGGCTGCACTACGGAACTAGTGCAATAAGTTAGAATGAGACAACTATATTTTTTCTCACTTTAACTTATTGCACCAGTTCAGTAGTATAGCTAAAAAGAACAGACCATTTGTTGGTTAGGTTATTCCATTAGTAAGGACATATGTATGCACTCGCAAAGTTCGGAATTTTCGAATACATCACACAAAAAGTATTTATAATATACATTATATATATTTATTTTATAGTTCATGTATATATATTTATTTTATAGTTCATGTATTGATATACACTTTTTATGTTATATTTATCATAAATTATAATTAGCAGAAAATGGATGACGAAAGAAAATGTCCAGATGAAGAAGAGAATGAGTTTTACTTTGAATCCGATCACTTGGCATTAAAAGGTAACAAGGACTATAGTACATTCCTGAAAACGATTATTATGCTCGAAGCTCAAAGAGCCCAAGCTATAGAAGATTTGGACAAGCTCTTGTCTGCACGAGATAATGCAATAAAAGACCCAATATCGTTCGTGGCACAATTGCAAAACGGCGATCTTCCAGAACTACCTGGTCCGCAAAAAATTGCAGATGTTCCTTATATCGATTGGTCACAATATGACATAGCAATGCCAGATATACGTATGAGGCCACAAACTCGCCATGGAAACATGCCTCAGATTCATACAAAAAATGAACAAGAAAATGGAAAAGTATTTCATTACTATATATATATATATATATACAATAAATGATCTATAATATCTGTCAATAATATTTTCTAACAAAAATATTTTCTTGCAGATTCTAGTTCGAGGTCGTGCTTTTGATCAAACCAAGCCTGAGACATTCAATCAGTTGTGGACATATGAGGAACAAAAGCGTCTAGAGGAACTTTTAGTAGAGTATCCTCCAGAAGAAGTAGAAATGAGACGTTGGACTAAAATAGCTAAAGCATTAGGTACATTAAAAATAAGCAACATCTTACAATGTGTGCAGTATTACAATTATTTTTTATTCTAGGAAATCGAACACCTAAGCAAGTATCCAGTAGAGTCCAAAAGTATTTTATTAAACTCTTAAGGGCAGGATTACCCATACCAGGAAGAGGACCCAAAGTTAAAATAGATCATGTCAAGAGAGGTTTAAACAGTAAACAGCGCAACAGTAACTTCTTATTGAAACGGTCAACATTTTTTCCACATCAAGATATTTCTTTTGATACATCTAATGAAAATAAGGAACAGCCTACTCCAGAGGAGTCTGTGAGTATTTAAGAATTCTATACATATTATTTTTTTATACAATATACAAAAATTGTTCATTAATTTGTTATATCTAGGAGGAAGATATAACAAATGAAGGAATGAATGATAATGCTGAGATAAGGCAAATAAAGCTGTTGCGCCAAGTAAAGATTGAGAAAGAGCAAGATACTTCAACATATGAAAATCTTGGATATAAAGTAGGTACAATTTTTTCAAATTGTAAATTGTTTTACTTATCAACAATTTTCTTTTTGCAGTGTATAATATGTGGCGAAGAACCTATAAGGGGTATCAGGTGGCATTGTACAGAGTGTCACAATGGAATTGATCTATGTAGTGATTGTGCAGTAACACAATTGGAAGCACCGAATCCTACACACGATCCATATCACAAATTAATTCCCATAAAACTATCTCACGATACTAGAAATTATGATCATGATTATCTCCCACAAAATTTCCGCAATTCTTACAATTACCTGGATCCAAATTTTCTGCCTGAGTAGTTTATGCATTTTAACAAATTAAAACAAAAATAAATAATTTATACTTAGAACAATTGTTTATTTATATTGTTTATATATAGTTTATATTTAATTTAAGTTTTTATATTTATATTTAATTGTTTATATATAGAGTTGGTTTCATATTTTGAGCGAATTTTTGTTTGAAGTTGATCAAATGTTCCATTTTTTAAACTATCACGTATGACAGTGAAAAATATGAGGTACTGATGAGTGTTGTGTCTGAAATTGAAAAATTCAGATTAATTGTAATCAGTTATGTGAAATCAGACTGAATTAGAATTTAGATAATGCGTACATCATTAAAAGTACTGAACCAAGCATTTCCTGAGTATGTTGTAAGTGATGAAGATATGCTTTTGTATGATTCCGACATGTAAGACACGTGCATTTTGTACAAATAGGAGAAAAATCGTCTTTATATCTGAAGAAAAATATAAAAATTATGAATGACACAAAGGATACCAGTTTTATTACATTTATGTATTACCTCTTTTCTGCTATTGATATTACACATTGATTCTCGCAAGCATCCTCATCGCACATGAAAACCAAAGCCTGTGATTGTTCAGTGATTACATAAGGGTAAGATGAATCGAATATATCTACTCCTAATTCAACGAGATCGAGTACTATAGCTGGATTCCAACAGCCTAATGATGCTCTTACTTTATCAACAGGCAGCAAACTCTGCACAACATTGCAGCATTAGTCCTAATATCTGAAATTTCCATTTAACAAATCCTATATTTTGAAAATTATTACTTACAGTAGTATGTTGCACTACATGTTTAATTAATTCAGATGGAATATTTTGCACACTTGGTCCATTGTTGTGTAGCCCATCTATCACAAATCCTGTTAAAGGCATACTTTTCAAATGATTGATAGATTCTGCTCTAGCTTCCAAATTATAGCCACCCTCCACTGCACCCAATATTCCTGTTGATTTCAATGTGTCTGAGCTCTGATGTATATTTAGACACTGCTCTAATAAAGTTTTACTACGATTAACAGCATTGGACACTCGTTTTGCACTGCTATTGATGTTTGTATCGCCATCACACAGAGCAATATACAGATCTGGTTTGAAAGTTTGCACAATCTCCATATATTTATTAGCTGTAAGCTTAGATCTTCCTGTTCTGGACCAAATTGAGATGGAATCTAGTTGCTGGAAACCAGAATTAGTAGTGTATGCAGGATCATGTATTGATAAAAAGTTGATGTAATTCTGAAACAAATAAAAATTGTTCAATGGTTAACGATAGAATGAAAGGAAGAATGAAAGAGAGAACTACAGTAAATTGATATCTGCATAATTAATATTTATATTTATATCATACCTTCATACCAACAAAGTCAACAAAAGAAATATCAAGTTCTTTAATGCTATCTGCCATTAATATAGTAGAAGAAAGTGAGACAGATAACACGTGTTGCTCTGAAGTTACCATTTTAAATACATCCTTTGTTAAATGTGGTACACTACCACCCTGAAAATCAGTCCATCATGAAAAAAGTTTTCTTTTTATATTTATAAAAATATATACAAGATGAGACATTTAATATAATTGCAAATTATTTAAAATCAAAAACTTTAATACAATTTTGATATAAAACTATAGCATATTTAAAAGTCAAACAGTATATATATTCTTATGTAAATTTCCTGATATCCTATACTATATATACTATTATACTACTATTATATTACTATATATTATTATGCTACTATTTGTGTAAAACTTTTGTATAATATATTTTTGTCAAAATATCTGCAATTGTTATAAAAAAAATTTTATTCGATAATTATGATTTATTTTTTTATACCTTTGTGTAGGTAAGTAGCAGAGGTGTTTCAAAAGAAATATTAGGGAACCTTTCAAACCCGCTTAGAATACCAATTCGTGCAGCACAACACGCTACCGATTCAGTAAAAAACGTTACTTTCATTTTATAAATTATTTTATTATCTAATGAAATTTTATCGTTTATTTACGAATGAATCCGTCCTAAATAATAATCATTAATACACTTTTCATTCACGTTAAAAATCAAATAAAATCACTTAAACGTTATGATACAAATTAACACTTTTCATAACATATGATTCACATATAACCTTCAAAAATTACAGATTTTACAGTATAAACAGTAAAACATTATTCGCAGGGCAATTTTAAACATTTACTTTAAATAAATAAAAGATGGCAATATAAAAAAAATCCAAAATGAAATATTTATATTAAAAATTAAAGTAATAGAAAAATTTGAATCAAAGTTACTACAGATAAATAATGTTAGAAGATATCCTAAGTTGAACTTTTCACATTAATACATGAACCATATGTATAAAATTTAACAAATTATAATTTAAAAAAATATTGATAATGAAGTAACACAAGAAACCTTCCTTTTTAATATGAAAATCTGTTTCATGGATATGTTTTTCAATATAAGGTTAATTTATCTCTTACAATGGTGGTAACCGATAATTTGTGGTTCGCATCTTGGCTAAATTTTGTGGAACTGGAAATAATTGTTTAAGTCTTGGCTACATTTTACAGGTTCGATAACTTGTAGTTTGAATCTTGACTAAATTTATGGCGGTCGATAAATTCTGGTTTGAATCCTAGCTAAAAATCGGTTTTTAACCAAGACTTGAGCCATAATTTATCGACCTCCATAAAAATTAGTCGAGAATCAAACCACAAAGAAATAGACATACAGGATGTCTCATTTTAAAGGACCCACTCAAATATCTCAGAAACACGTTAAATCGAAAATATCGACCTTTGGAAATCTCAAAATTATTAAATTAACAAAAGTTAGGGCACTATTATAGTAATGTATTCTTGATAGTAAATAAAGTAAAAAAGTCTAATACTATTTTTTCTTTCGACGAACAGTTAGCGAGATATCGTAAGCGTAAGTTAAATGTTGAAAAAGTTACCAAGTTTTCCTTAAATATCTCAAAAAATATCAAGCAAATAAAAAAATGTTTCAGATAAAAATTGTTCAAATTAATTGGTAGAAAATGATGATATAATAAAAAATTCGGATTTCCATTTAAGAAATTTGATGATCAGTCAATATCTCGAAAGTGGCGCCATCTATAAGCAAAATGCTATCGCTGTCTTACGTCCCCGTTCAAGCCAAACAACTATTATCTGAAACATTTTTCGATTTAACGCAGTGTTTCTAAGATATTTGAGTGGGTCCTTTAAAATGGGACACTGTATATTTCTTTAGACTAAACTTCTCTGTTAATGCAGACAGAAGAAAGAAAATATTAATTGCTAATCAAATGGCTTGAAATATCTTATCACAAGTTATTATTTCCTTTTTTCTTTCCTTATTTTGGTTTTTTTTTATGTCCCATTAGACAATTCAACTAAAACTATTATTTAAAAAATGAAATTATGAAAAAAAGACTATCGATAGTTTAAAATAAACTACTGATAATTATTCATGATGTTATGAATGGTTCTCTGCTTCTAATGATTGATTATGCCTACTTTTATAACATGTATGAGACATTGACAGAGTTTAACATAACTCTAAAAACAATGGTAATTGAATGATTCGAAAAGCACTTTAAAGAATAAAGTCTCTACTTTTTATTTATATTAAGATTTTGATTTTGCTATCGTTGTTTATGACGATATATCGAGTTAAATGAAAATTAGTAGGTATTTAACTTTTAGTCTCACTTTTCAGTTGAGTTTCGACATCAAAGTTTTATTCCTCTCGAAAATATGAGAAACGCGTCTCAAGGAGGAAACTTCAAGTTTTCTATTAATTTGTTAACGAATACTGTGCAATTATTTGTTCATCTTCTATGAGCGATTACAAGGCAAGGAACTTCATAACAGATTTTAACATTTATTTAAGATTTTGATTATTTTCTTGGAACGTTCTAATGAGCAAGTTAACATCATATGCAAAATTTATCTGGAAACTAGAGACTTAAAGCTGTGAAATGCTTTTCGAACCATCCCGTTATCATATTATTATTATCGAAATTACGGCTCGTTAAATTTTGCAAATTCGTATTAAAGTATTTTGCAAATTTTAATACGAATTTTGCAAATTCGTATTAAAATGCATTCGTATTAAAGTCGAGAAAAGTAATGTTTTAAATTCATCGAGCGTAATATATACGCATAATGAAATATGAGATTAGTGAAACAATGCTCATTCACAACATAGCAACAAGCAAAAAAATAAGAAATAATGGAATCAAATTTTCATCTCTCGGCATAATCCAATCTATTACTTCCTGCATATGATTTCTCAACTCGTCAGGAACTAACCAGCCGTATTCCTTCCGTAGAGAGATATAATTAATAACTAATCCCAAAAGCTGTGTAATACATCATCAAAATTATCAACGAGTGTAACTGACGAAGCTTTACTATCCTTTTCTCAGCGGAGAACACTTCACGGAAAGAAAGTAAACGCTCTTATTGCGACGTATCTCTTTATTCGTTGCGCAATTCTAGACTTCAAAGGACGATGGTTCTCGATTATACAATCGCTTATGTGTGATCCAACGTTTTCGCACACGCGGCGCGACAACGGGTTACAATATGTACAATAATAAAAATAGTGCGTCTCTTTACAATTCGTGTGAACCTATATACACAAGTCGCGCTAGATACGAAATTTACACATCGGGACGGATCCCGATCGGCAGCACGTCGAATCGTCGTCGTCGTCGTCGTCGTCGTCGTCATCGCGCTCATGAGCGCGATCGTGCTGGCCGCGCCGAACCGCGGCCGATTCGCCGCGGAATGATCGATCGCGCGAGTCTCCTCTAACGAAAAACCTAATGATTTACGTCGCACGGCGGGGTCCGGTCGTTTCAGGCCGGCCGGGCGGTGGGGGGGCGGGGTGCGGGGGGATGAGGAGGGCAGAAGAAAGAAAGTTACAAGTGCGTACGCGCACCGGCTCGAAATTTCTGGCCGCGGGCGATTGTCGGTGCATGAATAAGCAATCGGCATACAGCATTTACATTCATCCGAGGATTATGAATAGCCCTCTTTCCGCGCGCGCGCGCGCGCGAGAGCGAAATAAGAAGTGATACAACGTGAGCTCGCGAGCGGGAGAAAATCAATTCAGCGCCTCCGCTCGATGTGTCTTCCTTTCATCGGCGCTCAGATTCTTATCGAGGCGATGTCGCCTCGTCTAGCATCCCGTCGACACACACGATTGCCGATTTCCTCCGTCGGGATTGCCGGCCGATCGCGATCTATCGCCATCGGCAAGTTTTATCACAACAGTAGATTTGCGCGACAAGCAAACGAGCGTCCATCACACAGCCGCCATCACGCCGAACGTTCGCGATCAACGTGTCGTTGTCGAGCTGGACTTACAGCGACAGACAGCGAGTGTGCATTTCCGTATTTCGTGTACGTGCGGAAGGCCTCAATAAATATATTGATACGTTACTCCCTTAATACAACTATATTAACGTCGACATTTGGATTGATGTATTAGAGGTGTGATTGAGTTTTGTAGGTTTTGCAAGAGATGGGATTAATATCAGTTTTGGAATGTCGAAGACATTCCAATCGCAGCTATTGTTTAATATTAATGTTTTAATATATTAACCCCTATATTGATATTTAATCATTTACTAACAATAGACGCAATAAGAATCATGTTGATATCATCTTAAAAATGGAGCTTCCTAAAGAGCATCTTCGACATGTGTCGTTTTTGTTTTTTGATCAGAAGAAAACGGCGGTTGAAGGTCACAGAATTCTGACAGAAACTTGTTGCTTCATTAATTAAGATTGTAAATATTGGTTTAGACGATTCAAAAGTGGTGATTTCAATGTTAACGATAAAGATTGCTCGGGATAAGCAAAAAAGCTTACAAATGCAGATTTGCAAGCGTTATTGGACGAAAATCCAGCACAACCACTTCGGAAGCATGATCGGAGCTTGCCGGAGCATTAAATGTTGATCGTGCAACAGTTACGAAACATTTACATGATATGGGAAAGACTCACAAAGGAGGAAAATGAATTCCACATCGATCGTCGGAAAATGCCATTGCGAACCGCTTGAACATTTGCATTTCGTTGATCGCCAGACAAAGAATGGAAAGTTTTTGGTATCGAATTGTTACTAGAGATGAGAAATGACTTTATTTCGATAATCCCAGACGAAAAAAATCATGGATTGATGATTCAGGCCAACCAGCAACATTCACTTTGAGGAGCGCAATATTCACGGTTCAAAGGTATTGATGCAAAAATAATGGTGGAATGAAGAAGATATTGTGTATTATAAACTGTTAATTCCGAATGAAACTGTCACCGCTGATCGTTATCGATACAAATTATACAAATTGTACAAAATTATAATTATAATTATTATAATTATTAATTATTATATAATTTATTATATTATAATTAATATAATTATTATATAATTTATTATAATTATATAATTATTATAATTATTAATTATTAAAAAATAATTATTATAATTATAAATTGTATAAATTATACAATTATACAAATTGGAGCGAGCATTGAATCAGAAACGGTCACCAATTGCGAGTAAACGACGCAAAGTGATCCTTCTTCACGACAATGCTTGACCTGATATTGCATTATCAGTGAAGCAAAGGTTATCAGAGCGGGAATGGCAAATCTTGCCACCCCTCCCCCCCCACATAATCTCTAGACATTGCTTTATCCGGTTATCACCTGTTCCGGTCGATGTAGGCAACATGCTCTAGGGGACACATTTTCTTAACCTGGAACAAGTGCGGAAATTTGTTGAAAAGTGGATCAATTTCAAAGAAGAATCTTTTTATCGTCATGAAATGCATCTCTCGCCAGAAAGAAGGGAAAACAAAGAAAAATATTTTGATCGAAGGTATTCGTTGATTATTTCGTTTAAGTAAATCAATTTTTGAGAAAGAAACTCTCAAAACTAAATCGCACTCCTAATAATATCAGCTGTTGATGGCAGGTATCAACGCTTGACAGAAGAGATTTTATCACAGCAACTCCGTTAATTTCGAACACTCGAATAACTCGTCAGATGTCGTAACGACGACACGAAAATGCACATTGCGCGAAGAGAGAGAGAGAGAGAGAGAGAGAGCGAGAGAGAGAGAGAGAGAGAGAGAGAGAGAGAGAGAGAGAGAGAGAGAGAGAGAGAGAGAGAAGGAGAGGGCAAGAATTTATGTACAATGAGAAAAAATTGTATTAAAATTAAACAAATATTTCCTCGAATATGACTGTGAATGCATTTATTCAAATTAAGCGACTAATCTCTACAATAAAATATAGAGATTCTGAATGTAAACTTTTTTCTTAAATTTTAGAAAATAATTGTTTAATTTACATAAATGTCGTATTCGAACAAATATTTGTTTAATTTCAATACAATTTTTTCTCAGTGTATAAAGTACAAAAATATGTTTCCCACTTTAGCGGACAACGACACTCTAAATCGCTGTGACAGAGTCCAGTTTGTGATGTGACAATTACAGTGACGATTGACGCTTTTTAGCGCCTTATCGTCGCTCCAGTGCGTCTTTCTTTACACGAGAGAGAGAGAGAGAGAGAGAGAGAGAGAGAGAGAGAGAGAGAGAAAGAGAGAGAGAGAGAGAGAGAGAGAAAGAAAGAGCCGCGGATAACAAAATATACGCTCACAGTTCGGAGCGGAGCGTGAATCATCGAGATGACACGACATTCGTCAGTGTTCGACTCGAAAGACGCGCCGGAACGTTACATCACAATAGTCGCAATTTGTACAATGATCGCAGGAACGTTCACATCGGCCGATCGATACGGAGCTCACTCGCGGCGAGTCGTTATACGCCCCCGTTGTCGCTTGGGATCGAAGTCGAGGGACAGGCTCGAGAGATATCGAAGCATCGTCTCGCGGTGCTGAGCTACCGCTTTCGCAACGTTGCCTTCGTTGGCGTTGTATTTACCGCGCGTTACGACCGATCAATCATTTCCGGGCTCGCGGCGATGAGGCAATCTGCGTGGATTCCGCGAGACTGACACGAGCGTGTGGCAATACCCGTGCGAAGAATTCGTCCTGCGACCGGCGTGTCGCCGAGCGAATCCCGTCGTCGAGAATGACGCGATCTCTGCCTCGCGAGTCTCACCGCTGAGTTGCGACTAGGATTGCCAGATGGCCGGGATTTCCGGGAATGTCCCGGAATTCTTAAGCTTGTCCCGTGTCCAGGAATTTAAGTCCTCTGTCCTGGAAAATGAAAATTTCAACAAAATCATAATCATAACATTCATGCTTCTAATCAGAGAGGAACTTGAGAGAGGCCACCGCGATTTATGGGGCCGAATTTTTCGACGTGTCACCTGAGGAAATTGATGTCAAGCAAGCCATTCGCTTGATAAAAAATACAGTCGCACGGTTAATGTTCGAGTTTCTCTCTGCTGGCTAATTCACGCATTTGTTTGTTGCAAGTGCATTCCCTTAGCTGTCTCTTATCCCTCCTGCGCTCAAATTTAAGGGGGAACTGTGATGAATTATTTAAGAATTGGGGGAAGAGTATGTTATTAAGGACACTTCGAAATAATTTTATACAAATTTTTATTAAAAAATAATAAAAATTAACAAAGATATATGCAACAGAGTGCCGGTCCGTAAAAAATTCTTCTTCCAACGGTGGAGTCGATATCTCTGGCATGGTTCATTTGAAAAAAGAATCAAATATTTTCTTAATCTGCATAAATGTAGTTTTCGTTAAACATAACCGTTTCTTTAACTAATTTTTTTTCAAAATAATAGCATGTTAAAAAAAACTTCAACTTTTCCTAAATTTTTTCTTCATTCACAGAGCCTTGAAAAATAGTAATTTTCAAAATAAAAAAACGGCTGCGCTTAACGAAAACTACATTTATGCAGATTCAGAAAATCTTTGATTCTTTTTTTCCAGATGAACCATGCAGGGACATCAATTCCACCGTTGGAAGAATCTTTTACGGACCGGCACTCTGTTGTATATATCTTTGTTAATTTTATTTTTTAATAAAGATTTATATAAAACTGCTTCAAAGTGTCCTTAATAACATACTCTTCCCCCAATCTTGAAATAATTTATTAAGTGGTAAAGAAGAATTCGTGAAAAAGGGCCTTTTTTGGGACCCAGTTTTGGCTCACAGTAGTGTTCCCCCTTAACTAAAATTCTCCAACAACCTATTTTTCAACCGTTGCCTAAAAATATCCCGGAAATAGTCATTTCTGGCAACCCTAGCTGCGATACGCCTGATTGTGCGTTGCGACACAAGGCACTCGCGTTAACACGCATCGCGCATCGCTGGTGATTTCTCATCAGCGCGGATCAATGAATCGCGGCCGAGACCGGTAGTGGAGCGCGATGGTATCGCGGATAGAATCGGCGAAACACACTGTTGATCACGTGGAATCTCGCGTCCTGTCGGTCGAACATTGCTGTGACCGGTCCATGAGTTACTTCATGGCCCGACGAGGCACGTAGAACAAGACCGGCAACAATGTCCGGACGTCGGGAACAGCCGGCGTTCTCAATGTGATGTGTTAAAATCGCTCTCGTCTGTCTGCGTGACGATACTTCGACTTTGGAGGATCGATCGGATGGATCGAATTTTTTGTACGCCCGCTCGTTCACACGCTACGGTTCTCGCGAGAAAGCCGCGGAAACAGCCGCCGCGCCGGAACCTCGGCAGATTCGAGCGTCGCTGCTCCGCGGCCGAAATCGACGCCATGACTGGAATGTGTGCGTAGGATAAGTACAATTGCCGAAGTCGCCGGTGGTACTCGGCAAGGACAGAGGCATTCGCCACGGGCGTTCACGCAGCACTCGCGTATGCGTGCCTACCTGCCTGCCCAGACTCGAGGGGCGCCGAAGGACCCGCGATGAGAGGGAAAGGCGCGGGGTGTAGAATCGCCAACACATATCTCGATATCTCGCGGTTCGATCTGCCGAGAGTCGGCCGCCCGTATATTTACATGTATAATTTATATATCCCGTGGTCCGGACATACACGCAGTGCGTCCGGCCAGGGCGGGCCCAGGGCCGTCCTTACGATCGTCCTGGGACGTCCGTCGGGTCCTGCGCGAGTGCAAGCCGTTGTCGTGAGGGAGGGAGAGAGAGAGAGAGAGAGAGACAGAATGCGTTATAAAAGGAAGCCCGACTCGAGGCTGAATCGATTCGCAGGCTGAAAATTCTCAGGAATCCAATCGTATTCCCACGAGCCTTTCGACGGCGGGTCTCCTCTTTGGAAACTTTCGGCTGCGCGCTTCCCGGATGACGCACGTTCTTCCGGCGAATTAAGCGCGCCGATCGGCGCGGTGAAATTGCATCGCACACTAATGGAATTAACCGCCGAGAGACTATTTATCTCGCGTAGAAAGCGGTGATTGTCTCAGTGATGCGCGGGAACTTCCAAAATGCGTGCTTCGGAGAGCCGCTCCCCCCCTCGCGTAAACATTGTATCTCGTAAACTCTGTGCAAAGTACCAGGGAATAACCGGCTAAACTGGAGAACAGGCAAGACTGTCCGCAATTCGAGAAAGCTGCAACATTCCTCACCGGCATTTCGCTTGGAGTGAGTCAAGTGAGTCGCGAGAGACGACACGTGAGAGAGAGAGAGAGAGAGAGAGAGAGAGAGGGGGGGGAAGAGAAAGGGGAGGAGAATATCCTTACTAACAATGATAAATATCGATCACAGAATTTTTTTACTATTTTTTTCGTGTTAATATTGATGATAAAATTTCTTTACTATTCTTCTCATGTTTCTTGCTAAAAATGCTCCCGAAAATCTCCTTCACTTCGAAGAGCCAAAGTTATCGTAATTTCCCTAAAAAAATAATAAAAAAATTATGGATGAAAGTTTACTCGTTCTAGTAATAGATAATAGGTAACAAAGACATTCTAATGTTCAAGGGTTAAATGCACGCATAAAAATATTCTGCAATGGCAACTAGAAATTTTCCGTTATACGACATTCAGTTGCAGCAGTGGGGAATTCTCTTTCGCAAACTGAAGAACTGTCGACGTCGATAATTGCTTTCGATCGAAGGAACTCAAATTTTTCGTCTCGCAAATATCGTTATCGCAGCAGAGGCATTTGGCTATCTCTACAAAAGGCGTGAAGCTAAATACAGAGAGACACGAAGTCTCAGTTACCGCGACCGAAGAGGTTCGTTTGAAGAAGTCGAACGACGCTGCCAGTGATGCGATTTTCGATCTGGCTGCGTGGAAGCATTTCCTCCTTCCATTTACGCACGGAATGCCCCGTTTATTTGTGTGAAAAACGAAACTTGTATTCTTGACAACATTAAAAAAAGAAAAAAAATTGCTCGCTTCCGGTGATCGAATTATTATATTTCTGAGACAACAGAAATCCCCTAACGGAATTTCTCTCGCGCTGCAAGCGAGTTCAGTTGATTGCTGAGGAACGGAAGGTTTCGGTTGTCGTAACTGGAATTCAGTTGTATCAACCGAATAGCTTCCTGCGTGTGCGTGTGTGAGTGACCCGCGAGCTCAGTCTATGCCTCAGCGCGACTTAACCCATTTGCATCCGCAAGCGGAATAATCCGCACATAATGATTGTCATTTATCACCAGCCGCGGAATATTCCGCGAGCCACAACGTTCACTTATCACCAACCGCGGAATAATACGCTCACGACGACGTTCACTTCTCGCCAATCTGAAACTGTCCGCGAGCGGTAAATAAGTTTTCAGTATATTATCAGCAAATTTTATTCCTTTAATTGTTGTCCAGACCTTTCTGGCTGTGTGTCGTTAACGGTGGGTAGTACTAATCTAAGATCAGATTTTAAAAACAACCCAATTTGTCTTGATTATTACGCGTGTAATTTCTAAGTAAAATCAAAGTAAAATAAAACAAAAAAAAACTAACAATGTGCGGTGATGCGCGGCCGACTCCGTTCAGTCGAACGTCTCCGATTTCTGAAGTTAGTCGCGTATTTACATACAGCTGTGATGCAAATGAGTCAACCCGAATCAGCCGCGAAGCCGACCAAGCGGCCAGGCCGACACGCGACGTAAACGCGGCAGGCGGCCGGGGAGGGGAGGGCTTTTAATTAAGCGAATTCCATAATACGTTCCCGCTGTCGCGTAACACGCTCGTGATAAGGGCCTCCACCGGCCCGTCCGGCGGTCGTGGGACTTTTTTCGGGCGGTATAATGCGCCAGCGCGAGAGCCGCGGAGCGGCTCTCTGTTCTTCCCTCCCCGGCCGCCCTCTCTCGCTCTCCTTGCCGCTATTGTGGCCGCGAGGGCGCAATTAATTATAGCGTGTCCGCCGAGAGGGAGAGAACATTGTTGCGTCCGCGTTGTCGGGCGCACGCGTTGCGCATTGCGCTACCACCGACGGCGTTCCCAGCCGCGAGTGCGATCGTCGTTTTCTCTTTTCTTTCTGCTTAGCTGGTCTCGCTTCTTCGTCGATTTTCAGCCGTCTCCGATCGACGAAATCCGCCGGTCGTTTCCGAGCGGAACCACGACCGGCTCCGCGCGCGAAGCACGCGAGGCACGGAAGGGAAGGATCGAAGTGCAGTCGGAAGGGCGTACTTATCTCATACAAAGGCGATTCCGAAAGCGTTTCACGGCGGGTTCTCTACATTGCGTCGATTGGACACTTCCTGATAATGGCACTCCGCGCCACTTTATGAAAATTGCAACAATTTCCAGCGAATTTCGTTTCCTCGGTCAGGAAGGGCGCGGTGACTGAAAGGAAACTCGGTGACTGGAATCGAGTGACTTCTCAAAGCTGCCTTTGTACGTGTTCTATTTAGCGATACGACCGCGAGACAGCGCACTATCTTTCTCCCTCTCTCCCTTTTTTTTTTTCATTTTTGTCTGTCGAAAGTGTGTCCGTCGCGGATGCGGGTATGCGTGCGTGCGTGCGTGCTTGCGTGCGTGCGCGAGCACGCAGGTGAGTTGAGGGTGAACGACGTGAAGCGCGTACACGCGAGAGAGGATCTCGAGAGGCGGACGCGAGAAAGAACGCGACTTCGTATCTCGGACGGGGGAACAATCGGGCCTCGCCTGAGAAGGTAATTAAGCGAACACGTCGGCGACGATTAAACGATTCTCCGTTGAATCGAGCGGGACGAATTAATTCCGGCGTCGATCGGCGATCGAAGATAAACGATCGGCAGTGATACGACGCGAGGACGGCGAAAGCTATTTAGTGCTTGAGCGCGATAATCCCCGGCGTGACACGCGAATCCGATTGAGCGCGATTCCTCGAGCTGCGCGCGAATATCGGAAGAGACGCCGCCGCCGCCGCTGTGGAAGTGTATTTCCCACACCGTTTGTTACACCGCGCGTTGTCCAGTCGCTGAGACCGCTCGTGAACATTGAATTTCACGAACTTAACGCGACCGTTCCGTCTCGTTGGTGAAAAAAAAAAATAGGGCGAGCCGTCACTTTGTGCTGAATAACTTAATCCCAAACTACGAGGAGATCGACGTTTGGAGGATCTCCGCGTTGCTGAGTGAAGCGTTTCAGATCCACAGCGCGGTGCGAATTTTTCGAGGAATTTGGCACAATTTTTTTATCTCTTTTGCCGATTCTTCAAAATTCCCAATTATTTATTTATCCCATAAAAACATTTTAACGCGGCTCTTCTGTCTGGTTGAGAAGAAGCGTGCCATCACTTTGCGCTGAATAACTTAATCGAAAACTTAGGAGATCGACGTTTGGAGGATCTCCGCGCGAATTGCGAATTTTTCGAGGAATTTCGCTCAAAAGCTTTCATTTTCCTTTCCCATTTTTTCAAAATTTCTGATTTTTTATTTGATAGAGACATTTTAACGCGGCCCTTCTGTCTCATTGAGAAAAGAAGCGTGCCATCACTTTGCGCTGAATAACTTAATCTAAAACTTTAACGCGGCTCTTCCGTCTCGTTGGCGAAAGCAAGAGCGAGCCGTTACTTTGCGCCGAATAACTTAATTAAAAACTTAGAAAATCAACGTTTAGAGGATTTCCGCGTCGCTGAGTGAAGCGTCTCAGATTTACAGCGCCATGCAAATTTTTTAAGGAATTTGGCACAACAATTTTTTTCATCTCTTTTAGCGATTCTTCAAAATTCTCAATTATTTATCTTATACAGATATTTTAACGCGGCCCTTCTGTCTCATTGAGAAGAAGCGAGGCGTTACTCTACGCTGAATAACTTAATTAAAAACTTCGGAAATCGACGTTTAGAGGACGAGGTCTCCGCGTTGTTGAGTGAACTATCTCACGTTTACAGCGAGATACAAATGTTTCGAGGAATTCTGCTCAAGAGTCCTTTAATCTCTCTCATCAATCTTTCAAACAAAAAAAATTCCAATTATTTATCCGATAAAGAAATCATCGTTGCGAGAGATAACCGTCGTTTCTCTCTCTCCAGTCAGAATTGTATCACCTGCGACCAGTCGTTGTCTTTCGCTGTATCATTCGTAAATCGCGTCTCGCATGAAGGAAAAACACAAAGATAATGAGAAAAGCAGAAAATAACATAAGGCGATAAAATGTTTACGCAAATAATCCTCCGCGCGGACATTGCGTTTGCGCGCCGTCGAGTTTCATGGGCCGCCGACTTTCTCGTCACGAAATTCTGCAATTTTCCGTAATCGAGGCACGCACGTGAAAACGAGATCTCATTTACGCGCGCGCGCGCGCGAGGAACGGGAACAGGAACGGGGAGAATGATGGTCGGGGAGTACACTGTGGGCCGCTTAGAACGTGGACGGACGTAGCCGAGGGCGCTGACTGGCAGCCCTGAACGTCAAATTACGGGGCACCTGTTCTTCAAAACGACTTCATTCCATTGGTATCGCGTAAGGATTCCGAGTCCGTCCTTTCGCGCGGCGCTCGTCCAACAGCCGACGATCACGTTAAAGCATTCTGTGCGATTAGATAGCGGATCGATCGTCTAATGCCTCGTACGAGAACGTGCTCTCGAGCTTATCTCGTGTTAAACAGTCAAGATCGACATGTAGAATTTGTTTCGCTTCCAGCGCGTTAGTTTCGGATCGGAGATTCCTCGGTCGATTTGGAGCCGAGTTTTTCCCAGCGGGAACATCGCGGCCATCGTCCGTCCACCTCAGCTACGTCCTTTACTTTCAGTTTTTAATTATTACTCGAGCTCTGCGGGCTCTGCGTTTGATCTAAGTCGTAAAGTTGCAGGCTGAACGCCGATCTCATGCGGTGATCCGAGCGAGAGTATTTTCTACTCCTCTCAGGCTGCTGTCGCCCCGCTCGAGTACTCTCTAAATTTCCTCGAGCGACATTGCGCTCGAAAAGAGTGACAATCCAGAGTGACGAACGCTCATAATCGAGTCGCTCATAATCGAGCGATTTGTTCCACTCTGGATCGTCGACTCGTGACTATTGTTTCACGCGAAAATGAAAAATAGACCAAACTCCATCGTCGTTGCGATAGACAAGTGGGAAATTTCCATCAACGGACCGAGGGTCTCCATTCCATGCCTTCGGTCAAATAATCACTTTTGCATAAGGACGAAACGTCACTTCACCTGCAAAAGTGATATTTGAGCTCTCGCCTGAAAGGAATCTTTGAGAATTCTCAAGAGCGCCTACCTGATTCTCAGCGAGTCCTCGCTCGAAGAAATTCGGAGAGCAAAGCAGACCTGCAATTCCGCGCTCGTCCCGTCCGCGAGTGGCACGTACAACACATCGGCGGAAACAATGGTCCTACTTTTTCGTCAGGTACTGATCTGATTTTCGCGAGATCGTCGCCGGGCCGGCCGGGCCAGCCTGCACACCCGGTCTGTTACTGCTGATTGGAAACCGCAACGTATGGTTCTTCGTGCGCGCTGTCATTACGTTTTTGCGCCGGTGTGAGCCGGACGTTACGGCTGAGCCGGCGTCGTAGGAGAAAGCGCGCGCGCGCAAATTAATCGGCACTTTTAACGAAGGCGATCGCACGTCCGCGATCTCGCGGCGACTCGCCGTCGTTGGCGCGCGCGCGCGCGCGCGAATGTTTTCACGTGTATCAATTCAGACGACGCGATTCGCCCCGGTCACTTACCTGCCAACCGGTTCTCCTTCCGCCTGTCTTGCGTTTCGTAGAAAAATTTCGCGAGCGGGGACGGCCGCTATTTTATTAGAGCGCAAAAGCGCGCGGGAGAGGCTGGCGCGCCGTAGCCGCCGCCGCCGCCGCGGCGATCGATTCGCAACGCTTGAGCCGTCGATTCGCGTGTCGCGCAGGTCGATTGTCTTAACAGGAGCGCAAAGTGTGGCGACAAAGGGACAAGTAGAGCGTCGCCGAGCAAGAAATCGATTTCATCCGGAACCGGTCCCCGGCGCATCCGCCGCGCCGCGCCGGCTGGCTTCAACGACAACGCTCCGCCGAGCGGACAAAACTTTGCGGCACCGAGCGCGCACCACATCGTGAGACGTCGTTTTTCAGAGGAAACTTCCGAGTCACGTCACAGCGTCGAGTGATCTCTCGACAGTCTTTTGTCTCTCTTCTCCCATTCTCTCGACTCGATTCTTCGTCACCTGGCCTTCGCGCCCCGGCGACGCTTCCTCTATCCGCCTCCTATCCGCCTCCGCGTCCGCAGGGAGAGCGTCGAGAATTCGAGCGTCACTCTGAGACTCCTCTCGTTCACGCGAGATGGACACAGGTCGATGGCGATCACTCGAGCCTCCCCCTCCTCATTGTCCGACACATCCTTACACATACGCATACACATAGACACGCACGCGAGCTTTAAATATTAGTTAAATATAATCCGAAGGCACCGTCGAGTTCTCGTTGATCGCCGCCAGTCTGTACTGCGGCGCGTCCAAGTTCTGCGGACTCAGATGCAGGTTCGTCGTCGCCGTCGCCGTCGCAGGCGCACTCGTCGTCGTGCTCGTCGTTGCGGCCGACGACACCGCGACGGCCGCGGCTGCGGCCGCCGCCGCCGCCGCCGCCGCCGCAGCCGCCGCCGCCGCCGCCGCTGGTATCTGCTGGTTCGCCGAATTCGAACTGAGATCGCTGTAGTAAGCGCTGCTGGGAGCGCTGCTCAACGTTGGGCCATCCGGCTCGGCGTCGCTTCCGGTATACGCCGTGTTCTGGTACGACGGGTGCTCGCCGCTCCTGGTACCACCGATCCTCAGCGGATCCTGATGCTGATGATGATGATGATTGTGGTGGTGGTGATGGTGGTGGTGATGGTGCTGACCCGGCGGCGGCACCGGCGTCGACGGCCCGTTCTCGTACATCTCGTAATCCGGCTCTTGTATCCTGGAAGCAGCCGGGTAACGAGGCTCTCAATAACCGTCGGGAGGACGAAGCAGCTCGATCGGAGGAGAGTGCCGGCCATTAACATACGTATGCTTTATATCGGCCGCATCGATATTTGCCGATTACGCGCGCCGGTGCGTATCGGATGCCTTGTTACACGCGCAATTAGCTGCTCGCAGAAGGCGAGGATGGAACAAAACCCGGATCGAGCTCATTTAGGGAGTATTACAGCGGCGGGGGGGACATCGCGATTGTTGCCATCTATTAGGTGTACAAATTAATTCTCGGCCCCTACCTTTCATCGATTACAGGACCTATTCAAATTGGAAAAATCAGTTGTAGACGCGATGTCATTCGAAAAACAACATTTGAGGCGCTGCCTTTTTTCGCATTTCAACTTAAAAAAAAAAACGCGGCGAAAGAAATGATTTGTTCAATTTGAAAACGCTGTATCGTACAGCACGTGTAAAAAATGGTTCCAATAGTTTCGAGAGGGAAATTTCAACCTTCAAGATAGTGAACGCCTTGGTCAATCAAAAAGAGTGGAAGACGAGAAGTTGGAGCAAATTTTGGACAAGAATCCTTAAACTTGTCAGACCGTTATTTCTGAGCTCTACCAACAACAGATGATTCGCGTGAACGTACTTGAAGAAAAAAGTTTACCGGCAGTGGGAGAAAGACGGTGACACTGCTGCAGGATAATGCCCGGCCCTACATAGCAAAAAGGACTCTGGAAACCATTTCAGATTTAGGCCGGGAAATTCTCCCCCATGCGGCGTATTCTCCATACTTGGGCTCTTCGGATTACCACCTACTTCGATCCTTACAGCACCACCTAACTGATTCCCAATTCAAGTCGGTTGAACAGGTCGAAAAAAGCCTCGATGAATTCACTGAATTAAAACCACCATCACTTTTCCGATCTGGAATTGCCGACAATTGCCTGAGAGATGGCAAAAATGTATGTAGAATGTAGAAAACGAAGGAGATTACTTGGAAGGTTGAGTTTGTATTTATGCTTTTGTAATTTAAATGTCAAAGTTGGTCAAAAAAGGCCGAGAATTAATGTGTACACCTAATATTTTGCGGCTCGATCGGTCTGAAAAGAATTGCCGAGTCGCGGATAATGTCGATCAAGTCATAATTGATTCGACGAGGATCACGAGGGGTCCTTTCCGCAGCAGCGTTTGAATCGTTTTCACCTTCGATGAAAGTCAGCTGACGTGTCTCACCTCTTGCTGTGCCGAGTGCGAAGAGTGTCCGTCTGCAGCGAGCCGTCGCTGCCCCCGTAGTGACGATGTAGTCTGGCGGCGTCTAACTCGTGGTACTCGTCGTCCTGGCCGCCGGAAGTCGTGCCGTACGTCGAGCTTCCTCTCATTTGTAACTGCAAATCGCTTGCGTAGCTCGCGGCTTGGGAGTCCAGTTCTGCATACAACGCCTCGTCGGTCTGCATGTGGGTGTAGTGATTCTCCACTGGAAGATTCATCGCTCGTCGATGCTGCGGCAGGGAGAGCGGCGTCGTGACGACTCCCGGGGTGCCACCGCCACGACGAGAGCCCAGCCACGACCACACGTTGTGCCCTAAAGTCCGATTTCACCAACCATTCGAGACCCGTGCTAAATAGCACATCTGCTTAACGTAATTAGACAGTGAGAGGTAGAGAGCTAAGCGGTGCGTTACACGCTTCCTCTTTCGTTTCACCGCGACGATGAAACGAATCGAGCACGTTGAAGATAGCCCTTACGCGCCCGGCTCGCCTCGCCTGCGCCTCAATCAACCTGGTCTTCGAAACCGCGGAAAGCCCGCTTCGGGCAACTTCATTTCCCCTCTTTCCTCAGGACTTTCCGCTCGCGCACAAAAGACACCGGATCAAGTTGGCTGAAAAGTCACTTTGGCCGCGTGCATTTCTACACCCAAAAGAATGTATTCTATTCGTAAAGCGATTTTTCCCATAGTCCCATATTCCAAGCGAAGCTTTTTACAGAAAAAGGATTCCTCTTTCGATAAAGCGATTAAAGCGAATCATTCATCTAAAATTCATTAGATATTATTCTGTTTTCCTCTTATTTCAAGAGGATTTCCTCTTATATCAATTAATTTTTTCCTCTCATATGAAGAGGAATATGTTGATTTTTAAATGTCGGCTTCTTTCGTTCAGTTTCATGCTCCACCTTCAGACACGAACGAAAAAATAACCAAGATGCTCATGAGTTAGAATATTTGGAACGCTTTTTAACCCTTTCACTGCTGAATTAACTTCCCTTGAGAAAATTATTAAAATATTTGGTAGTCCTACATTTTTTGGGTCACTGATTACGAATCTAAAGTCAGATTTGAAAAATTCAAAATGGCGGACTCAATATGGCGATCATGATGTACAAAATTAATGAAAATTCCAGTTATTATTGATGATATTTAGGTTTTTCGAATCGCTGATTACGAATCTTTTGAGTAAAATAATATCGATAGTATGGATAAGATGGAGATACAGAATGAAAAAACTAAGAAAATAGAGCTAAAAGGTACAAAAAAATCAAATTTCGGCCGTTTCTGTAGAAATATTTGTTTATAAAAAAAAAATCTAACCTGCAAAAAAATACTGAAACAAATATATGTTTTTGTACAACAACAGAAAAATATTTGGTGAAAATTTCAGACCTTTACATTCAATACTCTCCGAGGAATCGACAGTTTTCCCTAAAAAAAGCATTTTTTTTCAACTTTGATTTGTTATAAATAATCACAAATTAATAACTGGGTATAAAAATAATAACTGGGTACAAAAACCTATTGGAGTATGTTGAACAACTATACAGTTATGTGGAAAACTCAAATCAGTTCTTCAAAATTATGTGATTTACAACGCAAAATTGAATCAAGAAAAGGTGGGAAGTATACTTTCCACTAACAGTGAAAGGGTTAAAAGAGGTATGTGTGTTGCTATAACATATAACAAAGATAATTTACCCATATTTTGTCAAACACAGTTTATAATCTATTGCAACAAGTTGAATAATATATTCTTTCTTTTAATTATGTTTCATACAATTGATTATGATGAGCATCTTTGTAGCTATAAAATCCATAACAAAATTGATGGGAAATTTGTTTGTTACGATGATCTTACTTCATTCGTGCCTACTTATTGTAGAACTGAACCAGAAGTCATCTATATATATATATATATATATATTACTTTTCGTTACACATTACGATAATTTTTTCAAATTAATTAATATAATTAGTATTAGTAAGGATAAAGTACAGTAAGAATAAATAATAATTCTCTTAGAAAAAGATTAAATAATCTATCTATAAGAGGAGATTTATATTAAAATCAATAAGATTTGCATTGTATATAATCTATAATCCCTCTAAGAATAAAGAATCCCTTTAAGAATAATGTGTTTATAATATTTTCCTCTTAATCTTAGAGGAATCCCCTTGAGGTCGTATGTAAGAATAAAATCCTCCAAAATTTAGATGCTTTCGCTTGTTCTGAAATTACTTTCTTTTCGGTGTGTACCTCATCATCTTTTCCAGCGTTTCTCCCTCGCAACAAACACCAACCTAGCCATGGGCCAACCTAGCCGAGAGGCGCGCGTCGGTCGCGCATAATTATCGTGGAAGACTACCCGGGCCATCGGCTGGTTGAAGCCGTCGTCGAGCGCGGTCGCGAGTCGCGAGATCCGGTTCCGCGAGCTCGGCTTTTCATCCGCGAGCGAAATGAGACGTGTAAGCGAGGCCGGGCCTCGCGAGGGCCTCGCGAGGGCCTTACGAGGGAGGCTACCGCGTCCGCGCGATGGGACGTAATGTGTCGGGAGCAGGCGAGTAACGAGCGGCCGTTTCTCAGCGAGCGCCGGACGGCGCACGCGCACGCGCGCGCACGCATATGCATGAGAAGCGCCTCGGACGGCAAGCGTAGCGCAAGCGTAATAACACTCACCGGGGCTGGGCGCTACGTCGTGATACGGTGGTAATTTGTCTAATTCGAGAGGCGGCCGATCGGGTATGACGGCCACCCCGCCGCCCGTACCAGCCGCCCCCGCGGGCCCGCCGGCCTCAGGTACGCTCGAGTCCTCCGCGCCGACGCCGCAGCAGCTCGCTGGAACAAAAAGGCTCTCTCTCACGCACGGCTCGTTGCTCCGGAAAAATTCGCCGACGCGACGGGCGCGTCGGCATCGACGCAAGACGGGGGGGGGGGATGGAGGGACGCGGGACGAGGCGATGCGAAAGTCGCGCTCGGATTTCGCTGGCTCGCGTTTCTGCCGGGGTCCCATGGCCCCATCGCCCCATCGCCGCCGCCCGCCGTTGCCCCGGACGGCGGAGTCTTTACGTTACGGGATGCGGTTCTCGCGCGACGCCGAAGCACACGAAGTGCGGCCAGCTGAGCCGTTTCGGGCCCCCGCCCCGGCCGAATTCCGATACGTTATACGCCGCGCGCGCAGATATAGGGATACTGGCCGCGTGTATATAGACGACCCGAATCAACGCATTATGACGTGTGCCCGCGTATGAAGAAAACACCGGCTGTCTTCTGTATGGCCTCATTGTGGGCCTGTCATCGCGCCGTCACGGGCGGCCCTCGGAGGCAGGACCGCCGGTTAGAGGGTTGCGCACAGAGCGCGTACCCCCGGCTGCCAGGATGGCTGCTGAGAGGAGAGATCGGGATCGGGCAGCAGCGGAGGAAGGAGAGGATGGGAGGGAGGAGAGAGAGAGAGAGAGAGGGCACACACGCACATACAAGAGAGGCGGGGAGCGAGAGAGAGAGAGAGAGAGAGAGAGAGGGACAGGAAAAAGGATCTCGGAATTCGTAGATCAGAAGCGCCGACGGTAAGTAGGCATGAGAATACGGCGGAGGGGCAAGAAAAAAGCGACGAGATTAAGGGAATCTCGTGACTCCTTATTCCAGAGTATTTCTCCTTCTGCCCTTTTTCTCCCCGTCCGTCTCGCTCGCTCTCGCGGCGGCCCCGAGACGGCCTCATAAGCTACGCACGTACGAGCCGCCGTCGCCTCCTTCGTCCCTTCGCTCTCGGACTCGAAGGGACGAAGGAGACGACGCGCGATGGCCTGAAAAGCGCGCCGCGCTGTCACTCGAGCACCGGCGAAATAGAGAGACTGGTTTCTCGTTTATCGCCTCGCGCCGGCGCGGCGCGGCGGTTTCCTCGCGCGTTTCATGCCGCCGTGAGGTGAGCTGCTATTTTATTTATACGCGGTGGAAGATACGCCACGTTCGCTCGCTCGAGCGAGAGCGAGACAGAGAGAGAGAGAGAGAGAGAGAGAGAGAGAGAGAGAGAGAGAGAGAGAGAGTGGGGGGGGGGAGAGAGAGAGAGAGAGAGAGAGAGAGAGAGAGAGAGAGAGAGAGAGAGAGAGAGAGAGAGAGAGAGAGAGAGAGAGAGAGAGAGAGCCGCGCTCAGTCCCGCAACGGGGACGCGTTTGAAGGTACACAGCGCGCTTGATGGACGCGTCGGAAATGCTTGATTACTCCCCGATCCGAGGCCGTGGCTTTCGCCAGCCTTTCGCGTTTTTACGGAATGCCCGATGCGCGCGGTAGGCAATTTCGACTCTGAGGCGTTCTCGAATCTCGCGCTCGGTGCTTCCTTTCGAGCCGTCCGAGGCCGAGCCGCACGATTTCTACAAATGATTAGTTACGCTCGTAATATCTCCGGGGATTAAAGCGACTCGCGCGTTGCCTGCTTTCGCTGATCAATCAAATCTCTCGCTATTCCCCGTGGCTTCGCGATATCGCCCTGGGTTTATTGGTCCCCCCCGGTTTGAAACAAAAGGGCCGCGCGCGTCCGACGCTGCGCGACGTTGCTCACTGCGGCCGATACTGCGCGCGAGATTCTCATTTCACCGCGGAATCATCGGTCAGCAACGAGATGCTCGCGAGTTAATTGTACAGCGTGTGGTCATAGTTAATTGCGCAATGTAATCACGCTCCCAGATATTCTTCCTCCTTAACGCCGGGCCTCCTTCGTTAAAAAGTCGTTATCTCGTAGCCGGGTAAATATAGCCTGTACACTTTTATTACTGCCTTGATCTGACGCGATTAGACACCGTAATGACAAAGCAGGAGAGCCGTTACGTCTGCAATTATGCGCGACTCTGCTCCGCAGCGCCTCCACGCTCGCCCGCTCGCGGTGTCCCCCCCCCGGTCCCGTCGATCGGGCTGAAACGGAAAATGCAATCGCGCTTATTTATCGTCGCGCGATTGCACTAAACGGCTCTTAGCGCTCGGAACTTTGTGTTCCGCCGCTGATCAGTTTATTGCGGATAGAGCGGACGGAGCACGACGATTAACCCCCCCCCCTCCTTCCGCGATTGCGCGAGCTCGGCCGAGCCAGTTGCCGTCGCGATTTCGCGAGTGCGACAAAATTCCGGCACGATTGTATCGCAACAGGTTTCCTATCGCTCTGAGCGGAGCAATTTTTGGCTAATTTCTCATCCATCCCTCCTATTAATTTCGCTCGAGACCACTGCCAGCAATGTTGCAGCGTTCCTCAGAGCGTTCACCATTGAGACCGAGCCGGAATTAACCCGGTCTTGCGACAGTCTCACGTTCACCACTGAGGACAACGCGGTGCGACGAAAGCGAGCGCATTGCGAAATCCTCCGGAACAGGAGCGTTTCCAGCCGGATGTGATCTCTCGCTCCTCAGCGAGGACATTTTTCCAATCGCGCGGTAATCGTAGCCACCTAGCGTATCGTAACGAATCGTTTAGAACAGGGGTTCCCAACCGGGGGTGCGAAGAAATATTCTTGACGGTGCGAGGAAAAGTGATTGTAATTAATAATGATTTAAGATGAATTCTGCAATAATCCGGCATTTTTACCATCAAATTAAAAAGAAATGTTATCAAAATTATATATTTTCTACATATCTGTAGGTATATCAAGTTTTCCAAAAGTAACGGACCCCCCCCCTCCCCATCTCAGAATCTATGCATTATAAGGAAAAATGATTCGAACAAAAGTTTTAGGGTTCATAAAATTCTGTTTTTTTGTGACTTCAAATTTGACCTTGACCTCGACCTTGAAGGTCATTTGAAGGTCGACTTACGTTTTTTTAAATAGGAACCCCTACTTTTTACTACACTGTTTTTTTCTACCAATTAATTTGAACAACTTTTGTTAAAAACATTTTTTTATTTGCCTAATATTTTTTGAGATATTTGAGGAAAATTTGATAACTTTTTCAATATTTAACTTGCGATATCTCGCTAACTATTTGTCGGAAGAAAAAGTGGTACTAAAACTTTTGTTCGGGTCATTTTTCCCTATAACGCATAGATTCTGAGATAGGGGGGAGGGGGTCCGTTACTTTTGGAAAACTTGGTATATTCATTACATATCACTATGCGAAGCTTGATACCATGGATAATAATTTTATATTATTCAAATGATAAGTTAATTTCTATAAAACAATACTGTATAATAATAAATTATTGTAAATTAACTTGTTACCTTGAAACCCTAACAACTAATTTTTACCATAAAACATACGATGATAAACATAATAATTTCTTTCTGTAGGGGGTGCGAAGGTTCATTAATAAATTTTCAGGGGTGCGAAATAGAAAAAAGGTTGGGAAACCCTGATTTAGAAGATATTACCATTATATCTGCCAGCATTCGTGCTGGCGACGCACGGATATATCGCGGAGGGAGCGGCGGGAGAGTCATCGTTCAATTCGCCGCGAGAAACGTCGCGCTTATTGTCGTGTGGTTTCGGCTCGACGTCCATCAGCACGCGCGATTATTACGACACTGGAGTTCCTTTATCTCACCGAACGGGTTTCAGCGTCGGTCTCTCTTCCGGGCTGTCGCGCCGGCGGTATACGAGAGCCCGGCTGAATATTATCGGGACAGATAGGTGGAATATTAATTAGGCGACACGTGAAGATCATAGCGCCGGGCGGCATGTCGTGACGACGGGGGGCAAATGTTAGGCTCTTTCGTCACGATCAAGATAGCTTAAAGGCGTGCGCAGAACACGCGCTCTGCCTCCTAGGCTGGTTATGAGGCCGCGTGTGAGATCCTGTGAGATAAGATTTTAACACGATTTATTACGAACAAACCCGCTCGTCTGCGGATTAAATACGAAGGATCATCGTGGACGCTCCTCGCGGTCTTCGCCGCGGTTATTGAAACGTAACGAGCGACGTAGAAGCAAGTTCGGGATGTTTATTTCTCGTTTCCCGACCCGTTCCGCTCGGCATATTGCCGCGTATTTCTTCCATTCCTGTTACTGATAATTAAATATCTCGATGATTGATGTCGAGGATGAAGCGACATTGATTCAGGCGAAATTGAGCGACGAGGAGAGATTTGCACGCCGCTGAATTGGCTTTTTTCGATACGTCGCAAAGCGATACTCGAAAACGATTTAACCGCGCGGCTCACGTGTTGCTCATTACCGCATCTTGTGTTAGGAGGTTGAATTAATTCTGGTCTTATTTCGCCAATTTTTTATTTTTATTTTAAAGAAACGGTTGAATTTCTTTCGATCAATTAAAATATTTTCCGTCGTTAGCTGTGACTTTTTCCCATCTTTCTGGCAACATGGCGATTCCCCGACGATAGAACGATCTGTCTTTCGAAGCGATCCAATCAGACCCATTTTTGCACATCCTCGTAACTATTGAAGCGTGTATCTGTCAAAGCGTGTCACATCGATCAGAATAGATGGTAATCAGACGGTGCTAGATCTGGAGAGTACGCTGAGCGCGAAAGGCGTTCTAACTCCCATTCGAGCTCTAATAATGTTTGTTTAACGATTGAAGCAACATATGGACGAGCATTATCGCGCAAAAGAATCATTTTGCGTCTATTGCCAGCTGTCGCTGGCCTTTTTTGCATCAATTCATCGTTCAATTTGTTCAATTGTTGCTAGTATCGCTCCCCCGTAACTCGTTTCGTTCGGTTCGTTCGGAAGCTCATAATACCTTCCATACCTTCCATGTCCCATCAAATATAGAGCATTGCTTTGTGACCGCGGATGTTCCGTTTTGGTGTCGATGTTGATTGTTGTCCTGAATCAACCTGTGACTTTTTCGCTTTGGATTATCAAAATAAATCCACTGTTCATCTTCAGTTACAATT